CGTCCCCCCCCCCCCCCCCCCCCCCCCCCCCCCCCCCCCCCCCCCCCCCCCCCCCCCCCCCCCCCCCCCCCCCCCCCGCCTCGTTTCGACCTGGAGTCTGTGTTGGAAAACGTGTATTCGGGGGAGGGAGGAGCTGTGTTTTGATGCTGCAACGCCAAAAAAACCGTCTCGCCCGGTAGCCAATTATACGACACACCTGTATATCCAGTATTTTTTCTTTCCTCTTCCTCTTCCTGTTTCTTGTTCTTTTTCTCTCTCTTTCTTTTATTTTTGGGCTACGAGTGGGCGGAACGAGGGGTTGAAGGGGAGACACATTGTATACTTGGCCTGTCTCGGGGGTGAGAGTTGTTCGCTGTCCAAGGAGATGAGCCTGGGAGGGCGTCAATACTTCAATGTTGCTTGTGCTCCTCACTATACCTTGGTACTAGTAATACTACCTACTACTATACCTACCTTATCTATATCTACCTACCCACCTATCACGGTGTGTTACCTGAGCATCTAGTAATAGTATGGACTATGATTACTGTTACACCTATGGTATATGTCAATGGTATATATGTCAAGGAGGTTAATGGTGACCTCGAGATATCATAGACACAATGGTGAATCTGACGCGTGCATGCTACCTATCATGCATTGAGCACACGTATATCCATGTTTGTTGACAAGTGCAATGCATGCAGAGATTTTCCATGGGTCTGGTGCATGACATTACATTACCAATTGGCTGTAGAACGGACAAAGAGCCCCGGGAAAAAGAGAGAGAAAAGGAGCAAGGGTTAATGGAACGGAAAAGCTCAATGGTGCTGTTGATCGTGTGGCCTCGATGCTCCGAGATGGCGGAGAAAGGCGGTGGAATAGATTACACGTACAGGTAAAAAAGTCAGTGCGCCGTAATACCGAGTTGCATTCTGTAGCTTACTCGGTAATTGAGTTGAGTGTTTACCTACCTGTAATGTTTTACCCGCGCTCCCCTGTGCGGAGCCCGCTAGGGGTGCAGATGGTGACATCCATTGAATTGATTGAGTAGGTGAGTTGATGCTCCGGTTCCAGCGGTCTGGGCCGGTTTGCTGTCTGTTGATTGTCCGGGTGCTATGTTGGCGTATCGCTCCATCTCTTGTTGTCTCTGTCTCTCTATTTTTACAGGGGGGTGGTGGTTTGCTGGCCACTGAACTGAACTCGGCTCGGTTCGCTGACGTGGGGTTATTTATGTCTCTTGTCTGGCGGTTTATGATAGTTGAGATATTCCCCCCCTGCTTGCATATTTTTTTTTTAGGGTAGCACGTCTTATGTGGATGCATGGAGGCTTTTCGGGGTGACCTTTTGCTTGCGTGGTGGTGCTGCAGCCGAAGTCGCGAGGCTGGGGGGGTGCCCGAAACAGTTTCTGGTCGTTTGTCTCTTTTTTTCCCCTTCTTCTTCCTTTCTCTTCTTCATTCTCCCCCCATCTTTTAGCCTCTTTTGATCGTTGGATTTTGCATGGCTTGATTTCCCCTTTTATCTTTGCCCGGGAAAGTGGGGAATTGATTCTGGGAATTATTCCAGCTATACTACGGTACATGATTATTCTTGATGGGGAATTTCTTTTTTATTTCTTCGGTATTGCATTGAGATTGATGATCGATCGGCCTTTTCCGTCTTGGAAGTGTCCATTTGTCATTCTATAAGCGGCTGCTTTCTTATTCGTTGGCGGAAGCGGCATTAGCGAGCGTCACCTTGTGTCTTTGGGCGGAGGCCTCGGCGATATAGCGCAGTTTGATCCCATCACGACAATTGCCCGCCATCACCGTCTCGCACCGTTGAGAATCTATCCAGGGCTCGCTCGACATTTACGGCGAGGAGTCTGCAAAGGGGGGGCTTTTGGGGCGGCAATTGCACGGGTACGGTTTTTTTTGAAGGGAGTTGAAAAGCTGGGGGGCCCAAGATGGACGAGTACATGTTCAAGTTCTTTGTGGATGAGTGTCGCGTGGTAGAGGAGAAGACGAGCTATGTCGAGATTTTCAACTACAGTGTGAGTTGCCTGCGAGATCTATATTTGGCTGTTTCCGAGGGAGCATGACTTTTTTTCTTTTCTTTTCAAGATGATGAGGCGGTTAAGCTGATGCCGAGGATTTAGGATGCGTTTTACAATTCGGTGGAGGAGCATCCGCTGCCCATGTCGGAGTTTGAGAACTTTCTGAATCGAAGGGTGAGTGCGGTGACGGATGCCGTCTTTTCCTTTTCATCCGATTGAGAGGCAAGGGTGGAGATGCAGACGCAGATGAGATGAGATGAGACGAAGTTGAGATGGGATCAAGTTGAGGTGGAATGCGATGGGATGGAAGCGTTGGGCACTTGAGAGTCACAGTGTGAGGCTGACATGAAGCTTACGACCGACCAGGGCGCTTTTGAGCCGCCGCAGAAGATGCGCGAGGGCACCAAACTCTTGAGCGGCATTCGACTCATGTGAGTTTTCTTCTGCTCTTCTTCTTCTTGATGTCTGATTGATTTGTTTACTCGCTTTCCAATAATCGAGTTTCAACACCCCCCTGCAGTCATATGTCGACGCACTTTAACACTGGGACAAAACACAAGATGCTAACGTTTGCACATCCAGTATCCAAAAAGATGCTCAACATAAGGACACATTCATGCCGAGGATCATCTCCTTGCCAAAGGACAAGTACATGACCATGGCTAGGACGCTCAAACTACCCTTTCGCGCCATAGAGTCATCGTCCGTGGTTGGGCCCTTCTTTTGGTGCTCGTATGACCAGGACGATGAAGATCCGCATCTCCGTATGTGAAATATCCCAATGAACCATGATGCAATGATAAAAAGGCATTCGTCTATTTTCTTGTTCTAACTTTCAATACAGATATTGTACATCGCAAGTCGGATGTGCGCAAAAAGGGCAGAACCCGCGGCTGGGAAATGATCCTGTCCTACTCCTTCAGAACCGGCATCACCACGGGCTTCATCAAGGGCACGCCCAGCTCCGACATTGTTCAGGCGCTCAAACACCTGCGCGGGTGCTACAGCCAGGTCGGCCACCCGATGCTCCTCTCCACCATCATCCTCTCGCACGACCTCTCGCCCGCCAACGACGAGAAGCAGCGCGACGCCCGCGACTGGCTGCGCCGCCTGGAGAACGCGGTCAGCATGCGCGACGAGGTCGACACCGAGGAGCAGTACTTCCAGGACGGCATCCTGTCCGTCGACGGGCTGAACCGCGACTTGGTCGAGTGCCACAGCCACGTCATGTGGAAGCGGCCCCAGGCGTACTTCATGCTCGTCAGGGAGATGGAGCTGTGCATGGAGCGCTTCAAGGTCTCCTGGCTGGACTGGAAGAAGGACTTTTTGAGCGACGAGGAGATTGCGCATAGGAAGACGATTGATCAGCTGCATAGGAGCATTCTTGCGCGGCTGGAGTTTTACAAGGTCAAGCTCAAGGGGCTGGAGAATTATATCCACACTACGCTGGAGAGATTGAAAGTCCAGCGAGAAGCAGTAAGGTTTTTTTTTTTTGGTTCTTTGCTGGCATTCTTTTTTTTACTTTTCCTATATACTAATCATTCTACTAGCTGTACAACATCATTTCTCAGCGAGAGGCCCGGCTCAACCTCGAAATCGCCGGAGAGCAGCGCCGCATCGCCCACGCAAGCAAGCGCGACAGCACCGCCATGAAGACAATCTCCCTCATGGGCGCCCTCTTCCTCCCCGGCACGTACCTCGCCTCCGTCTTCAGCATGACCTTTTTCAACTTCCAGTCGGGCGCCGACCCCGTCATCTCCAACTGGCTCTGGGTCTACTTCATCATCACCATCCCCCTGACCGTCATCATCGTCGGCTTCTGGCTGTGGTACGACCGACGCAGGGAAGCTCGCTACGCCAAGGAGGACAAGGAGCTCGACGGCGATATCGAGCAGATGGAGGCGCATATCTTGAACTCTTTGCGTAAGAGGACCATGAGTAAAACGCATACTTGGAATAGTCGCAACAAAACGCTTAGTTCTCCGTAGAGCGGTGACGATGACGACGTTTCTTCTTCTTCTTCTTCTGCTTCTTCTTCTTTGACGCTTTTCTTCATGGAATGATGGAATGGTAACGATTTTGATCTTCTTTACGAATTTTACGAGAAATGGCGGGCATATATTTTGTTTGCTTGTTTTGGTTGTTTCGGCGTGGATATATACCCTCAGTTTCAGGGGCAGGTGGGCGAAAATACGGCGGCAGATTGTAAAAAGCTGTGGGTATGGCTTCATAGGTAGTTGGCAGAAACGTAATACGTAAATAGCATAGCAAGCAACGATACAAAATTGCAATAAACTTAATATATATATATATAAATATTATTGACACTGCCAAAAAGGTTTCTTATAACAAGAAAAAAAACACTCGAGGCGGTATTTGAACGCTGGAGAGAAAAAAGAACAAGGTAGATATCGATGAGATCTATGGTTCTAGGATATATAGAAAAAGAGATATATATACTCCACCAAAACCCTAGATATAGTAAGCACCACAACTCCATGACAATGCGGTAATAGGGCATGCCATTTTATACCCAAGATGGACCGACGGAATATTAGATGGGGGCCGAGAGAAGTTATGAAAAAAAAAAGAACAACAACAAGACGCTTTTGAAATCAAATGCGGATATGGCTATCGCCACTGCTTCCTCCGAACCATCTCCTTATATCGGTCCCGCTATCGTTGTTATTGCTCCCACTACCAGCGTTGGCTGGCTGATCATCGTTTCCTCCCATCCACTTGGGCTTCTTGATGCCCTGTCCGAGATCCGAAAACCACTGTGGCGTCTCGAAAGAATCGACAGTATTCTTCATACGATGTCCAATAATCGTAAAGATGTTGTCATCCTCGGGCGGTTCGTCGGTGAATCGGGACTGTGTTTGGCCGAGTCTACGGTTGTTGCTGACAGGGGATCGCAGTGGCGATCTCGATGGCGTGGCAGCCGAATCTTGGATGGCGGGAATGGAGAGAATGGGAGCTGCTCGACTCGAAGCCCCACTAGCTGCGGCGCCGCTGCGTCGTTGGGTTGCGCCCCCTAATTCTCTAGCGATGAGATCACGGCCTTCGCGCCAGTTGCCGGTGCCATATCCACTAGGGTTATCTTCCTCGTCCTCGATAATGTCCACGCCTGTGAATATCCGCTTGACCTTGCCGTACAGCCCGAAAGTGGCAGCCAGGACAGGCACCACGAGGGCAATGGGGAAGAGGTTGTCGAACCACTTTCCCAACGGCGTAACATCGACATACTGCCCAAGGAAGTTGTAGAAAATGGTCTTCTGATAGACTTCGGCGGACAAGAAGGTGAGGAAATTGTATGACAGCGGGACACTGAGCTTTGCCACTTGCCCTGCGAACCAGAATGCTGCTTCGTGTCCGGTGTTTCGCCTGACAAGAGCTCGTCCGCGCCATACCTTGATCCCGGTCATGGACGACAGAGCAGCGGCGCACATGTAGCAGATCCAAAAAGCCGAAATGGCCTGCCCCGCGAATCCAACCTGGGCCTTGTCGCCAACCCAGTGATGGACCACGCCGACACGAATAATGGACAGCTTAGGGAAGGGGAACTTGACAATTTCTGACCAGACAATGCAGGCAGACGCCAGAGCCAACAGCCCGCCAAGGGCCATTCGGGTATAAGGAAGGACGTAATAATAGCAAACGAATCGAGAATACGGCGTGAGTATCTTTACCCTGTCCCAGAATTCCGCGTGGGGGGAAACATCGCCAAAATCTAGTTTCTGGGAGGCGACCGAGTCCAGGATCGTTTGAAGGTTGGCAGCCTCTTGCACCAATCGATTCCACTCCCCAACATATTGCGATCGTGAATGCCGTGCTCGTATGAGTTTCCGTGTCAAGTCGGCCAAATACTTTTCGGTAATGACATGCGGGACTGCTTGGGCAGATGCCGTTGAGTCAAGAAGCCCTGATCGAGGCTGTGACTCGGGAATATTGGCAATCTCCTGGAGCTCTTCAATCCAATCCTGGAAGGCGGCGGCGCTTCCGGTTTTCCGACGGCCGAGCTCTGAAACCTGCTGCTCAACCTCCTCGACACCGGTGAGAGAGTCCTCCATCTTCTCATACACCCTAGGTGCTTGTATCTGTAAACGCCGTAGTCTGCCGCTAATACTTCCGCTTCGGAGGAGGTGTCGTGGTATGGCAACCAGTCCGTGGCCCATCAGGTAGATGGCAAGAATGAGACCCCAGCAGTAAGAAAGAGCCATGATGAGCGCTTTGAGAGCCTCAAAGGAGAACTCGTAGGAGGCGAATATATAAACCAGGCCGATGATGCCAGCTCCCAGGATCATGGCATAGAATTGCGCGTTGGCACGGAGAGAGTACATGAGCCTGTCATGGGGCTCCCGGTAGCCAGTGTCGGAGTATTCGGCAAGGATAGGGAGGATGAACCTGCGAGGGATGAGTTAGAAGCAGCGACAAGCATCTAGAGTCTCTCTCCTTACCATGTCAAGCAGAATGTCAGCCAGTATGTGATCCGCCACAGCACCAGGACCACGCGCTGAGGAAGCCAGATGCCCCGCGAAGCCACATCGTCGGTGATGGCGCTTGAAGCGAGATCTATCGGAACTAGGAGAACGAGAATCGACGGTAGCCACAGGGCGAAGAAGATGGGCACGGTGTAGAAGGCCGGCGTGGTTCGGAGAGGGAGATAGTGGCGCAAGATGAGGAGGACTGCCAGCGACACCAGCAGCAGGGCGAAGGACGAGAAGACAAAAGAGCCAACTGGCGTTGGACTGCTCGCGATTTCAGGCATGGCGAAGAGGGGGTTCAGGGGTGAACGCCATATGCGCTCTCGTATGACGGATCGGATGCTGCAAGACAAACACAAAGACGGCGATGCAGCTGCAGGGCGTTTCGACGCTGGAAGAGGCTTTGCTGCAAGGCACGTAAGACAAGGGACACGCCGCCGCCTTGGTTGGGTTTGGGTGGTTTTGTATGGACAAGTCCGGATTATGTCCACCCAAGTTACGAGATGCTTTGGATGGGTTTCGCGGACCCACCAGGAGACTTGACTTTGGCATGCGTGACGTAACAAAAGGCGGTACTCAAGTACCCAAGTACTTCTGTACCTGGTGCTTGCCAAGGTTGCTTTCAAGCCTTGGATATGAGGCACCAACGCAGCAGCAGATGCAGCAGCTTAATTGAATCGCGCTACAAGGATGCATGCAGACGCGCTCTGCTTTTTAGGGCCAAAGGCAAAGGTGCGAATTGCAGCTGACCAGCCTCGCTGCGACAAACACGGCCTGCCTGAATTCCCTTCTTTTCCTCTTGTTCTACTTGATTGGATGATTCGAGAGGCTCTCTATCTCTACAATCGGCATTTCTTCTGCGCGGTCCGGCGACGTAACTGTCTGTACCTTTGAAATCTAGCGCCTCTTCCGTTCCCCTTTGACCATGGCTGGTCTTCCCGACCCCGAAGAGTGTAAGGATCCTTCATCTTGCCCTCACCAACTCCTCTCTTTCTAAACTTGTGTGGAACAGGGCTTCAAGATGCCAACGAGGCGCTCAACATTAGCCTCGTGGCGCCGTCGAAATCGGGCCTCAAGACCATTGCGACCTTCAACCCCAAGTTCACGTATCCCATCTTTGGCGACAACGAGAAAATATCTGGCTACAAGGACCTGAAGATCCACCTGCGATATCGTGCCAATGATATGCGCCCGCATCTGCGGCTTGCGTACAGCAAAAAGTTCAAGCCCGTTGGCGAGCAGGAGGAACCCACCGATGTTGTGGAGATTCTGGAAGAGGGAGGCCATCTGCCAAAAGGTTTGCGCTGCTCGCACGTGGGGTTACTCTACCTTTAACCAGTACTTGCTAACATTTTTGTAGTTGCTTTCGTTAAGGGGTCAGACTTTGACAGCAGCTCGCAACAGCTTGGCGACAACTGGTCTCCTCCAGGAACGCTGCACGATACTTTCGAGGGTCCCGATGGCCAGTATGAGATTTGGAAAGGAAGTCTTGTCGACCCTGCTGTGAGACAGTTGAACAGCCGAATTCAAATCCTGAATCTCTTATTCATCGAAGGGGGCAGCTACATCGGCCACAATCCAGAGTTGGACTCGACAGAGTTGGATTTATCAGATGCCGATCGATGGACCTTCTTTTTCCTCTACCGCAAGCAAAAGTCCGTTGATGATGCGGAAAAGAGCTCGTACACCTTTGTGGGCTACGCCACAGTTTACCGCTTCTTTTATTTTCCACCACTACCAACGCCGCCAACCTCCCCAGCGGATACTTGGGAGCTACCCAGCGGTGACATGGACCTGACCCAGCTTCCGTGCAGGACGAGGCTCTCGCAGTTTGTCATTCTCCCACCATTCCAGGGCAAGGGAAGTGGCGCGCGCCTATACAACACCGTCTTCAAGTACTACCACGACCACCCGCAGACACACGAGTTCACAGTTGAGAATCCCAATGAAGCTTTTGACGACTTGCGAGATAACTGTGACCTGGCTTTCCTGCGAAGCATGCCCGAATTCAGAGAGCTTCGCCTTGATACTGCGGTGACTGTCCCTAAATCAGGGCCCCTGCCCCGGCTTATCGCTGGAGGAGACGACCTCGAGAAGATTCGGTTGCAGGCCAAGATTGCGCCCCGACAGTTTTCTCGGGTTCTAGAAATGCATTTGATGTCTCAGCTCCCAAAATCAGTTCGTCCAACCATGGCGCTGGACGACTATGTTGGGTCTCCTACAACTGCAGACAAGCATAAAGAAAAGCTGTGGCAGCTTATTGTCAAACAGCGACTATACCGCCATAACAAAGAAGTTCTCTCTCAAATAGATGTTGCCGAGAGGATCGATAAACTGTCAGAAACGCTAGGAAGCGTTGAATTAGAGTATGCTAGGATATTGGCAGCCCATGAGCGTGCCATGAAGCATTCGGCCTCATCTAATGGAAAGCGGAAACCCACGGAGACCTTGGCCGAGGCAACATCCAGCAAGAAGGCCAGAGTGGAGGACGCGTGAAAGGGGAGAACTGCGGCATATCGAGACTGAGCTTGATGCTAGTGGACGGCTGACAAGGTGAATTAATAGCAGGCGTTGGGGGGGAAAACTTGATACGATGCTTTAGGAGAAAAACAATGACTCTATGTATTCTATTGTATAACTGGGCAACCCGAGCAAGCAAGACATGCTAAATGCTCCCTCTTCATTAAAACAATCATTAAATGGGAAAACCTGTACCTCCTCAGACCAAATACCTACTCATCGTAGTGTTGATGAACGTCATCCTTGGGGGCAGCCTGGATGTTCTTACCCAGCTGGCTGGCAACCAAGCTGGCCTCCCGCACGGCCTTGGAAATGGTTCCACGCACACGCTCCTCTTCCAGTACGAGAACGCCGCTGACGGTGCAGCCTCCAGGAGTGCACACCTTCTCGCGGAGAAGAGCAGGGTGCTCTCCGCTCTGAATAAGACCAGTCGTTCCTCGCATGGTCTGAGTCGCCATCCTGGTTGCTTCGGCGCGGGGGAGGCCCATGGCGACGGCTCCCTCGATGGCGGCCTCGAGGAACAGAGAGTAAAACGCAGGCCCGGAGCCGCAGAGGGCCGTCGAGGCGTTCATGTAGCGGGCGGGCAAGTAGACGACGTCGCCGACGCGCTTGAAGATCCAGGTGACCAGCAGCTCCGTCTCCAGGGGCAGGGGGGGTTCGGTGGCGCTGATGACGGTCATGGACTCTCGGATGAGGGCGGCCGTGTTGCACATGGCCCGCACGATTCGGCAGCGGCCGTCCTCCTCGGGGTCCTTGGACGGGACGGCGCCGTGCAGGGCGATTTCCAGCTGCTCGACGGTGATGCCGGCGCAGACGCTGATGAGGAGCTTGCCGTGCAGGGCCTTTGCCATGCCGGGGGCGCCCAGGATCTCCTTGACCATGAAGGGCTTGCAGGTCAGCAGGATGACCTGGGACTGCTGGACGGCGGCGAGGTTGTCCTTGCGGACGACCTTGAGGATGGACGAGTGCTCCCACAGCGCGCTCTTGACCTTTTTCGCCGTCTCCGGGGTCCGCACGCAGGCGATGAAGCGAGATGGCAGAGAGCGCGGGAACTCCTCTGAGGGCGTGGAGGCGCCAGACTGCAGCGGCTTGGGGCCCTGCATCTCGACCAGGGAGGTGAGGATGCCGTTGAGGATGGCAATTCCCATGGTGCCTACAAAGAGAAAAAGCATCTCGTATGAGCCCCAGGAAAATATGGTCAAAAACGAAACGCCTCGAAGCGGATGATGCCGAGGCTTCAATTTTTTCATTTTATTTTTCATGACTTACCGCAGCCCAAGACCGCCATGGTCAGGTCCTGAGGCGGCTGGGGCGTGCTGTGATGCGTGAGAGCCAGCATGTTGGACATTTTGTCGGCTTGGTCTTGGTCTTGGTCTTGATCTTTCAGGAGTGAGAGTTGAGGTTTACTAGCACTAGCGGTGACAGGTGGCCGAAAGAAAAAGAGCAACGAAAAGAAGGGCCGCGAGAGAAGAGAAAGAGTCCTGGTCACCCAAGTCGTTGCCAGGCTGGCAGGTTTTTATTTTTTATGAAAAAGAGAAAACAGGGAGATGAGAGAAATAAAAGAATCGGTCAAGTTGGGGGGATTTTTATTTCACATCTCAAGTTGGTCCAAGTTTAAATACAAAAGACGACGAGTGAGAGCCCATTCCGAAAAATAAGTGCCATTTTGGCCCCCCCCCCCCCCTTTTTAAAACGGTTGGTCTCCGTAACGTAACGATTGCTGCCCAGCGGGATCGTCAGAATGGGACAAATAGGAAGTAAAAGAAAAAAAAAGGGAACAAGGATCTTGGTAAGTGTGTGTGTGTGTGTGAAGACGGCGGCCTACGGAAGGGAAGCCATTGGGCTCCTGGATTTGGCTGACCGACTTAGTTGAGCTGAATGGGAGGGGAGGGCATCCATGAATTAATGGCTCAGCCGACGATGCGTTTCATCGCTTGAAGGCTCACGCCTGAGCTTTTTGCCCCGGACTTTTTCGCCCTCGCCGCTGAGACGGGCGATGATTGACGGGCACTACTGTACTGTACTAATTTTGATACTATGGACAACCTATAATACTGATCGATCATGGAGTTGATACTATTGTTATTATTACAAGGCACAAGAAAATGAGTGTATGCCATTTTTTCGAGAATTTATTCCACGACTTTTACTTCGAGCACGGACTGACACTGCCCATTATGGGCGCCACATGTGGCTAGTACTGTGCACCTACTGTAAGCCAGAGGTAGACCAGGATGAAGTTGCTGTGTTGTGCTAGAGGATATCACAAGCATTTGAAATAATGGTCTTATTTGCTTTGTTCACCTCTATTTGTCTCTAAATTTTGAGCCAAGCAGGCCTCCTTTATTGTGCGAGGCAAAATCCCGACACTAAGTTACTTGATTACGAGTTTAGTTTAGAACTTCGGGCGAAAGTACCTACCTACCCATAGGGCTATTGGTAGTGATTATTATATGATGGATATATACGAGGTTTGTCAACGCCAGGCTTCAGGTCAGCTAAATTACCTTCAAACAAGTCTTTATCAAACAATGTTGTCGCCTGTTTCAGTGGAAGCTTTCTTCTGCTCCTCCAAGCTACCCGCTGATCCCCTTTCATCACTCTCCGGCCCTCTCCATCTTCTCATCATCTCAGAATCTCTCGCCTTCTGTAGTTCGTCTCTCACCATATCAATGAGCTCATGGGGGCGTTTCCCGGAGTAGCACATGTAGATTACCGCTACACCTGACACCACGAGCCCAAGGCAGATACCCTTGAATATCCAGGACACCAGAATGCCGAAAAGTCCCCCGAGGGCTCCGAAGACGGCGGCGAGGATGATTGAGAATGGAGCGAGTGCCCGGATGATCGCAGCACGGAGAGGGTACGTGTTGGATGGCGATGAAGAACGCGGCTGTGGTGAGAAGCCGGCTCTGATTGTCGAGGTGTGGTTCCCCTTCATCGTCAGAGACAAAAGCGCATCCTCTCCGTGCTCTCGATCATTAAGCAATATATCAAACTTTTGCACATCTCCCGCTTCCTGTGTCGACCATACCAGTCTTAGTGGAACAGTCGCATGCTCTTGGTGGATCTGCCAGAAGAGCAAGAGCGCGTCTGCTTCTGCGAACCATGGCAGGTTGGCGCCATCCGTGTCACCCGCTCGTGCGGTCGCAGATACTTCTTCCGTGTGTCCGTTGTCCTCAGCCGATGCATGGCGAAATATGTCTATGGGCTTTTCCAGCCCCGAGACGGCAAGGGTGCGGCTGGAGATGTTGAGATGATAGCCAAGCGCAAACCCCTGTCGGGAACCATCGGACACCTGTGCGGATTTCCTGTAAGGATGACAAGGTTAACCTTTTTGGTCTTTATTCGTTTTGATTCACATGTGCTTACCAGTATACTCGACGCAGTATCTTGCCGCCGAGGAGGGTCTTGGTTGCGTAGTCGGCGCCGTTGTTGATGTCTTGTTCACCGGAAGGGAAGGGGAGAAGCGCCCATAGTAGGGCCAGAAGCAACCAAGCACTGAGGATTGACAAAAACAGCCGCCAGACAATACGGCACAGTTTCCAGGGGCCCATCATCGTGTGTGAAAGGGCTATACCATCGGCTTGGTGGTGAGGTCGTAGAACTCGCAGATAGGATGATTGAAGCCGGGAGGTGTAGCATTATATCATCAGCCAGCTTATCAAGCATCTCGTATCAGGTTTATTTCTGGCCGAGATAAATTGGCGGCGCTGGTTACTTTCCGGGTGCGCAAACATGATTAGTCGCACTATGCACAGCCACACCTCATCTTGAACATCATTTCACTTGTATGCAAAGTATGGAGCACTTTAGGCTCGCGTGTGTTTGAGCTCAGGGGCTTCCCGGCATGGCTGAACCGTTGGAAACGCCAGTCCCAGCTGCGACTTCGGGCTTATGGCCTAGATCGGGGGCCATGCAGCGTCCCGGCTCTTTGCCGTGGGTTGCATGGCATGGCACGGGCAAATTAATAGCTCCAGTCCAGTCCAGTCCAGTCCGGTCCGGTCCAGTCCAGCCCAATCGAATAATCATAGCCCAACACAATATCATGGAGTGTCAAAGTGTCACAGCTCGGAGCAGTAATACGGAGCACGACGGCGCTGCAAGCCGATCCGGACTAGCGCTGTGGCTGGTTCACTCACCGAGGACCCGGGTTGAGCTGCTGGGCAAGCCACACTGAGGCGCACCCTCGACTCCATCTCTCAGCCTTGCGCTCGCACTGCAGCAATTCAGACTCGACAAAGCCGTGCCCAAATCCTGCAGACGGAGGATTCACCCGGAAAATGGCGGATCCTTTCGAGGTCCGCATGCGCTTCAGCTCGCAGCTGCAGCATCTCAACGCATCTGTTGCTTCGGCGCAGAAAGCAGCCCAATATGCGCTCAAGTACAAGGACATGGATGAGGACCTGCACTCATGCATCCTGGAGCAAGTAGAGCGGGTGAGTTTGAGATGGTGGTGATGAACTTTGGCAGTTTTTGTTCTGCCTTTTCCTTTTCAACGCTGACCATATATCACATGGCAGAACAACATGAATACACGCGCCAATATCATGTATTTTATTGAGCACTTTCTCGACTTGGCTCAGCGGGATGGCCACTCAGATTACATCCGCATGATGCAGCGTGATATCATAAGAGTTGTCGATGCTGTGGCCCCCGATGATGGCTCCGGAGCCGCCAATGTCAAAGTTGTCCGCAAGGCATGTGCATTCCTCTTCTCAGCAACCGTCCTTTTCTCTTTTGGTGCCGTTGACTAATTTTGCGGCAACAGGTCTTGATAGGCCTTCAGAACAAGGGCTTTCTGGAAGACCAAGCAGTTACGCAGATTGAGGACGTCATCAAGGAACGCGGTACTAATGATGACGATTTGGGCCTTGAATCTCCCAACAGCGACGTTGACATGACAGACGCTCCTGCCTCCGAGTCAAAGTCGCGGCGGCGACCCGGGACCCATGGCTTGGATAAGCGTCAAGTAGAGCAGCGGATCGAGGAGGATCGAGAACGACACAAGCGCGAGCGAGAGAGGATCTGGGCTGTCCCCAAAGGAGAGGACGCCGAGATGAACAAACTGTGGGAGGAGACCAGCGACTTTGGCGGTGACGACGACCGCCTGCTGACCGAAGAAGGCGACGACTTCACCAAGGAGATGGAGATACAACAGTGTCATCACCAACCACCGACGAATGGCAACGGCCATTGAGTTTCTTGTCCTGTTTGTTGACTACTGCATTGGGCGGCGTTGCGTGTTTCAGTGTACACATTGAGATTTATGAAAATTGTATGCATGGAGTTGAGAGATACCCCAGAGAATTTCTGTACTATTCATGGTCCTGGGGAAAATACATTTGCAACTGGGAAACAGGACTCGGCAAACACCGAGAATGGTTTGGCCCACATCATGCAAAGGGAAAATAGAAAAAAGAATTCTCTTCTTTGAATATATAATACACAATATTTTGTTGTACATGTACCTCGACCATCTATCGTGTCATAAAGATCATGCAAATATCCTCCTGATATTTCCTTTACTTTTCGTTTCCTCTACTCCATCACAACCACCGCCCCAAGCTCCTTCATGGTGGCAATGATCTTCTCTGCGTCCTCCTTGGGCACGTTCTCCTTCATCATCTTGGGCGCGCTCTCAACAAACTTCTTGCTGTCGACCAGACTCAGGCCCAGCATGCCCTTGACCTCCTTGATGATCTTGGCCTTGGCGGCGGCATCGATTGACTGCAGCTTCAGCGTGAAGAGAGTCTTCTCGGCGGGGGCAACAGGGGCTTCCTCGGCCTCCTCAACAGCAGCGGGGGCGGCAGCGGCAGGGGCAGCAGCGAAGCCACCGATGGGCATGTCGGGAATGTTCAGCGTGCTCTATTAAAAAAAAAGAGAAATCCCATGTCAGTCGAGTGTTAGTAGCATGGCAGACTTTTGGTCAGCCACTTTGTGTGCTTTGCTAGTTATTTACTTTTAGGCTTGAGACGAGATCGGCAGTCTCCAGCAGCGTGAGCTTGCTGATCTGGTCGACAATGTCGGCAATCTTGGGGTTTACGGCAGCGGCTTCGGTTGAGTTGTACCGTCTCGTTGTGCATGACACTCGGAGCATTTGTGCGGAGGATCGGGGAGAGGCGGCTGATCGCAACTGGCGAGCGCAGCTGCGCGCAGCGAACCGACACGGAGTGGCCATTGCTGTAGTTGAGAGGAATTGGTGGCGAAGGGCAATTCGCAATTGACGATTTCGTGGGGTTAATCTCTCGAACCGCTTGGCTGTCGTGCGATGGCTTGTCATGAAGTTTTTCGAAAGCTTCAAGTTTGCTGGTCTGGGTGGGCTGTGATTGGTCCGGAAATTCGTAGCCCCGAGTGCCCCTCCTTCCCGCACCCTTGTTCCCGACTAGGAAAAAAAAAGTTGGCGGGCGCTCATTATCCATTGATAAGAAAAAAAAAAGTTTAGAAACGCGACAGCGGCATTGAGGAGAGGCGAAAATTCGTTCGACATAGAGCACAATCATGGCCATGATTGATGTCTCTCGGCAGAGGAGGTCGCTCCTGAAGGATGCGGCTGCATTGGACCATCTGCCCGCTGAATTACTTGAAATCATCAAGCATCAGTCGTCGACGAAGCTCTTCGATGCTGTATCAGAAGCTGCGCTCATACCATCACTTACAGAGAGAATCTTTGTGCATTTCGAAGATGTGTTTTCAGACATTTGCGCACGATGGATTCTCAACGCCGGCAACGGACCACGCCGGTTATTGATTGCATCAGCTATCGCCAGGATTTTGCCATTTGCGCCGTATCTCTCGACTTTTCTTCAATGTTCCGGCAGGGCTGGAGAGGGAGCGGCGCAGGGACCTTCGCTTCACTTGGTGCTGCCGACCCTTGATGGAGCGAATTTGGGGTTGGATGCAGATGCGTTGCTGCAGGCTTTATTAACATACTGGAGGCTCTTCAGCTTCGACCTGAGAACTTTCAGCTCATTAATTCCACCCGAGTACCTGCAGAGCTTGTTTGCGCATGAGAGCCGGGCAGTGAGATATCTTGCGATTCGCATCTTCTGCCAGCTGTTCCACGCCTCCGACTTCAAACTCGAGTCGCTTATCGAAACACACGTCGGCAATGCAAATGCCATCACTGCCGATTTCGACGGTGCATCGGTGGATTATGGGTTTCTGTCGCTGCATGAGCAAGCGCGTGCCAAGAAGATCATCGCATTGCGGCAGCAGGTGAAGCGATATGCTCAGGAATCCGAACATGATTGCCAGCCTTTACTCCAGTCTCTCACCCAGCATGCGGTGTCCTATGGCAACATCGTTCTCCCACGACCATCCGTACCGACTGGAGGCCCATCGGACCTTGTCGTGACGGCCACAACTACTAATAATCTCGAACGGCTCGCTGCCATGATTCGCAATCCCGAACCTATCCTTCTTCATGGTCTGCCGGGTGTTGGAAAGACGGCGCTGGTCCACGAAATGGCCAAGCAACTCGGCATGTACTCCAGCATGGTTACGCTGCACTTGAACGAGCAAACAGACGCAAAGATGCTCATAGGCCTGTACTCGACGGACTCCAAACCGGGCAGCTTTTCGTGGCGTCCAGGTGTACTAACCACAGCCATCAAGGAAGGCAGATGGGTATTAGTAGAAGATCTCGACCGAGCCCCTACCGAAGTTCTCAGCACTTTCCTTCCTCTCATTGAGCGAAACGAACTATTGATCCCGAGCCGAGGAGAGAGGATAAAAGCTGCTAATAGCTTCCGCCTTTTTGCGACTGTGAGGACATCAATGGGTATGAACGGACGCGAAAATCTGCCTAGCATTGTCGGCATGCGATTCTGGCAATCCCTGTATACAGAGCCCATGGTTCAACCAGAGTTGGAGGAGGTGGTTCTGCAGACGCATCCTATTCTGCAAAAGTTTCTTCCCGGAATAATCGCTGTCTATGGTCGGCTGGCTCAAGTCAGCAGCGGATCTCGATCATTTTCCCGCGGACGAGCACTTATGGATCGACAGATGAATCTCAGGGATTTGTTGAAATGGTGTCGGCGACTGCAGGAGTGCCTGCTAGCTGCGGGTTCGACGACTGGAGACGAACCAATAACCGAGACCACGCGAGACTGGATGTTCATGGAGGCGGTCGACTGTTTTGTGGGAAGCTGTCCGGATGATGAGCTTGGCAGACAACTCATATATGCCATTGCGGAAGAGATGCATTTGTCCAAAGAACGGGCAGACCATTATTTGACTGCCAATATACCCCCTTTGGAAGAGAATGATGTTCAATTCAGCATTGGACGAGTCCAGTTGCGGAAAAAGAAGACTGTGAACCGGCTGCAAAAGTCAAAACGACCATTTGCAAGCACTTCGCATGCCAAGAAGCTCTTGGAACAGATCGCTGTAGCAGTCAAGCTCAACGAACCGGTGCTTCTTGTCGGAGAGACTGGTATAGGAAAAACAACAGTCGTTCAGCAGTTGGCTGAGTCGCTTGGTCATAAGCTTATCGCGGTCAATCTTTCACAGCAGAGCGAGGTGGGCGACCTTTTGGGTGGCTTCAAGCCCGTCAACGTCCGAAGTCTTGCGGTGCCCCTGAAAGAGGAATTCGAAGATCTGTTTTCGGCAACGGGAATATCTGCATCCAAGAATCAAAAGTATCTAGAGCAGGTCGGAAAATGCCTTGCCAAAGGACAGTGGTCAAGACTATCCAAACTGTGGAGGGAAGCCCCCAAAATGTTTCTCAAAATTGTGTCTGAGTTGGAGCGGGCTCACTCAGAGAAGGCTGAGGCGAGAAACGGAGATGATTCCCAACCCACAAAGAGACGGAAGACCCAGTCTAAGCTGCAAACGCTGCTGGAACTCAAGCCTAGATGGGATCAGTTTGCCCGCACTCTCGAGCAATTTGATATACAAATCTCAGGTGGAAACGCCTTCGCATTCTCATTTGTGGAAGGAAATTTGGTAAAGGCCGTCAGAAATGGCGACTGGGTTCTTTTGGACGAAATTAACCTGGCCTCTCCAGACACCCTTGAGAGCATTACAGATCTCTTGACCGGACCTAACGAGAGGCCATCCATCCTTCTCTCTGAAACGGGAGAGATTGAAAAGATTGTGGCGCACCCAAACTTTCGCATATTTGGTGCAATGAATCCCGCGACCGATATTGGAAAAAGAGATTTGCCTATTGGTATCCGATCGAGGTTCACTGAACTTTATGTGAAAAGCCCCGATAAAGACTTGAAGGATCTCCTCACTATTATCAAGACATACTTGGGCAATGGCAGCAACAAGAACGGCCAAGCGGGAGACGATATCGCACGCCTGTATCTCAACACGAAGCGAATGGCAGAGGAGAAGCGTTTGGTAGACGGAGCGAATGAAGTTCCTCACTTCAGTCTCCGTACGCTAACTCGAGTGCTGAGCTATGTCAACACGATAGCTCCCTTTTATGGTTTAAGACGAGCAATGTATGAGGGATTCTCCATGGGTTTCTTGACATTACTGGACCGAAACTCTGAGAAGATGCTTCTGCCGCTAATCTATCACCACCTTTTGGACAAGCATGGAAATCCGCAGTCATTACTTTCTCAGCCTCCAAAGCATCCGGGTGACGGCAGGCAGTATGTCAAGTTTCAAAACCAGAGCCGGGATCGACAATACTGGCTCTTTCAAGGCGAGCAGACACCTATCGAGAGAGATGATTACATCATTACTCCTTATGTGGAGAGAAATCTTCTCAATCTTGTCCGAGCGACATCCACCAGGCGTTTCCCTATCCTGATCCAAGGACCTACATCGGCTGGTAAAACAAGTATGATTGAATATTTGGCAAATTTTACCGGAAACAGATTCGTCCGAATCAACAACCACGAGCATACCGATCTTCAAGAATATCTGGGCACTTACATCTCGGGGGCAGATGGGAAATTACGCTTTCAGGAGGGTCTTCTCGTCCAGGCCATGCGACAGGGACACTGGATCGTTCTTGATGAGTTGAACTTGGCACCGACTGATGTACTCGAGGCTCTCAATCGTCTACTTGATGATAACCGTGAGCTGTTAATTCCTGAGACCCAGGAGGTTGTTAAGCCTCACGAAAACTTCATTCTCTTTGCCACCCAGAATCCTCCTGGTCTTTATGGAGGCAGAAAAGTGCTATCTAGGGCGTTCCGAAATCGATTCCTCGAACTTCATTTCGACGACATTCCTGAAGATGAATTGGAATACATTCTTCAGCAGCGAAGCCGCAATACCTCACCTCCCGACTGCAGGCGTATCGTCAATGTCTACAAGGAACTATCACGACTCCGTCAAACTAGCAGACTTTTTGAGCAAAAAGACAGCTTCGCCACTCTTCGAGATCTATTTCGATGGGCTCTCAGAAGTGCAGACACGCGCGAAGAGATTGCTGCACATGGTTTCATGCTTTTGGCCGAAAGAGTTCGCAACGAGGAGGAACGAACAGCCGTCAAGGAGGTTATTGAAAAAGTGTTCAAAGTTAGCCTTAATTCCCAGGACCTTTACTCTGCAGAACTGGCACCAGAACTGAAGCACATTGCTCATCGGGCTAATGCGCAAGGTGTTGTTTGGACTCACGCAATCAGGAGGTTGTATGTGCTGGTGTCTCGAGCGTTACAGAATAACGAGCCGGTTCTTTTGGTTGGTGAAACTGGTTGCGGCAAGACAACAGTTGTCCAGCTGCTCGCAGAGATTCTGGGCAGACAATTGCATATTGTGAATGCTCACCAGAATACGGAGACTGGAGATATCATTGGTTCTCAGCGTCCTATCCGAAACAGGGGCGCCATCATTGAGGCACTAGACGCTGATGTCACTGAGGTCTTGAGACACTGCAATGTTGATGTATCTGGGACGGCGGCAGATAGGCTGCACAGATACAAATCCCTCGATAAAGCATTTCTTGATGGCATCCCCGAGCAGACAAAGGAGAGGATTGCGTCGAACGAGACCAGGAGCATGGCCTTGTTTGAGTGGTCCGATGGTGCTCTCGTTGAGGCCATGCGAGGCGGTCACTTCTTTCTCCTCGACGAGATCTCATTGGCCGACGATTCGGTTCTGGAACGACTCAATTCCGTCCTTGAGCCTCAGCGAACGCTTCTGTTAGCTGAAAAGGGAGTGGATAATTCATTTGTCGTTGGCGCAGACGGCTATCAGTTCTTTGCCACCATGAATCCCGGAGGTGACTTTGGCAAGAAAGAGCTTTCCCCGGCTTTACGAAACCGATTTACCGAAATCTGGGTTCCCCCGTTGTCAGAGAGCGATGATATCTACGACATTACTCGGACGAAGTTGACCGAGGCCGCAAAGAGCTATGCTGAAGCTGTGGTGCGATTTGCGGCTTGGTTTGGCGCTACGTTTCGACCGATGGCCACTGCTCCATTCTCAGTGAGAGAGGTTCTCGCCTGGGTTCAATTCATCAATGCATCGGCAGATCAGGATGTCGTGCTATCAATAGTTCATGGAGCCGCTGCTATCTTTATTGATAGCCTGGGTGCCAACCCATCCGCTATCTTGGCAACAGACATTAACGCGATCCACCGCCAACGGGTGGACTGTTTAACCAAGCTGGGGCAACTTCTTGGCCGGGATGTTTCTGCTACCTACCAGACTCAGCCTGAACTCGACGTCACGGAATCTCACTTAACCATTGGAGGATTCAGTGCAGTTCGGACGGCAGACGCTTCTAATCCTTCAAGTTTTGCCTTCCATGCGCCAACTACTCGTCTAAACGCCATGAGAGTGATACGAGCGATGCAAACCCAAAAGCCCATCTTGTTAGAAGGCAGCCCTGGTGTTGGTAAAACGTCTCTGGTGGTTGCCTTGGCGCAAGCCTGCGGCCGGCCGCTGACCAGAATCAACCTGTCAGACCAAACCGATCTAATGGATCTGTTTGGAACGGATGTCCCAGTTGAGGGAGAAGAAGCAGGTAACTTTGCATGGAGAGATGCGCCATTCCTCCAAGCAATGCAAAAGGGCGAATGGGTTCTTCTCGATGAGATGAACCTTGCTTCTCAGTCTGTATTGGAGGGTTTGAACGCCTGCTTGGATCATCGTGGTGAAGTATACATCTCTGAACTCGATCAAGTGTTCAAGCGCCATCCAAACTTCCGTCTCTTTGCAGCTCAGAATCCCCACCACCAGGGTGGCGGCCGTAAGGGACTTCCCGCTTCATTCGTCAACCGGTTCGTCGTTGTATACGCCGATGTCTTCAAAGATGATGATCTCAAATTGATCGCCAGCCACAGCTTCCCGCAGCTGTCCGCTGAGATCATCAGTTTGCTGATCCAATTTGTAACGCAGATTGAGCACCATATTATGGTCGAAAAGACTTTTGGCGCGCAAGGTAGTCCGTGGGAGTTCAACCTCCGAGATGTCCTCAGATGGCTCAACCTACTGAGCTCGCCCGACCCGCTCCTGAAGACTCGTCATGTGGAAGACTTCCTTGACATCGTAATTAGACAGCGTTTCCGCACTGAAGCCGACCGTGCTGAAGTAGACAAGATTTTCCGGCACGTTATTAGCTGGCAACCACGCTCTCGCCACTTCTACCATGATCTCGGGTCTCGATTTGGCCAAGTTGGTCTTGCTTTACTAGACAGGAACTTGAACTCCCAGCCAGAGAGGCTTCCTAGTATTGACATTGTACCAAGGCTCCCGGAGCTCGAATCCATCATGCTCTGTGTGAAGCAGAATATCCCTTGTATTCTCAGCAGCCCTTCAGGATATGGCAAGTCTGTGCTGTTGAAATATGTTGCAGCACTCGCCGGAAAGCCCCTAGTCGTGTTCCCCATGAATGCAGACATTGATACTATGGATTTGGTTGGTGGCTTTGAACAAGCGGATCCTCTGAGAGAGATCAATGCCACTCTCCGGAACCTGAGAGATTTCCTTCAGGATTCAGTCATGTCAGTTGTTCCTGCACAGGCCACGAGTGAAGTGCTGCAGCTGCTTCATCAGCTCGACAACTATAATGGCGATAGTGACAGCATCGTTACTATTCGAACCACGATAGAGACTTTGCTGCAGCAGATTGCTGCCGGTTCTGAAGTGTCCATCTCGCTTTCTCGTGCTCTGGAGATTCTTCGCAGCCCTTTAGTGCTCTCAAATCCTCGATTCGAGTGGTTAGATGGTGTGATTGTCAAGGCTTTGGAGACTGGCCAGTGGCTGGTGTTGGACAACGCCAACATGTGCAATGCTTCCGTTTTGGATCGATTGAACTCTTTGCTTGAACCCAATGGATTCCTCAGCATCAATGAGCACTGCGGCCCTGGAGGAGAACCTAGGATTGTCAAGCCTCATCCTGAGTTCCGAATTTTCTTGACCATGGATCCCCGCCATGGTGAGCTTTCTCGTGCCATGAGGAACCGTGCCATAGAGATTCACATCTACACTCCACCGCCGGTCCTGGATGCTTGCCTTGCTAGGATGTCGCATGTTGAGAGCTCTCTCCAACGATACCTCAAATCCATAGAATATTCGGAGTCACTACTATCTGAAGGTGCCGACCCGGAAGCCAGTCTGGTTTCTCTGGAGAACCTTTCTATCCAGGACGTTACTCTTCTCCCAAGATTCGTCAGTTCCAGGACAACTGAACGCACCACATACTTGAACCTCGTACAAGGATTTTTGACGCTTCTACAGTCGCCACTTGGATCGCGGTTACAATTATCTCTCAAAGAGTTGTATTCAACCTTGGCTGGTGCTGCCTCAGATGCACTGGCAAATGCACAGGTAAGAATTTTCTATCTCTTTTTGCAAATGAAGTTGGGTTCATTCGCTGACATCAAAATAGCCACTCCATCCTCTCAACAATATTACTGTCAGCAATATGCTTCCCTCGGTCGACTTGGCTAGGTGGAATGCGGCTCGTTATGATACATACCGACACTTGTATCACATCCAAAGCATTCTTGACTCGCAGCAAACGCAAGCTCGCTCGGCAAAGTTGATCTCTCTAAATAGACTACAGAGATCTCTCATCAGTGGTCGTGTGGCAGCTGTGTCGAAGGACTCTACTGTGAAGTTGGCTACGTTTGTCTCTTCAATTTTGACTGCTATGACTGAGTTTTTCGGCCTCGAAATGCTGTCTCATGATACTTGGGAGGTAAGTTATGCGCTATGCTTCAAGGTCGAACGAGTTGTTAATGCATTATACCAGGGTACTCAGTTCATTAGAGCTATTCGATACTACATGGACCGCACAATTGCTCTTGCGACAAAGGGTGATTTTGACGAGGCAGTTTTCCAGGCCCATTTGGCACAGGGTACAGCGCTCCTAGGGAAACAGATCCTGGCTGCGAAATCCGATAATAACCGTCAGCTTTCCACCTACATACTGGGAAGATTGGAGGACGACTTTGATGGCGGATTCAAACTGAGCACCGGTTTGAGTATGGAATCGCTCTGGAACCTGATGAGACCAATCCCTATTCCTGATAAGTCAGTTCTTGATCGGTCTGTTGAACTTGACCGACTGGGCGCCAGATTTGATAACCTACGATGGAAAGCTGGAGCCTCTGTTGTTGATTTGTCGAAAGCTCAGCAGACTCTTGAGCAAGCTTACAAAATCATCAGAGACGGCGTTGTTGCAACGGATGGATTGGTCAAAGATCTCATCACGGGAATCGAGTCTCTGGAGAGCCGTATTGCTGACGAAGAAGTCGAACTGTTGCCATTTTTGGCGAATGAATTCGAGTCCCTGAGGCAATTTGACGTTCTTCGATCTGTTTCGCCCAATATTATTTGGGAGAGCGGATTCCGAGATCTCTCCATTTTGTCAAATGTCCCAACCAAAACAAGATTATCGCTTGTGAGTGCCACTAGAGAAGCGGCACTTTTACAGTCAATGGATTGTTTAGTCCACCAGGATCAATTCCCATGGGATGGAACGTTTACACCCATCTTGTGGTCAAAACTGCAGTCTATGGGTGGAGTTAGTCTTGGATCTCTGGCATTGCTTGATGTGGAGTTGCCGGCTATGGGACGACATATCGCTTCGCTGTCTGCTGAAGTAGCTGCCGACCCGTTACCAAAGCTGAACAATATTCTTCAGCAGCTGATTTTCGAAGTATTTGGTGCTCATTCAGCGAGCCTTAAGGAAGCTGCAATTCACGCCTATCTCAGCGCAGAGGAACAGGCCAAGGCCAACGGCGATATGGCTGTTAATCTCTTTGATAACTTCCTGAGAACTATTGAGCCTCTCCATCTCCAGCAGGTAGCCGAGCAACATCTGGTTCCGGCTATGGCTTCTCTGCTAGAGAAGAAAAACCATGGTCGACACACATATTTGTCTGCACTGGCATGGACTCACTTCAGCGTTGGCGTCCTCAAGCTCTACGTTCCTGACCGCGTCTTTGATCCTCAGCTACGCCCAAAGATGGAAAGAGAATTCTTTGAGGAGCTTCAGAATGGCATTTCTGACAAGATATCTTCACTTGTTGCCTTTGAAAGCAAGTTTACTGGACAGAAGACAAATGAGCGTATTGAACTGCTCAGCCAAGAGCTTTCCAACATGGGCCCGTTGCCTGAAGAGGTTCAGCCAGTGTTCCGACCAGAGCAGTCAGAGCTTAGCCGACTGCATGCAGAATTTTCCAACATCTTGAAGGCGATCACAAGCCCAGCTCTTCGAGCGGCGCTGGAGTTGTCTGACAATATCAACTCTTCAGTCGACAGGGAAGGATTGGCATTGGTAAAGGAAAATGTCAAGAGGCTCCAAGATCGACTTACAGCTCGATTTGAAGCATACCAGGATATGACCAGGCCCGCTGCAAACCTTTTGCAGTGCCTGCGCGTCGGCCTGTCGCTATATGATGCAGCCGCAGCTTCATCGCTGACATCGCCTACATACCAGCTTCTAGATATGACGCCGTTCTTCGGAGGCTCGACCTGGGATGTTACCATGCAGTCCTCTTTTGAGAAGAACTTTGAATTCCTCAGCCTTGTCCGAGTTGCTGTGAATGTTGAAGGAAGCGAAAGTTTCCGACCAGGCATACGGGAGGCTATTTTCGAATGCTTCCACGGGTTTTACGACGAGTGGAGCAAGAAACTTGAAGCAGACCGAAAGGCAGAAGAGACAAAAGGCAGCATCTACCAGTTCCGCGGTTCCTTGGAAGATGAGGAGGAAATCGATGAACAGGAGTTTAACGAGCTGTTCCCGACGTATGATGCCGACAAGGAGACTGTCAGTTTAGGGAACAAGAAGGATGCTGTTCGCAACATGTCTCTCAGGGTTGCCGAAGCTCACAGAAAGATCTTCTTGGACAGAGAGGATGCTCAAGCCTCGATTCAAAACTTGAGCAGAGAGGTGGGCAACAGGGTTGCGAATGAAACCAAAAATCAGGCATACCTTGATCGTGAGCTGAACAACAGAATGCTTGTAAGCACAACGCTCCTCCTTGACGACAAGCTCAATGGGCTGCAAACGTCCGAGAAGGACAAGTCGTACAGCTTCTATACTAGCCCCAACTTGCCCGAAGCCCGACAGCTTGTGATTCTCATTGGCAAGATTAAGGCTAGATTCCGCGAACTGCAGCTTGTCGATGAGATTGGCCACATGCAGCCGCTAGCAGACGTCATTCAGAGCTGCAACAACGTGCTTGAGCTCATCCATGAAGATCCCCTAGCCAAGATCTTACCAAAGGTAGAGCATCTGCACGCGCACGTTTATGAATGGCAATTCGGCGGGTGGGCGAGCAAGGTGTATGCTGTTCTGTCGCTCTACAACGCGCTGACAGATACTATTGTTCGTTGGCGACGATTGGAGCTGTCAACATGGGCCAATTTATTCGAAACGGAACAAACAGAATGCCAAGAGGACGCTTATTCATGGTGGTTTATTGCCTACCAAGTTGTCGTTGCTGTTCCCCTCTCCATGGTTGATTCTCCTGCTGAACTGCAAGAGTATACTGTTTCGCTTATCCAGAGCTTGGAGACGTACTTTTTGACTTCCATCGTTGGGCAATTCGCAACTCGTTTGTCGCTTTTGCGACAACTGCAGAGCCATCTCCAACTTCTCATCCAAGACTACCCCAGCCTGACAGTCATCTACCACGCTCTAACAAATTTCGTCTTCTACTTTGCCCGTTACGAGAAGGCTGCTGAGGCTGCTATCCAGAAGGGCCGGGCCTCACTCGATAAGAAAATGAAGGATGTTCTTCTCATGGCCAGCTGGAAAGATACCAACATTAACGCTCTCCGGGATAGCGCCAAGAGATCTCATCAGAAGCTTTTCAGAATCGTTCGAAAATTCCGTGGCATTTTGGGCGCGGAAATGAAAATGGTTATTGAGCAGGGTCTTCCTGACCAGACGACATCTCAACAAGCAGCTGTGGCAGGCCAAGTTGGCGAAATCGACGTCCCTGATGCCGCTGTTGAGTCGCTAAATGGAGCACTGCCTGGCTGGCTTGAAAAGCACAAACGTCTTGGTAACGTAGTGAAGACGGTATCTGTGATGCAGAAAATCGCAGCCAGCCCTGAAGTCACCAGCTCTGTTCCCCAGTCTTTGGACGCATATCTTGCTAGCTTGGAAGAGTCAATGGCAGAGCTGAAGAAAGAAACCCCGTCAACTCTGACCGACGAGAATAAAGAGCAGATCAAACACATGAAGACTAGGAAGCGCAAGCTATTTGCCGACACACTACGAGACCTCCGCGGCATGGGTCTACGGCACAATCTTGGCCAAGATAAGTTGGCTGAGCAAGAATCGTTGTCTGTTGTGCTTGCCTCTACTGCGCCCTTGGTTTTTTCTGATTCCGGCATCTTGGGCGAAGCAGAGTATTATTTCCACAAGACGCTAGATCTCGCTCCAAAGGCCCGAAACGCGGCTCGAGAGCATTCCGAGGATTTGACTGGCTCTGAGGTCGCGCGAAGCATTGGCTTCGTGGAAGGGTTTATTCACTTCGCCCTGTCTCAACGAAACAGCCTCGCGAGCATCATGTCTGCTTTTGAATCACTAAAAAAGGCGATATTCCAGTTCCAAGACCTGGGTAAATTCCAAAGCTTGGGTGGTCTATCTCGAAGCCATGGAATCACCGATTTGCCCCGTTTCCTCCCATGGACCGTGCAAGGACTGAAATTCGCCATCCATCTGCTAGGCGTTCACGGCAAACTGGGCAAGCTTGATCACAGTGCATTGGTTCAAAAGCTGCAGACGTGGTTGGTTACCGTTGAGAATCACGCAAAGAGACTGGGCGAATTGGCCAACCTTCCTGCACTGCTGACGTCCGATGTCCATACTAAGCTACACGAGGATGTGACTAGAGATTTAACCGAGCTGCAATCAACTGTTAGCGAGGCTATTCAGAGCAACCCTGGTGTTGGCTTCATTCTTCAGCAACTTCGTGTCTGGAGCCATACGACCAATGATCCCATGGAAGCTCGAGGCCATGCAATGGATCTTTTGGGCTTTGCAGAATCAGTTTCCACTCTGTGTGACACCGTTTTGGTGGCTGTTGAGAATGCAAAGAAAGCCGGAGCAGAGATTCCAAGGAAAGAGGATGAGGCCGCCTGGTTGAAGAAGCATAGCGACGCTTATCTCTCCATGATTCATCAGCTTCGCATGAAGAACGTTGAGAAGACGATTGAGCAATGCATTCGCGCCTTGCAGAAAATCGATCTAGGACAGCCACTGGTAAGCATGGCTGCAATGAGTGCCATTACCGTCGCATCGCCAATCTTGAGTCAATTCGCGGCATTGTGTGAACAATCGATTACGGCCGGTCTAGATATTCATCGCGCTACCGTTAAGATTGGATATGGCATGACAAAAGCTTTCACGCAAATCGCTTCACAGGGATTCTGCACTCCGCAAGAGAAATCGGACGAGAAATCAGGTGCCGAGGGCAAGTTGGAATCTGGCACTGGTCTTGGCGATGGTGAAGGCGCTGAAGATATCAGCAAAGATATTCAGGCCGACGAGGACCTTTCTGAGCTTGCACAAGAGGCGAATAAGGAGAAGACTGGCGAGATGGAAGATGAAAAGGACGCAGTCGACATGGCAGACGAGGAATTGGAAGGAGACATGAACAGCGTGGATGGCGCGGAGGAAGAAGACGAAGACAAGTCTCAGAAGGGAGATGAGGAAGAGGAAGAGGATGCTATGGATGAGGAGGCCGGTGACGTGGATGACCTTGATCCCACTGCCGTCGATGAAAAGATGTGGGATGGCGATGATGAAAAGGCTGAGAAAGACCAAGAGGGTGATAAAGCAAAGGGCCAGAAGCAGGAGGATGAGCAAATGGCGACTGAAGGAGAAGCGAAACCGGAAGATGGGGACCAGGACCAGGACCAAGATCAAGATCAAAAGCCTGATGGCGAAGAACCCGAAGAGCCTGAGGCTGAGGACGTAGGGGCAGAGGAGGAAGACGTGCAGGCCAAGGAGGAGCTGAACCGCCAAGACCAAACAGTGGAAGAGAACGACGCACTGGAGCTTCCTGAAGACTTGGACATGAATCTCGACGAAAACGACGCAGAGGGCTCAGATGAGGATGACTTGGATCTCATGTCGGACATTGAAGAAGACAAAGAACAAGAAGAGCAACCTAAAGACGCGGAGGCAGTTGATGATGAGGAGATGGATGAGGACGCAAAGCAACAGGTAGAGCCAGAGACTGCGGTTGAGGATGAGGTGAGCGAGGCGGAAGAGATTGAAGAGAACGTCGGCGTGGACGAGATTCAAGAAGAAGCAGAGCCCGAGCAGGAGGAAGAGAAGAAGGATGAAGAACAGCCAGATGAGAGCCATCCAGACCAGACGCCTAATCAGCAAGAGGAGACCAAAGCAGACAAGGAGAATGCGGCACCCAGCGATGTCAAGAGTTCTGGAATCGACCAAAACGCAGATTCCATGGACGTGGATGACGAATTCCAAGCCAAGGCAGCTCAGCAAGATGAAGGCGACATGGGAGACGGCGCGGCGGACCAGGATACGAGCGCTGGCAACAAGGGAGCTACATCACGGTCGAAGGAGGCGGTAGATAAGCCCGAAGAGGGCGATGCTCAAGAAGAGGCTCGCAGTGACCCGTTCAAGAAACTGGGCGACGCACTGGAGAAATGGCACCGCCAACAGCTTGACATTAAGGATGCCAACCCCGAAGAAGACGAGCAGAAGCACGGGCCAGAAGCCGAGGAGCAAGGCCAGCGCGAATTCCAACACCTAAAGGATGACGAAGCAGCTGAGGACACTCAGGCTCTCGGCACGGCGGACAACGAAGAGGCACAGCCCCTGGATGAGTCTATGGCAATTGACGAGGAGAAGCAAGACCCAACCAGCCACGTCATGGACGGAGATGAAGACGAGAAGGAGGATGCAGAGCTTGACAAGATGGACCTCGGTGAGCCAGCAGAGGACGACAAAGAAGCGGGCATGAATGACGTGGATGACAGTCGCACTGGCGTGAAGACAAGACAAGGTGCCTACAACAAGGAGCCTACACCTGAAGAAGAGGAAGAAGAGGACCAGAAGCTCAAGGTCGAAGAGGAAGAGGAAGACGTCCAAGACGCATCCGCCCAACTCTCGACAACTCACCTTTGGGAGGACCAACGGCCTTTGCGCGACTTTCCCCAGTGCCTTGAGCAGTGGACCGAACTTCAGACCAAGTCCCACAGCCTGTCGCTGTCGCTAACATCCCAGCTGCGACTGATTCTCACGCCCTCGCAGTCCACCAAGCTGTCGGGATCGTTCCGCACCGGAAAGCGACTCAACATCAAGCGCATCATCCCTTACATTGCGTCGAGCTACAAGCGGGACAAGATCTGGATGCGGCGCAGCATCCCGACCAAGCGGACGTACCAGATCATGCTGTGCGTGGACGACAGCAAGAGCATGGGCGAGTCGTCGTCTGGCGCGCTGGCAATGGAGTCGTTGGTCATGGTGTCGCGATCCCTGACGATGCTCGAGGCCGGCCAGGTGGGCGTGCTGGGCTTCGGCGCCGACGTCTTCACGGCGCACCAGCTGACGGATCCCTTTGCTTCGGACGCGGGCGCCAAGGTCCTGCAGCGGTTCTCGTTTGGCCAAGACAGGACGGACATTGCGCTGCTGATCCGGCAGACGATTGACACGTTCCGCACGGCTCGACAGCGGTCGGGCGGAGGATCGGACCTGTGGCAGCTCGCGCTGATCCTCTCGGACGGCCTGACGCCGTCGTCGGCCCACGATTCCATCCGGCGGCTGCTACGAGAGGCCATGGAGGAGCGCATCATGATTGTCTTCATCATCATGGACGACACGGGCAAGAAGAAGGGCGACAGCGTGCTGGAGCTCAAGGAGGCCAAGTTTGTCAGCGAGGGGGGCGAGAGCCGGGTCGTGATTGAGCGGTACCTGGACACGTTCCCCTTCCAGTACTACCTGATTGTGCATAATCTGGAGGAGCTGCCGAGCGCGCTGGCGGGACTGCTGCGGACGTGGTTTGCAGAAGTGGCATCGTGAAGTTGTGTAACGACGGATAAAGTTGAGAAAAGCATGGGAACACGGCGTTTTCAGGGGATTGGATTGGATTGGATTGGATTTGTGATGTTTATGCCTGTGTTTGAGAGCTTAGACGGGGTTTCGCTTTCTTCTTCTTTCCTTACAATGCATAGAATAATGGTATTTTAGATGTTGTTCATTTTTCAGATAATCACATGTTCTTGACGTCTGAAATGCTACATGGCGCCACCCTGCCTGACTCCATCCCTGCACATGTCAATACATGTCAAATGCAACCTGCAAGCCATGCCGCCCGATGACACAAACAATTCCCACGTCTCCAAAGGCACCGATAACGCAATTATAGCCGTATCTTTAGTACTATGTATTTGAGTTTTTGCTCTTCTTCTTCTTGCATTCTTTCACTCCATCCCTGTCCCTTGTCTCATTTGAATCCTGGCAACGGGAGCCTGGAGGCGGGAACATGGGATGTGATCAACTGAGACCTTTTTTTTTTAACTTGTTATCTAACCCCCCCCGTTCCTCTCGTCATCCTGCCTTAGCGTGTATGTCAAATCTGCAAGGAACCCACGGCGATGCTACGATAGATTTGAAATACTTTGTGCCTGTCAAGTATGCATATTTTGTTCCGTAAACTCCGTACTGACGTGGGGGAATACGAGTAGAGACAGGGCCTTGACTCATGGATCTGCGGCGGGAGATGATTGGCATGGGGGGAGAGACGATGGAGATAGTGAGTTGATTTGAAGGCTACCCTTGTTGTTGATGAGGCTGAGACATTGGGAGAATTGATTCATTCGACATGTCCGGCTTTTACAAGGCATACAATGATACACATTGTTTCTTCTACAACTATACATATATCTGACAGGTAGGTAAATAGTAGTATCTAGATCATGTACTCTTTTATTAATGCCAACATCTATTCTGGATCAGCAGATAGACATACGACTTCTCTCTCGTACGGACAGTTATAAAAGCGCCAAAAAAGCTCTTTGACTACCCCCACGCCCCGGGGGTTCAAAACGCCGAAAACGGACCGCTCGGTGGGCGATCTCGGTCTCGGATGGAAAATCATCAAATCAAAAGTCATTTGATTGATGCCTGCAAGCCGCACCGGGAAGGTGGAAAAGGAAGCGAAGCTGCAACTCTCGCCGTAAAAAAAGAAACCAAGGAAGATACGAATTCCATTTTTGGGAAACGATGAGGTCATGCCTCTAAAACGACTCATCTCTCTACTAATCCATCCATCTGTCCATCTACTACTTGTATTTATCTCTATCAAAGGCTGACATCTGACTAACACCACCGGCCCCGGATTCCGTTCCCTTTCCCCGCCGGCAGATCTTCAAGGCCCCAAAACTAAAATCAATAGCACCATCCACCATCCACCAAGCAACTTCATCTTCCTCTTCTCTTCTCCTCTCTTCTTCTTCTTATATCCTGCTTCTCCTCACTCTTCCGTCTTCTCTATGCCCATTCGACGACCCTTGACCCTCTCGACTCTCCGCCCTGTGATACTCCCGTCCTCACATCTCCCACATCTGCGTCCCCTCTCTCTGTCGCATTCTCTCCCATCTCCCCTCAAAATGACAACCACCACGGAATTGCGGTTCAGTAAGTCGTCCAAAACTCATCTCAAGGGAGTCATTGAAGAGAGCTGACCCTGTTTCCTTCAAACAGAGAACCCTGCCATCTTGTAAGCCACGCGCGCCTAGACAATCGCAAATCTCGACCCCAACACTCCATCACGACATGACCATGGTGAGAACCTCGGCTGACAATACACAGTGTCTGTGACATGCAGGACAAGTTCCGCAGCGTCATTTACGAATTCGACAGCATGTAAGCTCCCAACTCCCCTCTTCCCGGCATCATCATCACCAAGCCTCCATCCATCCCGCTAACATCAACACCAACAAAAACAAAGCGTCACCACCACCATCAAGCTCCTCACCTACGCCCAATCCCTCTCCATCCCCGTCCACACAACCACCCAAACCTCGGCCAAACTCGGCGCCACCGTCTCCGCCATCGCCGACCTCCTCCCCTCTCCTCCCCACGACAAGACAAAGTTCTCCATGCTCGTCCCCTCCGTCGCCGCCGCCCTCCAGCCCGGATCCCGCATCGCCCTCGTCGGCATCGAATCTCACATCTGCATCACCCAGACCGCCCTCGACCTGCGCGACGCCGGCCACTTCCCCTACATCATCGCCGACGGCGTCAGCTCCTGCAACCGCGGCGAGGTCGCCATCGCCCTCGACAGGCTGAGGAGCGAGCCGGGCATCGTCGTCACCACGAGCGAGAGCTGGATGTACGAGTGCCTGGGCGATGCTTCACACCCCCTGTTCAAGTCCTTAATCACCGTCGTCAAGAACAAGAGCAGCGACACCAGCAAGGTCCTGAGCGTGCTACCCCCTGCTTCCAAGATCTAAATCGGCAAAACATGCCCTCTGTTTTCTCGTTTCGTTTCTGTATTCGGTTTGGCTCCAACACTTGTATTCAAAACATTCCGGCCGCGTGCCGCATCCTCATTTTAGATCAAGGAGGAGGCAGTTAGTTAATTCACAGGGGCAAGTCATCATCACCAGTCTCATGTATGTACCTAGATACAGCGAGGTTTGGAAAATCTGCGAGGAATTAGGGCGCTGAATTGTTTCAATTCCTAGCTACAGCAATAGACGCGGCTGCGAGGCCCAAGTCAAAATCTAGACCAATCACTTCACAGAGTGTCAGTTCATCGTAGGAATTGTAGATGCTCAAATCCACAACACCCCTGGGGGCAACCATCCTTGCTGGGCGTTTTTTTATTCTGCCGATGGCGACGTCTTGGTAGGCTTCGCCGGTGGTGTCATCCAAGGAAAGGCCGACGCTGCTCCTATCGGGTTGTTCGCCGACCTGGGCAACGACACTGAAGTCGAGGCCGCCCGGCCGCTGGAGCTGGAACCGGACTTTGCTGCTTCGCCTTTTGCCTCGCCTGGCGTCGCTGGCCCCTTGATATCCCCCCACCTGATGCCGCCATTCGTAGCTGTCGAACTTTCACCGTTCATGCTCACCTGGCTCTTCCGCCGGCCAAGCTCAGACTTGGATGGAAGCGGGGGTTCGTACGACGCCCCGGTGCGTGCCGACGACGACCCCGATTTCTGGGCCTTGAGCACCTTCATGTTGCGCCCCCGAGGTGCGGGCTGATATCCGCTCAGAGGCGGTCCAGTCTCGCGTTGATCCGCTCCGCTGCCGTTGGGGTTGCGCCAAGAGCCCCAGATGCCCGACGACGTTCCTCGTCGCGAAGTTTCAGACGCGCTTGATCCGTCTCTTCGTCGGCGCTCGGAGCCGTTGGCGTCTCCTCCAGACTTTTCGTTTTCCTCCTCGTAATCGGTAACACTATTCGCCCGAACACGGCCCGAAGGCTCGGAATGCGATGTAGCGGGAGAGGCCTGGCTTCTTGTTTCGCTGCTTCCCGACTCTTTGGTCGTTGCCGTTGCTGATGAAGGCGTCGTTGCCGTCGCCGTAGATGTTGCGGTCAGTGGTGCAGCCGCGGCCTTGTCCTCGCCATCAGCCCGGCTACCATCTCCAAAGACGAATGGTGCGGCGTTGGCATTCAGCTTCGGCCGTTCTGGGGCGGCGCTGCTGGTGGTTATGTGGCGGAATACCTCTTCGTCCTCTGGGCGAATAAAGGGAACTCGCAGTCGGTCTCGCTCGTTGCTATAGAGCACCATTGTGTTCTGAGAGAAGAGAATATCGGCCGCATGTGCCCTCAGGGCATCGCTGCCGATGAAGATGCGGACTGCCTTCGACGCCTGGTTCGGCTTCGTCTGCTCACTGCCGCACATTTCAAAGCAAACCGACATGGAGGGAACCGAGCCTGCAGCGGAGTCTGACCGACTGCTATGGCGTGTGATGACGGCCTCTGCAAGATAGACATCCAACCTGGCCCTGTAAACTCCATTGACGTCTCGGTGGAACTCGCTGAGAAAGTCCAGCTCTTTTACGAGCGAATAATCAATCGTCGACTTTTGCGACCCAGTGCAAATGTCCGCATAGAGCAGCGTTCCGTGGGCGTAATCCGTGGTCAGCCAACAGCGAACAATGGAAGGGACCGTTCCTAGGACGTAAACGGAGGCTGGAAGCCCCGGCATGTCAAAGGAGGAATCGTCGTCGTCTTCATCGCCCGTGGCAAAATTTGTGTCGAGGCCAATGCTACTGGCTCGGCCTGACGCTACAGAATGGTGTGAGTGAACCGAGTGCCCGGCCGAACTATGCCTGCCGTCTGACTTGTGCGACAGGGACCGTTCCATCATATATCCGGGACGGACTGCGCCAAAGTCTCCAGAGTGACGGTTGTTTTGGGCACCCCAGCTCGAGCCGTGCAACGCGCTCTCGTCAAACCGGACGCTGTTTGCTCGCGAAGCCGCACCACCGCGCCGAACTGGTTCCTCCTCTGCAGGTCCCAAGTGTAGAGAGCCCAGCAGCTGCTCTCCCTGCTCATCCAAGTCGTCAAATACATCATTCTGGGAAATTTGGACGGGCCCTACAGACAGCATTATTGTTAGTAGATGTAGAAAGAAAAACAAGATGCTTTCATCATAAACAGTGTAGAGGGCCATGGCTCACCATGCTGTGGCGTCCCGGCCAGAACTCCTGGAAACGGGGAGTTCCACACAGATTTCAGCGCAGAGTCGTCTGCCTGACGCTTCTCTAGTCTCACGATTCGTTCTGCGTGGTTGGCTTGGGCATATTGGACCTGCTTCAACTCCATCTGCAGGTTGTATAGCTCGTCCCGGGAGACAGAAAAGCGGGGATCCATGTCCAAAAGACTTCTCAGCAAAGAGATTGAGGGGACATGTGAGGGTGAAGAAAGACAAGTTCAAGTCGTTAGGAGGGGAGAGCGTAAACTTGAACAGCGGGTTTAAAGGGGGAAAAAATATTAAGCTTAGGTATCGACACAAAGAAACAAAAGGAAGACAGAGCAGGGTTCAGGCAGGGTTGCACAACGTTGAAGCCACAGGGGTAAAGAGCGAGAGGATGCCAAGTATCGTAAGCCTGGGCTTCACAGTCGACTCGGCGGCCGTTGAGAGGTGGTTTGTTGGTGCGTGGCTCTTTTTGGATTTATTCCCTCGATTATATCAACAGTTCACGGTCAACCTCGTCGGCCACATCTCCTTGCCCTACACCCCGGGGCCACACTGCCGATAACGCAGAATGTGCGCTATGGCCTGGGTAGAAATCAAGGCTTGAGCACTTTGGGTATTGGATGCGTCGATAGAAGCGAAAAATGGTTCAAGTGACGGCGAGATCGCGTGGGCAGATACTGTGTCGTCACGGACACAAGGCGGCACCAATATTGTGGGTTTAGCCACGCCCAAGAGGCCTCGTATGCGGGAGTATAATGCTTATAACAGGTGCAGGACAAATTTTGTGTATACGATAACGCGGCTAGGACAAAGCAGTAGCCGAATACAGAGGCGGAATATATGTCGGTATGTGTACGTTGGATGCGTACGGAGCAGAGCAGTTGGACGGTTTGCTTGGTCAGGCGCAGGTGCTGTATATCGCAGGGAGAGTCGCGACGAGGGCGCAGCGTCCAACGGGCAACGGATATGCTGAGTCAGTAGGCGGTAGGAATGTTGGAACTGCACGAGCGAGTGGGCGAGAGGGGGGCAGCGTTGAAGAAGCTGGCCGGCCGTTTGAGCGGAGGCGTTGGAGAGGGAGAGGGAGAGGGAGAGGCGACGAGTCGGAGCAGAGACGGCGGAGAGGAGAGACGGAAGAGGGACAGCCGCAGAAGGAGACGGGCTTATCGATTGGCGGGCTGTGGCATGTGCATGTGCGTGTGCATGTGCATGTGCAGACGGGACATGGAGGTAAATACAGTAAACGGCTGAGGGCAAGCACAAGCACAAAGCACAACACGCGGTTTCAGGTCCAAGGCGGATGGATGATGGATGATGGATGATGGATGATGCGAGGTTGTTGCGTCTCTCCACAACCCGAGAAAAACACCACCTACTCATGACCAGGGAGCACAGGCTATCGATTGGCCAACAGCGGCCTTTACAGCGCAGGGCAGCCAAGCCCAGCCATTGCTTACAGCGCCGTAGCGGGTAGGCGGCCGGCTGTAAGCTGGCGCTTCCCCGCAGACAGCCCTGTAAGTCCAGGTTCCAGGTTCTGACTGACAAATGTTCCATGCTCGTGTCCCATGTCCCATGCCATCCATGCATTCAGCATGATTCCTCCCTTCATATGACGTACATTCTCAGCCGAATACTGCACATCAGATTGCTCGATATAAATGCGCATTTCATCTCATGTCATGTATAAATCTGATGCATTGCGTCAGACAACTCTGCCGTCCTGCGCATCACCCATTTAGTCTTGATCTATCTATACCTGCATCCTCTACTAGTCTACCCTCTCCATCTGTTTGATATCTAATATACCAACATATCCATAGCATCACAAGTATGGCGGTAATGAGCAGTTCATCTATTCTAGGGAGACGCGCACAGGAGGAGCCAGAGCCACCTTGGGAGGGTTCACCACTCGCCAGTCGGGCAGCACATAGTCTCCCCTCTCATCGGCAACAATGTCTTGCCCAATGTGCGCCTTGATCTCGTCGAAAAACACCTTGTAGCCTTCTCCGCTCATGTGAAGTCCGTCCGGAAGAAGCGTGGCCAGGCCCCCCTGCTTCCCATTTTCTGGTGACCCCAGCCACGGACCTCCAGGCTGATAATCTCCGGGAGCCAGGGAAATCGCCTCGCCCATAATGGCCTGCCAGAGATCAATCAAAACCACGCCGGGGTTCTCGCGGGCTACCTCCCGGGCTTTCTCTGCATACGACGCAGATACGGCCGAGCTTCGGATCGCTTGGGCGTGGCCCTGTGCCATGTCTAACTCCTTGAGCCTGATTTCATCCGCCGGAGGAGGCGTCACCAGCAGGATCTTGGGGTTGTGCGCCCGTACCCGAGCATCGTTGATGATCTTATTCAAGTTCTCTTTGTATGTTTCAATGGGGACATGTTGCGAGGTAGTCTCCAGAGGAAGAACTGCGTCATTTGCGCCCAAGAGAACAAGCTGGTGGTTTCCCCCGCTCATCAGCATCATATACTCTTGATGGGTAAGACTTCATCTCTTTGCATTTGCACTCACCAGATACGCAATCTTTGGTGACGAATCAGATGGCTCTGAGAAAATCTCGGGCAAATACTTGACCACGTTTGCTGTGTTCCATCCTGAGAAGCCGCGGTTAACCACGTCGAAGCGTCGTATCAGCCCTGTAGATTCTTGGTTAGACATCCCACTCTATGTCAGCGAGTCCTGCGCTTGAAGGTCTTACGTGTTTGAAGAGCCGACTGGAACGAGAAACCGCTCAGGGTGAGAGCCGTAAATTCGATCAGAGAGTCCCCCAGGAGGATAACTTGAGGATACGGTTTCTATGCCCAGTGAGCTTTCCACAGAAACTACCCGAGTGGTTTTGTCACATACCGCCATTTTGCCACATACACCACCAGGGAAATCTCTTTTCCTCGAAAATTGTAGATGCGGCAGAATTGGTATGTACGAAGATGCGGGGGGTTCAACTGTTAGGACTCTACGGAGGAGTATCGCCGCGCTTATATCAATAGTAGCCTGCTCCCCACTTGAATCTCACCGAATAACGAGGTTTGCCATTTTGCTGCTTTTATCAATCTCCAATTGGTCGGATATAAATGCAATGGAACACACGGCACCATATAATGGTATGGAGTAACTCAGATATGCAAACCCTGCCTCAGTTGGTAATTCAGTCAAGTAGAATAATAATGCCTCCAAGTAGACTTGATATTGAACATCCAGCCGTAACGACGAAAGCTTCATACCCCGTAGTACTTAGCCAGCTGAAGAAATAGGTAAAATCAACCACGCTCACTCATGCTTCCAATACAATGCACCATCGCACATACAATCGAAGACAAGCCTTGTGCGCCAAAAGATGAGTTCCCAGACGGCTAATGTCATTGATCTCCAGCACTACAGGTAACCTGCTCCGTACTGCACGGAGTAATGGATGTCTTAGTGTAATCGCTGGTGCTCCAAATTTAGTGGTAAGATGGATGACACCAGCCACGTGATTGGACGTGGAGTACATTCTGCAGCCAACTAAGTTGTTAGTGCGGCGTTATCGATAAGAAAATTATCAGCCAGTCTCCGCCAACTTTCCAGGTCTTGAAAAAAAAAAAAGTTCAACAGGCTTCAAGGCGCTACAGTCAAGAACGCCGCGTTCCTGATTTTTCCCACCTCGAGCCCGTTTTCCGACCTGGAGCCTCGAATTTCGACATAATGGCGACCTCGCTTGCTGCGCAGCTGGCGCAGGTTGCCGCAAACTCCAAGTCGAGTTTGGATATCAAAGCGCAAAAGGCTGCCCATTCAAAGTCTCTGATCTGGGAGCCTCGAGTTGCGGCTGCCCAGAGCTATCAAACTCTGTATGCGACATGCCACCAGGGCTTTGAAGAGCTTTGCCAGCTAGACAGTCGATTCACTGCCTTCCAATCAACACTATTCAGCGAAGAGAGCCAGAACCAAGACCGAAACCAGCTCACAATCGCTGAGAATGAAGAGCTGGACCGTCACATCGAGGCCTTCCTCAGGCTTGTGGGAAGTCGGCTGAGACTGATGCCCGCAATCAAGGCCATTGAGTGGCTGGTTCGACGATTCAAGTGCGTCTATCACTAAGGCGAATCAATTGCCGTCTCCCCTCAAGTTGAATGGGAGTTTAGCTGACCCGTCTACCCATCTGTAGCGTTCATGTGGATAATACGTCAATTCTGCTCATGACCTTCTTGCCATATCATTCCATCACCGCATTTGCAACTCTCCTATCCATTCTACCCCCGAAGATTCCAAGCCAGTTCCGATTCCTCGATCCCTATATTCGATCTCTCACGCCACCTCCCCGATCCATCTTTGTTCACCAGGCCATCCACCACGTCGACTTCGTAACTGCCGTGTCTGAATACGTTCTCGAATCATGCCGGAAAGGCTATCAGTATCCCGCCCTCATCACCTTCTGGGGCGGGCTCGTAACCGAAGCCGTGAGCGGAATCCTGGATCGCACAAAGTCTGGCCGAGCTGCGGTGCAGAGCGACAGCAGCCAGGCGTTGTTGCATAGACTAGGCCCCATCTTCGCCGAATCGCTCGTCATGAGAAAGGTCCCCAACCTTCAAATTGCCTCCTACATGGCTGTGGCCGTCTTCGTCTCAAAGGGCGATCTGCACGATAATGCTGTTACCGCGCTGATGCAGCAGCTCGTTCACGGCTGGACTGCCGACACCGTTCGACCCGGCCTAGTCTGCTTGACCATCCTCGCTCAGTTCCGATCCGCAAAACAGATGAGCAGCAAAGTTACCAGAGCGCTTATGAAGGTGCAAGATATTGGTGGTCTTCTCGTCGAAATTGGCCAGGAGCGTCGTGTAGATAAGTTGGCAAACGGATTATGCTTGGCACTGGTCGAAAGACTGGTAAAGAAGGGCGATTCGCGAGGCCTTGCAACAATCACCACGATCCTGGGCAGCAACATCTTAAAGGACAAGCAGGTGTCTGTCATTTTCAAATCACTGCTCTTAACGGCTCACGAGCTCAACGACGAAAACGACAAGGACGGTTCTCTGAGAAGGGATGTCGGATCTACCCTGATATCTCTGTCTCAAACCACTGGATCGTCGGGCGAGGTTATCCAACTGGTCATTAACGAGGTCAAATTCGATATCGAGGAGCTGGAAATGAAGCTGGACCTCGTATTCCGCACAAGGAAGCTTCCTGAATCCACCTCGAGAGAAGACGAAGCAGGTGACGCCGCTGCTCAAGCCCAATCACAGGACCCCGAGGCACGCCTCGCCGAGGTGGCCAACATCTCCGAGTCTCTCGCTTCGTCTCTCTCAACGGAAGATGATGCAGCCTTTGTTAGCCTCAGTGATTTGTTTGTGTCCATCGTCTCCGACCAGACTCCACGAAAATCGGAACTTCTTGCCCAGCTGGACCAGTTCCCCAAGCTCAAACGGGAGTCGGCCTTGGCAGACTGCACATACTGTAGCTTCTTTATTAGGATCTGGTGCGGACTATATCCAGCATTGGCGCGCGCGGCGGCATTGGATATGGTTCGGAACAGATTAAAGGCTGCACAAGGGTCTACGGTGGATGTACAGGCCCTTATCCCCTACAGTGTTGCGGCTCTGGGTGACCCTTCCAAGCGAGTGCGCCAAGCAGCAGCAGATCTCATTACCGTAGCAGCTGGGCTATGCAAGCCTCCCTTTGCTAAGCAATCAGTAACGGCATGGGGAGCCGAGTCTCTCTATGGAAAGCTCAAATCCAAGGATGTTGCAGCCCTGGGCGTAGATGTTGCCGCCAGGTTCCTTCACCTCCAGCTTCTGCCAGCAGTTGAAGAGTGCGTCATGGACCCGGACCACATCTCTGCCGTTCTTAAATCTGCCATCGAGAGCGGCAAATATCAACTCGCCCCTGAGCCATCTCTGGACAAGAAAGATCACCTATCCCAGTCCGGCAGACAGGCGCTGCTAACCTTCTTCGCCTCTCATATTGTTTCGACTCCATTACTGCTAGTGAAGAGTAGACTTCTCAAATCCCTGAACGAAATCCGCGGTGTCTCCAACGTGACAAGGACACAGCTTCTCCTACCTGCTTTGCAGTCTTGGGCTGGCTTGGCGGATTCCGAGGCGACAGAGATCTGCCTCTCTCAACAGCTGGACAAGTCCATCTTGGATTCTCAATTCATTGACATTATTGTTCCCAGCGACGCTGCCGGGTTGGAATTTGTGTTTACACTGTTGAAGGACGCTACAAGCGGCGAAAGGCCAGGCCTTATTCGGGCGGCTTTCTCCCGAATCAAGAAGATGTGGGGTTCGATGAAGGACGAAATGAAGTTTATGGTGGCGGAACAGTTCCTGGAGCTGTCTCAAGAACCAGAGGCAGCTTCCGAAAATACGGAATCCGTCATCCCGGCCGAGGCTGCGGATCTTCTCAAGTCCGTGCCCCTGACGACAGATATCTTATCCTTCTTCTTGGACTCGATTCAGACGGGCACCAAGATGATTACTGAGCCTCCTCCTAACAAGCGAAGGCGAACAAGCTCTTCCGATGCCAACCGCGGTCTGAACACCCAGGTTACTCCCGAGCTGAGCCGTGCGCTGCGCAAGGTTACTTTTGTTCTGCAAATCGTCGACAGCTCGGATCCCGTATCACATCCTGAGCTGCTGGACGGTCTGTTCACAGCTTTATCCGAGCTTCAACACTTTAGGACTGTCGTCGGCTCAGAGCTGGGATACCTGCAGAACCTGATCCTACGCAGTCTTCTGGCCATGATGCCAGCGTACAAGGCCAACAAGAATCTCAAGGTGGACAGCTCTGGCGGTTACGGAGACTTGCTCGTAAGCTGCATCCAGAAGTCATCAAGCCCTGTAGTCCAGAACGCTGCGCTGCTGCTGATTGCAAACCTGGCCACTATCGCACCGCACCTGGTGCTTCACAGCGTCATGCCCATCTTCACCTTCATGGGCACATCGGTGCTTCGCCAGAGCGACGACTACTCTGCTCACGTCGTAGCGCAGACAATCAAGGAGGTCGTGCCTCCGCTGATTGAGTCGCTGCGGCAAGGTCAGAAGAGCCCCGTTGCCGGTGCCTCGGACATTCTGGTCAGCTTCACGACGGCCTACGAGCATATTCCGGTGCACCGACGGCACGGCCTGTTCGTAGCACTGGTTGAGACCATGGGACCCAAGGACTTCTTATTCACGCTGGTGAGCATGCTCGTCGACCGCTATGAACTCAACGACGACTTGCTCCAGTTTATTTTGAATCTTCTCAATGATTTCACCATCGAAATCCAGCTGGAGACGCTGGTCAAATTGCTCGACCTCACTTCTGATCTTTTCAAGCCCAAACCTTCCTTGTCGCTTGTTCTGCTTGGTAGCGGTGATGAAGAGGAAGAAAAGGACGTTGAAAAGATTGCCCTTCGCCAGCTTTCCGTGCTACCGAGCCTCTTGGCAAACCGAAAGCTCAAGGTACAGATTAGCAAGCTTGCCGACCGAGATGATATGGAAACGTCAGAGGTCCGCCAACTCTATGCGACTCTGCTTGAGGACGTTCTGGTACTCGCGGACACGGTCAAATCGAACAAGAGCCTGCACAGCCGATGCGGCAATGCACTTTCCAACCTGCTGAACCTCCTGTCAATTGGTGAATTCATCAAGGCCGTGGAGAGCCTGCTCGACAGACCCAACCTTGACCTACGCCAAAAGGTCCTTCGCGCGTTGGAACTCCGTGTGGGATCGGAAAGCAACACGGATCCTGCGTCAAGGACAGCCTTGCTCACCTTCCTGCCACAGCTCACGGCGGCGATCCGGGAGTCCAGCGATATCCGCTACAAGCATACCGCCGTCACCTGTGTTGATAAGATTGCTGAGAAGTATGGCAAGAAGGATATCGAGGCTGTGGTTGCGGCTGCATCAACAATTGCCGGAGAACACTGCCTTGGCCAAGACGAGAAGCAGCTTCGTATCATGGCTCTCTTGTGCCTCACCTCTCTCGTCGACGTGCTGCAAGACGCCATTGTACCGGTTTTGCCCATTGCTATTCCTCGGGCAGTTGCCTATCTCAACCAAAGCTTACAAGAGGATACACGAGATGAGGAGCTTCACTCTGCCGGCTTCGGATTCATCAGCGCTCTTGCTGAACACCTGCCGTACATGCTCTCCACTTACATTGGCCGGATCTTGGAAGTTTCCAACAAGTCAGCGGAGGCCGAGCTTGATGCGGAAACCAATGAGGCCCGTCTTGGATGCCGCGAGTTCCTTGCGAAGAAACTGGAAGCGAAGGAGATCTTCACAAGCTTGGACCTGAACTGGGACAGCGCCACATCCAACGGCTTTACGGTAAGATGTGACAATAAGATGATGGGTTTTGGAGAAGATAACAGGGCACTAACTTTGGGAACACAGGCTACGTCTGAGTACATCGAGATGCTGGGAATGGCCATCGACAAGCACCCCAAGTCGGCCGTTACCAAGAACGCCGGAGTTTTGTCCAGCATCTTGCTAAAGGCATTCGACTTGCGAAGGCAGATACTGGCCAAAGGCGAGACCAGCGATGCAACGCTTGCTCGTGTCACTGCCCTGGAGGAGTCGATGAATGACAAGGCGCTGAAGATGATTTACAAGCTCAACGATGCCGCCTTCAGACCCATCTTCGTGCAGCTTGTCGAATGGTCTAGCACAGGGCTCCCCAAGGACGACAAGGCTGGATTGGCAGCCCGACGATACAGTGTCTACGGGTTCTTGCAGTCATTCTTCGAGAACCTCAAGTCGATTGTGACCAACTATGCCACGTACGTGTTGGAGGATGCCATCAAGATTCTGAGCAGCGTCGATGTCAAGGTTGGCGGCGAAAAACAGCTTTGGAGCCGCGTTCTCAACACACTGGCCAAATGCTTCGAGCATGATCAGGACGACTTCTGGCAAGCGCCATCGCACTTTGGAGCAATTGCCCCTGTGCTGATGGAGCAATACGCCCACGCTGCATTGGTCAACGTCGAGGAAGCCCTGATTCCCACAACCGTGGAGCTTGCGGCAGCGGCAGACTCGCAGGCTCACCAGAAAGAACTGAACTCGGCGCTGCTCAAGCATCTTCGATCAGAAAAGGCAGCAATCAGGTTGGCGGCTGTCAAGTGCGAGCAGGCGTTGACGGATCGACTCGGCGAGGAATGGCTCTCGATGCTGCATGAAATGCTTCCTAGAATCAGCGAGCTGCAGGAAGATGACGATGAGGTGGTTGAAAGAGAGACTCACAGATGGATTGTCAAGATTGAGGGCGTGCTTGGCGAGAGCTTGGATGCCATGCTGCAGTAATTTGGGAGGGGAGTATATAATAAAGCAAAGTGTGGATTGGCGTGTCAGGAAATGTCACGCAAGGGGGAGACCAAAAAAAAAAAGGCAGTCGATGTGAGTTGTATGGTGTTGTGGATATAAATTGGTAGCTTGGATGGGTATATTTCCAGATCTCGGCAGCATTTGGCGCAATATACAGAGTACATTTTGGAATCGACTCGAGAACGAGCGTAACAGTAACTGCCAGCATGTTTAATGTAAGAAACCTGTTCAAGATAAATTCTGATCAGCTTACCATTGACTCCTGAGAGTATAACCAACTGTCTCTGGGGAATTGTATCTGGCACTATTAGGAGTATTGAGCTAGAAATCAGATAGATGCGCAGAATAAAATAAAAAAATCTGGAAAAACTGTTGACAGATATTGCATGATTTGTCTCGTTTCTTCTTCAATTCATTTCTTTCATCAAATCGAAAAATAAATCATTTATTTCCCCTTTGCCATGGTTGGTGAGCTACTTCAACATGGCGTCATAATCAAGCTCACGTCCTATGGGTCCGATCATAGCCGCCTCCCGGGTATCAAATTGCGCCCTGCGAGTCTTGAGCAATTTCCACCACACATTTTCACCTCTAAAAACAACCACCATTTCTTTCTTTTACACTCAACTATTTCATACCGACTTGATCCCTCTACAACATCTTTTCGAAATATCAATAGAATAAACTAACCGACCAAAATGGCCAGGAACAAAGTAGACTACGGCGTCTACCTGGTGACGGACTCGACGCCCGCCATCCTCGGCAACAAAGACCTCACCAGCGTCGTCGAAGCGGCTCTGCAGGGCGGCGTGACGATTGTGCAGTACCGCGACAAGCTGAGCGACCGGGAGACGGCGGTGAAGACGGCGAGGGCGCTGCACGAGGTGACGAAGCGGTTTGGCGTGCCGCTGCTGGTGAATGACCGGGTGGACGTTGCGGTTGAGGTTGGATGCGAGGGAGTGCATATTGGACAGGATGACATGGGTGAGTTTTTTTATAATTTTGGTTTGTTTTGGTTTGTTTAATGCTTGTATTTGCACTGTTGAGGAGCATGAGATGGAGAACCTTTACTTGTTGAGATTCAGTTTGCTTTTATTTGGTGTAGATATATCGTGGAGCAACAAGACAAGCTGACCATGATGACTCAAAACAACAAACAGCATACGAAGAAGCTCGAAAACTGCTGGGCCCCGACAAAATCATCGGCGTCACAGCCAGCTCCATTGAGGAAGCCCTCAAGGCCTGTGAAGCCGGCGCCAATTATCTCGGCCTGGGCACCGTCTACGCCACTTCAACGTAAGTCGTCCTCACGGAAACTCTCCCCCTTTGTCCCCCCCCTTTTTTTCAACACACGATATCACATATATATATACAACACACATCTCACACGCAACACAGCAAAAAAGACACAAAATCCATCATCGGCCCCTCCGGCATCCGCTCCATCCTGCTCGCCCTCTCCTCCGCCGGCCACTCCATCCCCACCGTCTGCATCGGCGGCATCAACGGCTCCAACGCCACCTCCGTGCTGGCCGAGTCCAGCGCCGCCCCTGCAAAGAGCCTCGATGGCATCGCCGTCGTCAGCGCCATCATTGCCGCCGCGGATCCTGCGGCCGCGGCCCGGGATTTACTTGGAAAGGTCGTGGCCGGCCGGGTTCCGGATGTCGTCAAGGCTGTGGCCGCTTCGACGCCGTTGTCTCATAACATGACCAACCTGGTGAGTCGCCAACTCCGAAGAATGAAATACTCATATGAGTGATTGACTGTTTTCATGCTTAGGTCGTACAAAACTTTGCCGCCAACGTCGCTCTCGCTGTTGGCGGAAGCCCCATCATGGCCAACTACGCCGAAGAGGCCGCTGATCTGGCCAAGCTGGGAGGCGCCCTCGTCATCAACATGGGCACCGTGACGCCTGAAGGCCTCAAGAACCATATCCAGGCACTGCAGGCATACAACGCCGTCGGAGGACCCGTCGTGCTCGATCCCGTTGGGTACGTCCATGATAACTTCTTTTAGCTCTCTCCCCCCTATTCACCTTTACTTCGCTTCACATATGATTTCGATCCTTGATGCTAACCTCACACGTCTACAGCGCCGGAGCAACCTCCATCCGCCGCAACGCCGTCAAAACGCTCCTCTCCTCGGGCAAATTCACCGTCATCAAGGGCAACGAAGGCGAGATCCAGACCGTCTACGGCGCCTCCGTCACCCAGCGCGGCGTCGACTCCGCCTCATCCCTGACCATCCCACAGCGTGCCTCCCTCGCCAAGTCCGTCGCCCGCAGCACCGGCGCCGTTGTCGTGCTGACCGGCACAACGGACGTCGTCAGCGACGGAGTGAGGACGCTGCGCGTGGACAATGGGCACGAGTTTTTGGGCCGAGTTACGGGCACGGGATGCACGCTTGGGACGACCATCAGCGCCATGGAGGCCGCGTTTCGCAGTGATCCGTTGATTGCGGCTGTGGCGGGCATGGTCTTGTTTGAGATTGCGGCGGAGAGGGCGGCTGTGAGGGACGATGTACGAGGGCCGGGAACGTTTGTGCCGGCTTTTATCGATGAGCTGAGCGCAGTTCGGACAGAGACGGCAAACGGGGACGTTTCATGGCTCGCGAGGGCCAAGATTGAGGCTCTGGCTGTAGAGTGAAGAATCTAAACAAGTATCAAATTTGAGTGGTTGATGTATAAACCAATAAAAGGAGGACTAGATCTTGGGCCAGATGATGAAGAGAAGAGAAGGCCTGTGATGCATGCTCCCTGCCGGACGAAAAATACAGAACCGCTAATATAATCCAAAACCCCAATTCTGCTTGCTTCGATGCTCAAAACGCCCTGATGATACCCATTTGTCCAGTCTGTGGATCGATCCAAAGATCCATGTTATATCCCAATCTTACACTCAACCCCCCCAAAAAAACACCGTATTAAAACGCATCCATCGCCATCGGCTCCCCATTCAAGCTCCACGCCGTATCATTCATAAAGCCCTGCCACAAATCATCATCCAGATCCTCTATCCCCATCACCATCCACCCCGGCCCATCTTCTCTCTTGTTCACCACTGACGGCGGCGATAACGACGCGGAATCACCGCCGCTCCTCACATCTTCCACCCCGAGCTTCTGCAACTGCAGATCCACCAGCTCCCTCGCGTACTTGAGCAACTTGTACATCCTATCCAACGGATCCTCCTCCATCCAACGGTCGCTCTCCCTCCGCGCCACCACCGCGCCCACAACCTCAATCTCCTGGTCCAGCATCTCCCTGACCCCCAGCTCGGAAACGATGTACCTCGGATCCCACCCGGGAAGCCGTACGATGAGCATTTTGATGCCGGTGATGATGGAGTAGGCGAGGTCCGAGGCGTTGAGGCCGAGAAAGTTGCGCTGCTCCTTGTCGCCGACGTCGCAGCGCTCGGCGGCTGCGTGGGCGGTGTAGAAGCGGCGGAGGGCACGGAGACAGGACCACAGGAGCTGGATGCGGTCTTGGAGGGTGAGGCCGACGGAGGAGCAGTGAGGGTCGGAGATGGAGATGTCGGCGAGGAGGACTTGCGATATGGCCATGTGGCATTGGATGGTGGCTGCAAACATGTTAGAACGTTGAATTCATGAAAAGGGCAAGTGTTGAGAAAAAGGAGAGAGGAGAACTTGCCATTGTCGACAAGGTGAGGCGGCAACGATGCCCGATACGCATCAATCTGCTCCTGAAACGTCTGTATCACCATCGTCAGGGGCAGCTGCATCGGTTGCGGCTGCGTAGGATCAAACGTCATGGCCATGGATATCGACTGCGACAGCATCTGTATCTTGACCAGCTTGGCTAAATATATATCAGACGGGTATTCCCCCGGCGAAGTAAGCATGTTGCAGAAAGTGTCCAGCTGCGACGTGTTCATAAAGGCATCCATCTTTTTATTCGTGTTGAAGACGCTGTGTCGTATCATTGTTAGAGAATGAGATTTTGGAAGCTGGTATTCCTTCTGCTGGACTTACATGGCGTTGACGTAGTATGTCCCTACGTATGCTCGTGCGTATTCTAATTCTCCCCATCTGATCTCGTCTTTGCCGGTGGTGCCGGTGGCGCCGCATAGACATCCGGTATTGGCCGTGTTCACACTCATCGATCTTGCAAGGAAGAGCATGTTGGTCAACTGCGCACTCCTCAAGGCAAAGTTGTGCCTAGTCTCACCATTAGCATCGCCCGTATCCCGAAGCAAAGGGGGTTTCGCCAGCAAATCATCAACCGCGATGACTTCACTCACCAGCCTATCATCAACAACAGTCCCTGCAACGTCTCAAGCCTCTTGCTCCCCTCCCCCACCACCAAGCTCCCCAGCTCAGCCATCACCTCCTTTCCCAACCGGTGCTGCCTCGGCCCGTCAACGAAGCAGCTCACCATCATCACCACGCTCCACAGAAACGGCCGCTGCCGACGCAGCTCCGCCGCCGTCAAATGCTTCGGCACGACCACAAACGGCGCCAGCGGCGCATGCGTGTCGTGGAACTGCAGCAGCAGCGCCTCCGCCTCCGCCGCGTCGGGCCACAGCCGATCGACGGCACCAACACAGTCGTTGCTGCCGGCCTCGGAGCTCCACCCCGAAGCCTCGGCGCTCTCTGACCTCGGCGACGGGAACAGATACTCAAACGTGACGAGGCTGTCGCACTTGTTCTTCTTCCGCCGCCGTCCCTGTCCCTGTCCGTGGGGCCGTGGCCGTTCCGTGAGCGACTGGCCATTGGTCAACGACGTCGACGCCGACGCCGACTCGGGCCCCGTCGACGACGACGACGACAGCGGCTTGGGCCGGGGGGTTACGGCAACGACTCCATCGACAAACTGCGACGACAGCTCGTCCAATCGCTTCTCCAGCTCGGCCACCCTGGATCTCTTGGGCGCCTTTTTGGCTCGGGGCGGGGCGGGCCGCTGCGAGACGCACTCCTTGTTTAGTCTCTGGCACCTAAACAACAACGCACACCAACAAAACGTATTAATAAACCAAAAGTCCTGCCGTAACACGGAAAATAACGTAAACAACAGAAAAGAAAGGCCAGCCCAAGCCCAAAGAGAACATGGGGATATGGAACGGAGCCGCACTGAGAACCCCAAAAAGAATGTCCCGTCCCCGGGTCCCTCCGAGGAGGAGGAGGAGGAGGAGGAACAACAAACACCCCACGCAAGGCATCTTCCCACCCCCGGGGATCGGGCTCCGGAGGAATACAAATACAAAGGGCACAACCACGCAGACTCAGGCTCGAATGCAAGGAGCTCACATACCTTTCACACTTGCTGCTCCTCTCCGGGCCGGGAATGCACCGCGCCTTGGCCTTTGCGCATGTCGTGCAAGCCTTGGGACCTTTATTAGTGGGCTCCATGGCCAGGCCGGGGACGGTAAGATCTCTTTTTGATGCTTCTGGGATGATGCCGAGGTTTCCTTCTTCTCTATTATTTTGTGGTTCGCTTGTACTTGGATTTTACACAATCTCGGCGCCGTACTAGGTCTATAAGTTAGATGCCTACGGAGCTGCAGACGGCCTTTGCTCCGTAAGCTCGCCGCGTTGGGTTGCTCCGCGCTTTGCTATATCACGGAGATGTGTAAGGTATGTATCGTTGATAAGCGACAAGGCAAAGACAAAAGAGAAAACAAAAAAAGTAAGCCGGTGGTGGTGTGAATCTTTTAGCACGAAGAATCGAAAACAGGCAGCCATTCACCCAAGTCAGCACACACACACACACACACACGCTTCCCATCAAGAAGAAAGAAAAACAAGACAAAGGGCCAATGTACGAGGGAGAGAGAGAAAAGAGAGAAGAAAGGGAATCTCAATCATTCGGGGGCGCTGCAGGAACGGGAACAATCCTGAGAAGGGCTCCCATGAAAGCTGAGAGAGAACCGGAGAGTCGGAGTTGAAATTGCACCGGACGTCCGTCTCGGAATTTGTGGGGCTCGAACCGTTCCGCGGATTGCGGTTTTGAACATCCGAGACGTTTTTCCAGCTCCGGGGGGCGGTGCTAGGCCGGATTGGGGGACGAGACGACGGGGTATTGCAGCAGCTGCGAGACATTGTGCAAAAAAGTGACGAAGCAACATGTGCGAGTACTCGCTGTGGCATGTGGGAATGACGCGGGTTTGCAATGCTGGGCGTCTTATTGGCCAACTGGGAAACGTTTCAATTACAGATTTCATTTACACAGGGCGTTAGTTCCGATCCAAGGCGATGCGAGTAAGTACACGGAGTAATACAAAGTACGTCATCACAAGACACGGGAGATACCAAGGTATAGGTAGATAGATGGACATAGACACAGACACAGACACAGACACACAAGGCGGAGAGGAACAAGACAGGTTATAGGCGGCATCGTATAAGACGCCAAGAAAGCTTATTGTATTCGTCATCCCATCTTATATGCAGCTTTAGCTGTCGTGGGAGCATGAAAAAAAAAGGTGTCATCAAAAATGTGGCTATGTAGAGAAAGGAACTTGATTTGCAGCTTTGGCTCGAGGCAAGCCGCGGCCATGGCACAATGGAACTCGGTCGCTTAAGCCGAGACATCCATCACGCGGTTGGCGTTGTTTGCCTCGCGGGCGAGCAGAGCCTCGGTGATGCCGTTCTCAGGAACACCGGCGGCCTTGGCCTCTTGCGTAGCCTGCTCGATGCCCAGCAGCCTATCAGTCCACAGAGGCTCCTGGACGTTGCCCGGCTCGCCGACGCCAATGAAGCCACCCTCGGCAGCCCATTGCGAAGTGCGCTTGATGTCAAGGCGGGTCCAGATCTCGTCGAGAGCGGTCACGAGCTTCTCGCGGAGCTCCTTGGTGTGGCCGGGAGTAGGAGTGACGCGGAGACGCTCCTGGCCGACGGGGACGGTGGGGTAGTTGATGGCCTGGACGTAGATCCTGTAGTCCTGGAGAAGGAGGTCCGAGGCCGCCTTGGCCAGGCCAGCGTTGCCGACCAGGATGGGGATGATGTGAGACGGGTTAGGAATGACGGGAATGTCGCGAGCATTGAGCTCCTCCTTGACGGCGCGGGTGTGCAGCTGCTGCAGGCGACGGTCGCCATCATAGGCCATCTGGTGCTCGATGGAAGCCCTGGCGCCGGCCATTGTTGCCGGTGGCAGAGTCGAGGTGAAGATGAAGCCGGGGGCGAGCGATCGAATCATGTCGACAAACTTGGCGCTGCCGGCAATGTAGCCACCGACGCACCCGTAGGCCTTGGCAAGAGTCCCGGTGAATATGTCAATGCGATCCATGATGGTCCCGCGGGGCCTGCCGTTGGCATGAGCCTCCCAATCCAGGTGCTCGGCAACACCAGCGCCGGTTGGGCCGTACATGCCGACGGCGTGAACTTCATCCAAAAAGGTGAGGGCGCCATACTTTTCGGCCAGGTCGCAAATCGCCTCAATCGGTCCAATGGAACCGCACATGCTGTAGACAGACTCGAAAGCAATAATCTTGGGGACGTGCAGAGGCAGCGAAGCCAGCTTGGCCTCGAGATCTGCAATGTCATTGTGCTTGAACACAATCTTCTTGGTCCCGGAATGGCGAATACCCTGGATCATGGAGGCGTGGTTCAAGCTGTCAGACAGGATAACGCAGTCGGGCAGTTTGCTACCCAGAGTGGCCAGAGTGGCATCGTTGGCAACATAGCAGGAGCTGAAGACGAGCGCCGACTCGGTGGCGTGGAGCTTGGCCAGCGTCCCCTCCAACTCAACGGCATGCTTGTTGTGTCCGGAAATGTTTCTAGTGCCTCCAGCACCGGCGCCATACTTCTCCAGAGCCTCGTGCATGGTGTTGAGAACGTGCTGGTTCCCGCCCATGCCCAGGTAGTCGTTGGCGCACCAGACGGTCACCTTGTCCTCCTTACTGGCCATGTGCGCGACCGGGAACTCCTTGGCGAGGCGATTGATGTTGTTGAAGTAGCGGTACGATTTGTCCTTGTGCTTCTTGTCCAGCTCGGACTGGTAGAAATCCTCATAGGAAAACTTGCCGGTCGAGCTGAAGACGGACGGAGTCGCGGCGACGGGCGGCGCATCCTTGCGGGCAGCCACGCCGGGAGGAGGAGGCGGCGCTGCAACAAGACAAACACGGTCAGTCGATTTGATTCCATTCGCAACGGCAACTGGAAACATCAAGAGAAACTCACCATTCTTGCGTCCCTCGAGAATTGGGCTCTCCACGGCCCGGGCCTCCTGGTTGCGGCTCGTGTGAAGCCTGGCCTTGCCGGTGGTCTTGGTCTGCGCCGAAAAGGCACGGATGCCCGCCGCAGCGCCGTGCTTGGACGACTGCACGGCCATGGCCTTGCCCATGACGGGGCAGCGGTGCGCATACAGCTGCAGCTTGGACATGGTGCCGCCCAATGGCGAGGCCTTGGGGCGAGTCACCGTCGACATGGCACGCAGGGTCGCGGGCGATGCCGACTTCAAGAACGGGCACATGGCCTTGGATTGACGCAGGACGCTATCCATGGCGAAAAGAGTTGATCAGAGGTTCGCTGGTTTGCACGATTGTCCAAGGGAGAAGCCTAGATTCGGGTTTGTTTCCAGGTCCAATGTTGCAAAGTAAGCGTGGCAACAAACAATTGAGGAAGCTGGAAGAGAAAAGACAAGGAAGAAGAAAAAATAGCCGTTGGTGTTGGTTTAGTCAGTTGGTGAGACAGAAAAAGCGGAGGAACAGTCCAGCCACAGAAAAGTCGCCTTTCCAGATTTGTCTCTTCACAGCACAAGGCACAAGCACCAAGCGGTTGCACTACACGCCGAGTCCCTGCAATTGTCTGCAGATGAAAAAAAGAAATGATGAAAATAAGATGCTTGTCCAGTCGATACGAGTGGAGGGAAAAAGGGAAGAAGAAATACAAGATGCAACAAGTGGAAGACAATGGAAACTCGTCCATCCCGAGGCCCGGGGACAGCGCCAATATCCATCCACCTCAGACAGTCTCACCTCTCAGACTCAGACTCACTAATACGACACCACCCCACCGCTTTCACTTCCCGAATGCCGCAGTCGCCAACCATACAGTACGAGCACATACGCCCCCAATACGCCAAATACGCCCTCTCAGCTGCCATTTACTCGTACTGTACTGTGCTCCGTGGACTAACTCTGGCGATTCCGGCCCTCTCGCTGCATCAACTTTCTAGAAGCCCCTGCAAAAAAGCCCGTTATAGCGCGTGCATCCCAGCCAGTCACACCGTCAGACCAGCCCGCTCGCCTCGGCGTCCCTCGGGTCGTCTGACATTGCCTCGCTGCTGATTGGCCGACCCTGCCAGTGCCCTGCATCTTCGGATCCCCGGTTGGGGCCATGGCAATTGGGACAAAGAAGGTTGAGCCCTTTTTTTTTGTCTGCCCATTACGGAGTAGTCTGTACATGTATTCTCCGGTTTTACGGAGTGCAGCCAACCTTGTCGTTGCCCGACTGCGGGCTACCTGCAATACATTACTCCGTACAGCCTTGTCCTTTTACTTGCTCACCTACCAAGTAGTCATTATTAGTCCTTTAAATGTGTAATTCTCACTTGTCAGGTCCAAATGCTCTGCATCGATTCTCCATTGCCAATGACTCAAATTGCTCACTTTATGGACCGATGCTCTCCGTCTTTCGTACGACTTTTGCCGTTCTAGACCGCATACATCCACTAAGAATCGCCTTGGCTGCCCATGCAGCACAATCTCCATTTCCTACATGTACGGTATATCTTCTTCTTCTCCTGTCCTATTAAATAGCGGTAAATACTCCGTAAAGAGAGTCCAAATTCCCATCCCGTGCTGCTCCATAGTCTGTCTGCAACCAACTTGGCAGAATCGAATGCCATCCCTGATAGAGAAGAAAGAAAAAAACGCCAAACCGCAAGGCGAAGCAACACCCGCACTCTCGCCGTGATACTCCGTATGGAGCATTGGTGGGTATCTCGATTTTACATAAACTGACATGAGACTAAAAGGAGCCCAAGAAGCAAAGAAAAAAAAGAAAAAGAGGCTTAAAAAGTTTTAGCCGCCCAAACCCCGCACTCCGCCGCATCAATGCCGCAAACACCGGAATGAACCCGCCTCGCCGTCCTCAGTACTGCATCGTATGCGCACGTTTTCTTCTCAAAATTTTTGACCGTCGGGCTTGTGGAGTGCATTGTTTGCCCATTGAGGTAGCCGAAAGCGACGCTCCGTTCGTTTATCGGCTGCTCGCCGCATTACCTGCGCGTCTTCGGTAGCTCGAGCTGAATGTGACATCGGCCGATGGATATTATTCAAGTTCTGTCAACACTGGTGTAAGCACAAGAGAGAATATCAAACACGGCCGAGAGGAAAACATCGATAGGAAGAAAGTGATGCCAAACCTACACTTGGGTCAGGTGCCTCGGATACCCGCCTTAATTGGGCCAAAAAGTCCTTCTCCGAGTGGCCGTTCATAATTCCAATCCTATTTTGGATTTCCTCTTCCGGCGCTGTCGCTAGGTATGTTGGTGTGCAATGGCCCAATGCTATCGCGAGCATAAACCGGCGATGGTTTTTTATATGGCTGAGCAGGAAGCGCCATCGAGCGTCGTCGGGGAGAAACCCATGGCCCTGTGCTTTTTGGGCCATCGCTATTCCCTCGGTAAGCTTTCCTGCCAGATTAGTTGCATTATCCTTGATTCCTGCTTGAGCTTCCATCATTTGAGCCAATTCCTTCTCGAAATCGATCTTAGCGTGACTTCGAAGCTGGCCAAATAATGATGCCCCAGTGCCAGTTGCAAGGGCCGCAGCTGGTGCTGTTGAGGTTGATCCTACTTCTTGTCCCATTTGCCTTGCTGCACCATTCGATGGCAATATTGGAAATATAGGCGGAGCGTTCGAATTCCGGATAAGTGTATTTGCCCCAGTCATTGGCATGGGGGCTGACGACGAAAAGTGCGGCATGTGCGCCTTTGCTCTGGGTGTTAGTTATGGGCTCTTGGTGATGAAGCATCTCGCACCACTTACTTGAGGGCAGGGTGGCACGGCACCATCTGCTTGTGTTTGCGCAATCGGCTCAGCGTTTGTATTTGGTACCGTCGTTTCGCCGTGAGCAAGGCCCGGTGATGGACTCAACTGTGGTACATACAAGTCCTCCACTAAGTGTGCGTTGAAAGCCGCCATATCAACCCTAGAGGGCCTGGCGGCTTCGGCCATAGCTCGAATCTGTTCTGCTCTTTGTTTCTGATCCAACATCATCCTATACTTCTCAGGGTTGGTGTGCCTCATCCGCTCCAAGTCGTACAGCTCTTGGGCGTCTTTTCGCTCTTCAGCTGTCAGTTCATTGGTGGGGTCCTCTTCTTCGAATGTATCTGTCGAGATGATTTCGCGAATGACACCTCCAAGTTGAGCATGCTCAATGAGTTTGTCCAGTATTCCGTCTCGGCCTTTGATGACTTCGAGGTCCTTGGCTGGCTTCGGTTTTATTGGCTGAAGCAGCTCCCCTACTCGCTTGCCCCAGCTCACGGGTTTCTTCTTGTCCACCACGCGTGACGCGAGTTGCATCTTGAAAACAGTCTTGTTTTGCAAGGCCTCCTCAAAAGCTCCTGAAACGACAAAATGATAGACGTATACCGTCTTTTGTTGCCCAAATCGGTAGGCTCGTCCCACCGCTTGTTGCTCTGTCACCGGATTCCACTTGAAATCAAAAATGACAACACGGTTGGCCCCGGGAATGTTGAGACCTACGCCACCAGCCCCTGTGGAAATGAGATAGATCTCTTGCTTTCCAGTATTGAAAGCCTTGATCTGCTCTTGCCGTTTATAAACAGCCGTGGAACCGTCCAGGCGACATACCAAACGCCTCTGCTCCTTGAACAAGTTTTCGAGATAGTCCAACGTAAGCAGAGATTGGCTGAATACGAGAACCTTGTCTCCTATGGCACGTGCTTCATCCAGAATCATCAGAAGAAGCTCAACTTTTCGTGACAGAGCAGGATTGGCATTATCAGCCTTGCTTGTCTCCTTGAGAACACTGGAAATCATGCTCTGAGGAAAGGTAATCGCCGGAGCTTTGGTCTTATCAAGGCAATCGTCGTCTATGTTGTCTTCGTTTTCGTCGGGTCCTTTCAGCTGTGCCGTCGCTGGTGTCCTTGATGATCCTGGCACATCTACCTTGGGCGACATTTCTAACACCTTTTGCCTGAAGCAACGGGGATGATTGCAGATGAGTCTGAGGTGTTCCGTGGCGCCAAATATCCTTCCCTGTTTCGAGTCTTCCAAATACGCCGCCATTTCGGCCAAGTAGAGGTTGTAGAGTAGTTTCTGAGTGGGGGTTGGCTCAACAAATATGACGAACTCGTACTTGGCAGGCAGCTCATGCCTGACACTCTGAGTGGTGGCTCGTTGCACTTTGGGCGCTACATTGAGCTTCAGCACTTCCAGCATTTTCAGGGCTCTTCGTTTTTCGCCCCCTGTGCTGTCATGCCACAGGCCGCATTGGATCGGGTTGACGTATATATCTCGAAATTCTTCTTGCGGGCCGAGAAAATTCGGCGCCACCCAGTTGATCATCCAATAGTATTCTTCCACATTGTTGGACAGCGGAGAGCCGGTCAAGGCAATTCGGCTTCTAGTACGAAATTCCTGGCAAACTCGATGAATCTTCGTAGCTGGATTCTTCATAACATGCGCCTCATCGCATATCACCATGTTAGCCGACTGCGTTAGTATCTCTCGCGTGCCGTTTTCTGTCCGTTCGAACATTGTGTGCCCAACAACCAACACGCCGCCATCTCGCTCCCAGGTCTTGATAATCGACATGCGTTCATTCACTTTCTGAGCCGACTCGAGTTTGAACACATTGCCAAGTAAGCCTGTGGGGGACCACATCAATATCTCGTCGAGCCAGTTATCGACCAGGCCAGCGGGGCAGAGAACAAGCGACTGAGATCTTCTGAGCTCTTCCGGGATCTGTGAACGCACGGATTCATCATCTGACTTTGCAGCCTCAGTCACGGCTACCAAAAATGTGATAACCTGCATCGTTTTCCCCAACCCCATGGTGTGAGCGAGGAGACAGCCCTGGCGAGTCTTTCGCTCCTTTGCATCGAGGACAATTTGGTCCCACAGGAATCGCACTCCATTGATCTGATGATCCTTGATGCGCTTTCCGATATCATCATTCACGTAAATGAATGGTTGGTGGTCCTCCTTGCTTTCGTTGATGATGACTCGAGATTTATCCACAGGAAGAGCGTTTGAGTTTGCCAGGTTAGCTCGCACTCTCTCCCGGCGGGCCTCAATCTCCGCAGCACGCTTCATCTCTCGTTCTCGAAGAGCAACGCCCTCTTTGTTCTGAATAATCTCTCTAGCCACGTGTTTGCGCACCTTTGAGGGCGTGTCGGCAACGCCAAGCTGATGCTCGTCAGCTTCGTCCAGCCCGATTTCATCGTCAAAGGCATCGGTTCTGAAAATCTGGCTGCTCTGTGGGAATTGGGGCGCCCAGTCTTTGATAAACGCATGAAACTTAGAGAAGAAAGCCTTTGAGCGATTGATTTTGATCTTATCTTTCTCGTTCAAAGCCATGATTCGCTTATCCACGTATCGACGGCACTTTGTGCAGCTGAAGAACAGTTTTGTGACATCAAATGCAACGGTCGTTGTCTCCTCTTTTCCAATATCGGACTCTTGGGCAAGGGGATTCGTCAGGTAGGAGTGTATTGAAGCCCGCCAAGCCTCTTCCGGCATATTGTTTTGCAATAACCGAAGAATACTTTCACGGCGAGTCTGTGTAAGCCTCCATAGCAGACAGAGAACCAATCTCCAACGGTCTCCCTGTTTGGCCCAGTGCTGTGGAATATATTCACCGATGGTCTGTAGGCTTCCCAGATGATCCATAGGCGGCCCCTCTTCGGCCAGATCGATTGCTGGCAATGACTTTTCTGCGATGGAACCGGCTTCTTGAACTTCACGCTTAATCGGAGATGTCAAGTCAATGTATTGTATCGCCGATGTACTGTCCTTGATTTGTTCATCAGACTCTAGAAGCGTGAGATCGATAACCATGTCGGATTCAATATCAGATGGTATGTGGCTTGGTCGAAATGGTAGCGATTGGGGAACGTCTTCAAAAGACTCTCTGTCGGCCATGAACAAGTCGCCTTCATCATCATCAGGCACAATGAATTCAAATCCACATTTATCAGGCACAACGAGTTCACCTTCATCAGAACTAGTTAGCACTTCGTCTTCGAAAGGATCCAGGGAAGTCCTTGCGGCAGATAATTTTGGTTTCAGCTTCGGCATATCCAAGGGTTTAGGCGGGGCTTCGCGCTGCTCCAGAAGCTCAAGCAGCCATGTCTGATACAGCTTGTCGCTCAGACTCTGCTCCATGACACTTGCTTGCGTTCGGACCTCGCGCTCGGTTTGCCAAGTGTTGTCGAGTATTTCGGCATAAAGCTTCTTTATCCGCGTTTCATAACGCTGAACTTCTCTGCGGGCCTTAAATATTCTCTCTTTCGTCCTCTCTCCTCGCCTAGACTTTTTCCAGATTTGGTAGGCTTTGAGATTGTGTTTTGGCAGCTTTGTTTCTTTCCATCTGGCTTCCATGGCAGCCATCTCTTCCTTCAAAATGGTCCCCACACGCTCTGTGGAGAATTGGCGGGCCTGTTCGCGCTCCCTTGCAGCAGTCTCTGCGTTCTCTTCATCGATCTCTCGCTGTGTCTCTTCGTCCCAAGAATCCGGCAAGTCGTCAAGATCAACCACAGACTCGCTTCTGTTAGAAGGAGTCGGGGATCTAACAATAGCATCACCCCGTTTGAGCGCCACTTCCTTTTTGGAGTTTTTGATCAATTGCCTTTGTATGATTCTGTTGGTGACAAGCCTCTTCCCAGGAGGTATCAGGTATTTTGAAGACACGACTGCGAATCCGCCCTTGACATGACTGATCCGAGGGACGTCAGGGGAATCAACATGAGATAGCACAGCGTGTCGATGGCGGCCTTTTTCACCTAGGTAGGCATAATGCGGAGGAATTCCCGTAGCGGGACGCTCGTCATTCTTGCCTTGATCTTCAACCGAGTCCACCAAATTTAATGGTGCTGTTTGCGTTAATGCAAGTGAATCCGAATCAGCCAGAGGTTTCGTGCTCAAGTTTGTTGGCGCTAATCGTCTCCGCTTAGAAGGCTGTTCTTCGCTTTGCTGAGCAGGCGGTGGGCTGTCAATGAGGTTAAGAGGAGGAACAGATGCAGAGTCTGCTTTGACACAATGATCTGTACCTTCATTTGTTATTTGCATGATACAGTCCCCGTCAAACTCTGCAAAGGGGCTATCGAAAGATGTAACATCTTGAAGAGGTCTTGAACTTGTCCCTTCCTCTTGGTCTGCCTCATGCTTGGCTGGAGTATCATGTAGGGTTAAATTTGGTGATTCGGATGAATAAGACTTCATGAGAGGTGTATTGGATATTTCGCCTTTAACGTCACCTCCTTCTTCGTCGTCCTTGGTCGCATCGCGGCTCTTTTTCAACCAATTTTTCTTCCATGAACGAAAACCTGGACTGTTCGCTTGGAGACTAAGAATAGCCTCTGCTAGACTTGCTTTGCTGCGCGCAGTGGTTATGCCGAGAGCTTCCTGCAGCTCTTTCCTTGTAAAGAGAAGCTCGTAAGTGAGTAGTGTTTTCCCGTCGATGTCTTCAGCAGCTAGCTTCGCGGCCAACGCAGCCGGATTTCTAACCAATAGACGGCTTTGAGAACAGAGTTCCCTTGAGAGAGTATCCAAGTCCCAGTAGAACGGATCATTCTGGATCGCAGTACCCATCAGGGCCACGGGTGCAGTCAATGCGAATGAATCCACTATCAAGCGTTAGCCAGTCATATCTCGTAAGCCTGGGCAAGATTTGCTGGTCGTTTCATCGTCAAATAGGAAGAAGAAGAACGTTCTCATAAAGATTGAAGGTGACGTAAACAATGATAGCGGTGCATGAAATAGAAAGCCAACTCACTATTAGGATTTCTCCAGCTGAAAGCAGCGTGTGCATTAGAGCAGAGAGACGATGGCTTTGGTGAAGAGGTGTAAGGATCCTTGGAACGAGTCGAAACAGCTGAGAGGAATAATGAGAAGAAATGAGGAGGGGGAGAGGTGATGAGATGAAAAGAGAAGGATGGAAATGAGGAAAGGTGGGAGCGTGGTTGATGATCAATCTGTGGTGAGGAAGAGGAATATCAAATGGCCCGTGCCCTCACTTAATCCACGAGAAAAGCAAGTAATGGAAAGTAAAAGAACCGCAAACAATTCCAGGAAGCCTCCAGAAAACAACAAGAACAAAGAAATGCAATCCTGCACAGACTGCTAATGGCTAGATGCGGGCTGCGTGCTCATAAGTTTGTTTGCTGTGGTGATGGCTCGATAACGCGTTGGCTCGAGTTTGTTGGTCGAGAAAAAGCACGATTCACAGCACGCTCTCACGTGACTCTCGAATGCTTAACCCACAGATGCAGCGGATCAACTGTTTCCTTTGTGCTATGCCCAGCTGCCACGGGCGCGGCCAGGCGCTTTATATCTGGTTCTGTTGTTTAGGTTTTCATCAATTTCTTTAGGTTTCCTCGATTTCTCTATTATGCCGAGCGGCCTCAGCCCACCAAAGCTTAGAAAGATTGGATGACGAATGGTGCCAAAGCGGGAACTGCTAGGGAGGCGGCTAGTTGTCTAGGGTCTCAGACAATTGTGGTTTACAGGGGACTGGCGCCTAGCTGGGGGGGTGCTGATAGGCGATCGCGGGGGCTGAGGAGGGCACTGGGTTGCGCTGCGTCTGGCCAAGGCATCTTTTCTTGCAGCTGGGATCCAACGACAGACATAGTTGGGCATATTGAAGAGTGCAAGAAAGAAGAAGAGCATGAGATGATTTATTATGATTTCTCTACACAGATAGAATCAAGGATCTTGAACTGATATTGCGAGTCTTATATAAATATTGATCCGAGTTCATCAAGACCCATAGATGTCTCTACTATCTAGAGGAGCAAAAGAAGAAAATTCAAAGACGCAATTAATAAGCCACTCAGCGACATCGCGCCCTAGCATCAACGTCCCATCCGCTCAGCCTACCCAAAGACATCCATAGGCAACTCTTACACAACCAACAACCACACTTGAAACTTCTTCACCACATCTGCCGGCCGTTGTCCAGACCCAACAGCCCCCAACTAGCCAATTTTCCCCCTCGCCTCATTCCCAGCCGCCATGGCTTCTCTCACGAGCGGGGCATTCCCCCCACCACTGGAAGAGACTGAGAAGAATGCTCTCGTCGACGTCGTCAAGGATTGGGCCATTGCCAATGGCCTCGCTGTGCGGTCGCCCCCTGCGGTTGTCCCAGCTGAGACAGATCCAGCGGGCATCACGGCCGTCAACGTCCCCGTCACTCTCTTCCCCAGTCCGTTCCCGAAGAAGTGCTTCGAGCAGGGCCAGGCCGTGCAGCAGACTTACAATGAGCTGTATGCGGCCGTGAGTCGTGACGAGGCATTTCTGGAGCAAACAGTCAAGGAGTGAGTGGCAGCGATAGACATCTTATCTCTCATATAAGCCTTCACCAGACTAACATAATCTGCTTAGGGTCATAGACGGTGATGACTTCATCCGCAACCTGTGGGATGTTCATCTCAAGGTCAAGGCTGAGGGCTACACTCAGGTATCTACTACACTGCCCTTTTGAAATAAGTTCGTCTCCATGAGCGTCATACTCATTCATCACCCCTGTCTCTAGCCTCTGTCCTTAGGTTTGTTTAGATCAGACTACATGGTTCACCAAGATAGCTCGACGTCCCCCCCGTCCGTCCAAGCGAAGCAAGTTGAATTCAACACCATTGCCGCATCGTTTGGTGGTCTCTCAGCTTACACCTCCAAACTACACAAGTCAGTCCATTCCTCATCATTTGATATGATCACAGAAGCTAAACCCTCCCCATAGATTCCTTGCTGATACCGAGTACCCCCTACTCCAAAACGCCTTGGCACCCAACTCACTCAACCTTCCCGACAACCAAAGCATCCAGGGCCTGGCCGGCGGCATCCAAGCCGCCTTTCACGCATACCCCAAATCAGAACTAGGTCACGCCAAGTGCGTCATCTTCCTGGTCCAGGGAGGCGAACGCAACATCTTCGACCAACGCCATCTGGAATACCAAGTCACTCAGTCGTCACCGACGATACCAGTCTTCAGACTTGCCATTGACGACATCCTTAAGCACACCACCCTCGCCGACACCCCGAAGCGCCAGCTCCTGTACCATCTCCCCCGTGATTCCTCCAAGGTCTTCGAAGTAGCCGTCATCTACATGCGATCTGGTTACCACACCAACGATTACCCTGATCAAACGGCCTGGGACGCCAGATACCACTTGGAGCGATCCGGCGCGATCAAGTGCCCCAGCATCCTCACACAGCTTGCCGGTACGAAAAAGGTCCAGCAAGTGCTCGCCACTCCCCGGCCATCATCTACGCCGTCCGTCCTCAGCAAATTCATCGACGACAGCACCCCCGCCGCAGCCGAGCTCTGGAAAACGTTTACCAACATTTACCCCATGGACACATCCGAGGCCGGTCTGGAAGCACGCAGGAAGGCCCAGGATCCCGAGCTTTGCAAGGCATACGTTCTCAAGCCCCAGCGAGAGGGCGGCGGCAACAACATCTACCGCAGCGCCATCCCAGAGTTTCTCAAGACGCTGCCAGAGCCCCACTGGAGCGCATATATCCTCATGGAACTCATTGTACCGCCTCCGGTTTCAAACATCATCCTTCGCAACGGCCATCTGGAGGAGGGTGGCATCATATGCGAGCTGGGCATATACGGTACTTGTCTATGGGACCAGGGCACCGGCGAGATACTCCACAACAAGGGCGCAGGATACCTGCTCCGTTCAAAGGGAGACCAGAGTGAAGAGGGCGGCGTTGCGGCAGGGTACGGCTGCATGGATAGCGTGAGCTTGGTATAGAAAGTGAATAATCAGAATCAAATCAGTAGAGCAAAATGAAAGCCAACATGACTTTTCATCACAAACATGTAGGGGACTCGTAGTAGAGATGCTCCGGCAAACTAGCCTTGGGAGCGCACATCGCATAGAAAGCTAGCAAGAGAGCCGAGAGTTCATCCACCATAGCAGATCGTACATCATATCATCAGGCAATACAGTTACATAGTAGGCATCCATCCGCCACTTAATTCGCCAAACACCGATCCCGACCAGTTGCAGCCAGCCACGTTTGTGTCGAATTTACTCGCCCTGCTCAGGGAGCGAAGGGCGCTTCAGAACCTCAATGTTGCCTGCAGTTTTGTTTCCACCAATGAGTTAGCAAGCTGCTGGGATTATACAACCTCGTGATCTTGGAGAGGAGGATGGCTTACGCTGAATGATGCTAAGTCCTTGTCTGTTCTGGCCGTTGGAATCGGTATAAGTGTTGATGGACGCATCGCCCTCGACATAGACCATGGAGCTAGTGATCGAAGTTCAACGTCAGCAATGTTCCCTCGTCATATATACCTTGAGCAAACAAAAGAAGAACAAATAACATACCCCTTAGGCAGACCCATGATAAAGTCCCTGCGAGGACCGTCGACGAAGCCAGTGACGCGGAACCAGCTCGTCTGGCGAGCATCCTTGGGCCCACTGTTGCTCGCGACGGTGTATCTGACGTACTCCTTGACGCTCTCCCCCGAGCCGGCCGTCATGCCCTCGGGCGAGTCAGCCAAGTGGCCGATGATGGTGATGCGGGCGACGGAGCGAGGCGAGGTGGTGCTGAATGCGCGAGCAGCTCCCGCGGTGGCGACGGTGGCGCGGCGCAGCAAGAAGGACGACATTGTGAATAGCAATCGACGGTGAGTATCGAAGAAAAGAAGAAGAAGAAGAAACGTATTTATGGAAGGGATAGCAGCAAGAGGATTTTTCGTAGACAAAAAGCTTTTGCTTGGTTGTTGTTTTTTCCCGTTTGCTGCTTCTCCCTCGTTCAAAAACGGCCCGCGATAAAGATTCAGTGCAGGACCCACGCCCAAGCTCTCTGAGCAGTGATTGGACGGCGGGGGATTTTTCCGGCCCCCGGTTGTGCGATCAACACGCCAGAATGCAGAAGCTCCCCTTGCGCAGAGCTGCAGGGCATGTGGCTCATATGCCTCTAAAGGGATGAATCGCTATATGAGGGTGCACAGCTTAAGGTAACCTATAGCTTCTGGCAGTCGTCACTGCGGGGTGACTTGGCCCGTTGCACTGTTTTTGGCCCTTTTTAGCAGCGGCACTCATGTACCCGACAAGTACAGCTACCCAGGCTATCGATGTAAGTCAGACCTCACACGGGCAACAACAGGAATCAACAACAACACGTAAAATGCCCAGCATAACTCTGTTGCGAGTAAACTAAACAGCGCAACTTTGTATAAATCGTACATGTAAATACATTATAGCATCAAACACAACTTCGCCCCTCAGCCCGCAAATCAAATTCCCTCTCCGGCTGCCTTCCCGCCTCTCCGCTGCCGCGGCCAAATCTCAAGTCCTAGAAACCACCACAACAACCCAAACTCACTTCAACTCCCCCCTTGCCACGGCATCAAACAGACTGCCCACCCTCCAAATTCATACCAAAAACCAAGCCAAGCCACAGCCGTCCCTAAATCCTCCCCTATTTTTCCCCCCAACCTAAGCCTCGAATCCGAAAATACTGAGCCCTAAATCCCCTAAATCCCAAAATCCCGGGGCCGCTGCCGCTAAAGGTGCGGGATGGCGGGCGCACAGACTTTCCCAATCCGGTCGTCAATAGACGCTCAAAACGGTTCTCAATAGACGCCTCCAAACTGAGACAAACTTCACAAAACAGGCTTCTGCCGTGTGATTGCCCGCGCTGTGATGCTTCACATCCAGCGCATGTAAATTAAAAATGTACTTTTAATGGCTTTTTTTTTTATATTTTGCCCTGCGCGGTGCAGCTCGTATCCGCGGTAATGCCCTGCAGTGCCTGCTGAGAAACCCAGCCAAATGCGCGGGCTGCTTGAACCTGGTCCTTGATGCCGTGCTTCATCCCCCCTTCGCAGGCTGCCGCTGCAGTTTGCTGCTCTTTAGCAAGTCGATAGTTTTATCTTGGCCAATTGTGTGAGCTGATGATTGGGCTTCCTTTCTTTTTATCAGTATGGGCGTTTTTTATCACTTTGGGGCATTCAGGTTCGCTTAGACGCTGTTCGTAATGAAACATCCTCGAGTGCTGCTGCTGTGCCTTATTGTCTTATTGACTCTATAAATCAATTGCTCAACTCCCTTTTGTCAACCGTTCGTCTTCACATAGTGATGTGTTATTGAACTTGTGAACTTGGAGTTCATCTTTATGCAAAGACTCTTTTTCTTTCGTCTGCCTTCAAAAGTTGTGCCAACTTCTCTTCATCAGCATCATTCTTCTTCCTCTTCTTCCTCTTCTTTCTCTCCAGCTATATATCACCATCTTCTTCAGTATCACCGTCTCCTTTTCTGCCACTTGCCACACATCTGTTCAACATCACGATAGCCAACCATCATCACCTCAGTTGCCCCCTCGACAAAACCTCCCATCATGAGTGTCATTACCCTCCCCCATCCAATCATCCCTGATTCCTCCATCTGGATGCTTGGTCCAGCCCCTACCATCTACACCACCCCATCCCTCACGGCCAACCTCGTCTGTCGCGTCTTCTTTGGCATCCTCGCCAACCTCGTCTGCCTCATCCCCCTCCAACTCCTCTACCGCAACGGAGAATTCGCCGCCGTCGTCTTCATCCTCAACGTCGAGCTAGAGAACCTGCGCAACATTGTCAACGCCCTCATATGGCGCAACGACGACGTGGAATCATGGTGGCCCGGTTACGGCTTGTGCGACGTCGACGCCTTCCTGCACAACTTTTGCATCAGCATCTTCGCAACATGCCTGCTGGCCATCATGCGGAACCTGGCCATCCAGGTCGGTAGTCTGAGGGCCAACCCGCCGTCTCGGAGGGAGAAGCGAAGGCGTAACATCATCCAAGCCCTCATCATATTCCCGTTGCCGCTGATGCAGGTTGCCTGGACGTATCCGCTTGCGCAGCAACGATATTACGTCGGCACCTTGGTTGGGTGTTACTGGCCGAACGCATCTGCCTGGCCTTCCATCGTCTTCGAAATCCTCCCACAAGCAGTTGTGTCTCTTGCCACGGCCGGCTATGCAAGTAAGTCTAGCTGTCAATACTCGAAATACACGGCTCCATAAACCTTTGGAGTCATCCGCTAACATCTTTCCCAGTCTTCATCTACATACGCTTCCGCCAGATCTCAAAGTCAACTCAGTCTGCTCTCTCCAGCAACCCCCTTGCTCACGTCCGCAACCAACGAGCCCGCCGCCGCCTCTATCTCATGGTCATCTCCATTCTCATACCCTTCCTCCCCGTCATTCTTGCCCTGGCAGCCATCAACATTAGGAATGTTATGCCATTAGAGCCTTTCGACTTCAAAGCCATCCATAGTAACGATCGATCGATCCCTTGGTCTGCTATTATATTTCTACCTAGCAGCCAGATAGGATGGAAGTTTATGAACATCTGCTACGTACCCATCATAACAGCGATACCAATCTTCGTCTTCTTCGGCATGACCAAAGACGCCATGAACAGCTATCGAGTCATTCTCTTGTACGTGGGTCTTGGGAAAATATTTCCAAGTCTCTACGAAGAGTATAATCCCGACTCAAGAGTCCTGGCTTCGCTTTCCAACGGCTGTTCAAACAGCAACACGGCATCAACAAGGTAACCACCTCTCAATCACTAGTCTATCTCTTCAAACAGAGAAAAAGAAATGCTAACCAAGTCGCTACTAGATCCGCCAAAAAGAATCCAACCTCCTTGGGCGTCCTCTCAAACATATTGTCCAACAAAACCACATCGTCAACTATCCAACAACCTCTTCCCACGGCATCTCTCCCCATACACAGCCAAGACGTCCCCATTCAATTGCCTCAACCCAACCCATTTCTCTTCCGCACCCGCCTCAACTTCTCCCTTCCATTCAGTCTCTCGCTCTTCAAGCATCCAGAGACAAAGCCATCTTCAACCCCACTGGAACCACTCAGCTATCAACCCACCCACCAATCCACCTGGTCAGACGAGGAAGCCAAGCTCTTCGTCCCTCCTTCAGCTTCTGCATCGGGCCAGGCTACTTCGAATGACAATAGTAGAAACGAAAACGATCTTACCATCACGACCCTTCCACCAGTGCTATCTCTCGACTCTACACTGAACCGGCCCAATGGCGATAGAGAACATTAGACGTGTTATCCATATCGCTCTGATGGCTATGAATATGAAGAGAAGGCCGCAGATTTCTATTTCTATGGAGCGCAGTCTTTTTAAGGCCTTCAGTGTCTTTGTCCAGGTTTTCTTGTGAGGGCATCCAACTTAAAAAGCCTCTCTTTGATATATACGGTATTTAATACGAGTATGCAGTGGACATAATAGGGAAAGGGGGAGAGAGCTCGGTCGAATCATATTCACTTGCTGCATTCATGTCTTTCGTTAGCTAGGTAGTGTCATGAAAAGGGGGGGTTGGACACTGAGTGATAGTTGCCGGTAGCAATATATTTTTCTCCTACTCTCTCTCGAATAACTCAGCTCATTGACTCCTTCAAGTTGGATATCCTCTTATCATTATTTTTTTTACCCTTCCTCCCTCTATGTTCTAGTACAAGCGAGTGTAATGTAGATGGCTCACGACTACTGCCGAGGCCGGGCTCTTATCCGAAGCCATACCACCAATATCCCTCTTGTATCCAACCAAAGAAAAAGAAATTGGTATCGCCAGCATTATACGTCTTGGTAATCAATTACATCCAACCAAATAAGAAAATAAACACAAAATCTGGGTAAACCCCCTCTTGTATGATGCCATATTAGCTCATCACCTGATAACTCCTGATTTCCTTCATCATTTATGCATCTCTTGCAGAACTCTGCATCTTGCGTATGACTTCTCGATGTGCATCCAGGAGATCACCGCTCCGCATACGGCTGTCAAACATGCGATCATTCCATTCTTTTTGGCGTCTCTGCATCTCCCTCCGCTGCATTTCGGCTTCCTTCTTCTCCATCAATATGGTGCGCTGCACTTCTATGTCGTCAATAAGAGTAGATGTCGATGCAAAAGGTGTCTCACGCCCCATGTTGCCGGGTACACCAGGAGTCATAGACTGAAGGTCGTGAGCTATAGACTGTCTGAAGTTGGCGAGTTTTGTCTCCCGAGCTACTACTGAGACCATGGATTCTCTCTTCGGCTGATGAGAGTTAAAATGCGTATTGCCGGAAACCTCAACACCGCTACTGGTGCGGTTCAGTCTGAAATTCGATGGCGGCAGATTCGCCATGCTACTCTGACGTAGTATTTCTCTCCGTCGACTGAGTGGAAGATCATCAGGGTCGGGACTTAGCACTCGATTGTATACAGGGTAGTTGTAGAGCGACTCTGCATCACCAACAGATCCTTGCGTATCTATAGGAAACTCGGACACGTTGTAAACAAGATTACCCTGTGACCTACTCCGGAGGACAGACTCTCGTTGACCAAGCAAGGTATGAGGATTAGAAAAAGATACAACGCGAGGCACTATCGGCCGGAAAGGTGTCGAATTCGATTGGATACGGTCTTGTTGCATCGCCTCTTCGGAAATGGGCACGCCAGCTGCCTGTATGCCATCCTGCTCTTCGACAATTGGAGAAAATCCTGTGGACGTACGTCTCAGGGTTGGTGAAGCCGGCTGGAGGGAGGCATCCATGGTGGGCGATCTGGGGCTTCCATTGGGGCTCACAACACTTGAAGGCGCTGCAGTTGAAATAACCACATTAGAAAGATGGTGCTTCTTTTTACCGTTTCTGGGGTTTGGTTGAGCAAAAGAGACCTGTGCTGTCTTAGAATTCGATATCTTAGCGGCCGGGGGAGAGATGATATCGCCAGCGACAGTCCTCTGAAGGTCCTCTACGTCGACATATCTGGGGACTTCTTGAGCATCTTGTTCCGATGCGTACGGCTCGATATAGATGGCTTCAGGTTCCGGGGTATCCGCATGACTGAGATGTTTGGTCCACTCGTTCGTTCTATACGAAAGTGCAACTCTGGACAAAGATTCAGGCAATCGGTCCTTGGTCAAACTAACAACATTCGAGGTCGCTGAAGAAAGCGATGTGGCCTTTTCAGTGGGCTCGAGCGGCTTTAGAGCCTCGGCGCCATTGCTCGCGGTTGCTGTAGATTCCTGTTCTCGAGGCACCGAAGTTTCTTCGTCAACGTCGGCCGCATCTTCAGTTTTAGCTTCTAAGCTCTCTTTATCCTTTTCCTGATTCTTTTCCATTCCGCTTCGCTCGACATCTTTTTGTTGTAGCTCTGCGTCTAATTCGGGCGCGATATCTTGCTCGGCATCGTTTTGAGATGCCTCATCATCTGTCTTGCTAGCATTGTTCTCAGCCACAATTTCTGTTTGGGCCTTTTTGGGTTCTCCGGTCTCTTCAGCATCGCCAAGCTCTGCATTAATCTCAATACTCTTTCTTTGCTCATTGCCAATGACTGAGCTATGTGCATCGTCGTCGCTCATGCTGTCGTAGTCAACAGTTGCAGCCAGGGACGACTGGTCATCATCGTGATGAGGGATGACAGCCGGCTCAACTAACTCTTCAGAACTTTCGCCAGTCTCTAATTGACGCTCAGAGGAAACTTTATTCTTCTGCTGGGATAAACTTCTCAGAAGCGTGACCGAACTCTGTGAGACCCTCTTGACAAGAGAATCTCGCGGGAGGGATGCAGGTGCGATAGCTTCATCGTCCGCGAAAGTTGCAACAGAAGACCGATCACCAATGGATTTTAAGTCGTCTTCGACCGGAATCTTGAAGGGCAGGGGCACAACTTCAGGTGCCACTGTGACGTGTTTCTGTTGAGGGTTACCATTGGCCTCCGAGCTTGCTTGGGAGAGCTGCTTCCCTTTGGCCACATTTCTGTCTGAAGCGGATCTCTCGCCATCATAAGACACTGCGTCAGAGTCTGGGAGTGTTACATTTTTCTCCTTGATCTCATCTTCATTGTCGTTTGGCGACTCGATTATTTCATCTGCAGCCACTCGCACCATGACTTTGACGCCCTCGGCCTTTTCAGAGTACACAAGCCCACTTGAATCTGGAAAGTCCGTCATCTCGATACCATCAGCCTTGGAGCTTGTATAGGCAGATCCAGAGTATCCAGCGGGAGAGCCCTTGCTATTACTGGCACCATCGGTGCCATCCGAGTATTGTGAAGCAGTACTTTTGCTGTTGACCAGGACTCTGCCTGCATAGACCTTTTCCCACTCAACTCGTTCTCTTGCTGCTTGCGCTTCAATGTTGCGGCCAACAATCGCTTCTTCCTCTTCCAAGTATCTCCGACTCTCAGCAAGACCTGCGGCCTTTTTTTCGCGCTTCTCTCGAACCACTTTCCAAAGTTTCACTTGGGAAACAATTCCAATCAGACAGATTATGACGATGGCTGCAATCTCGACTCGAATGCCTCTTGTGATGGGATAGGTGTCTGCACCGAGGGGGAAGAGATTATCATTGAGATTCCAGACATAGGCCCAGAATTCTTTCAGTCCGGCCCTGCTGAAGCAGTCAATGCCCAAAACGATGACCGTCGCGCCTCCAAACGACATCAAGAAAATCATGGCCCAATCTCGAGTATAGCGACTGAAATAAAAGCAGAAGCCAAAGACAGACATGCAGGAGATGAAGACGGCTTTACCAACCGTATCATGGATCAAGCCTCCCGGCGCCAGACAGAGGAACCACATGCTGAGACAAAAGCCGCCCAGAGCACACCCCAAACCTTCAGTCAATTCTTTGAAGATCAGCGATGCTCCGCCTAGCGCACAACCAGACAAGGTAACGGCAACGACATATGCTCCCTGAATACCCAGGCTGACTGGGACATTCATGATGTAGACGATAAGAACCGAGATTCCGAGTGCAGTGATAAAGGCGGTCGAGAAGAAACAGTTGATCCATCGATTTTTGATGCCTACCAAGGTGTAGACAAGACCGGTGAGCATCAAAATGACGCCGGCAACACTCCATCCTGGAGTTATGATAGGTTGGATTGGTAGATGGCCCGCCGGGATCGTTGCTAGCACAATCTATATCAGCACAAGCTCCAGTCAATGTAGGATAAATATCTATGCTCACTGTTAAACAAGGTCGAGCTATCAAGAGGGGCCTCCAGAGCAATCAACGTGGTTGTGATTTGGATTGTCGGTTCTACAGAGGTAGTTGTCTCGGGAGCCTTTGTGATGGTTGGCTCTCGAGGGCTCTCTGTTTGTCTGTGCTTGTCATCCGGTTCTTTGGTAACTGAGTGCTGGGAACTTGGCTCTGGGCTGGGTAATGAAGCAGTGGGCGATGAGATGGAATTGTCATCTCGCCTCAGCGCACGAAAGCCCTGGGCTGTGGCCAATTGAAAACACAGGAGGCATACGAGTGCCTGTAGCCTCACAATCTTCAACATTCTCGCTGTACTAGCCCGAGCACGGGTACCGCCAGCGGTAAATGTCGAAACTTCTAGTATCAGAAAGGGCTCCCGGTTATATCTGCCAGCTCATACAGCATCATCCGAGAGCTACCAGTCGTAGCAAGAGGAGGTGAAAGAAAGGATTACTTTGAATGAAGCGAAGGAGCAAAGTCACGAAAGAATGTATCGAAAAGTCGGCGTTATTACATAAAAAAGAAAGAAAAACTGCTCCCGGATAGCGTTAATACGCTTGCGAGTCTACACCCAGGTCAAGTTGGCGCAGGCTGAGACACGAATGGTAGCGGCGGTAGGGGATTGGTGGAGGAGCACGATTGAAGAGAAAGAACAACGATGTCTCATCTGCATCAGGAGGCGGGCCACAATGGGGGGGGAGAGGGTCAAATAACCATGAAGAATCGAGTGCCATTTGAAAACACCAAGCGAGAGGAGGGAAAGAATATGGGGCAGAGGCGGGTGGTAGCCAAAAAGCAACGAGCGTCACAATTTTCTCTCTCTTCCCCCTCCGGCCCAATAGTTTGGTTTGGTAATACCTGCATGCGGACAGCATCAGTTCCATCGGCACGGCATTTGCCCACGCGCCTGGTGCTTGCGGTTCTACCAGCACCTGGTAAGCCTTGGACGTGTGGCACATGCTTGTACCGTACTCGTCCGTTGATGGCTCTCTTCCCTGTACCTCAGCCAGACGGACCCAAAGTCAAACCCGGAATCGCGGGACCTGCTCCCAAGGCGGGTCCATCGTGAGAACCGAAAGCTGCTAGTTGCTTCTAGTTGGTTGGTGAGCGGGCATCTGCCATGGCGCGTGGCTGTTGGGCCAATTTCCCGGCTGCAGCGGTGGATGCAGGGCTGGTGGAGAGATGAAGTCGAGAGCAGAGGCTCGCAGGTCTGGGCGGTACCACCAAGAGCGTGACGCCGTGGTGCAGGCGGATGTACTCGTACATGGGCGTGGACAGGAGCGTCTGGAGGGAGGACTCGCAGCATTAGGACGCATTAGCTGGGCCCCATCGATGACGCCTGGTGTTGTTCTGGTGTACCTATGTTGTTTGGCGTGAGCAGCTAAGAGAAAGACAAGCTGATCAATCGGACAAGCTCCCAGCCTTGATCAGAGGTACTTACGGAGAGGTACTCGCCTGCAAAATGCTCTGTGCCCTGTGCCCAAAGATTGCAAGAGCGAGCGGGCGCGCAGGGGCCAGATGCGGCTTCGGCAGAGATGCATGCAGGAACCTGGCCGATCTCATTGCATCAGGTACCCGCAAGTACCTCCGCTGCCCCATGCTACCGCAAGCTCTACCGCAAGTGCTGGGCACTAGTGGTAGTAGTGGTCCCAGTGGTACCTGAGCTGTGCTACTCCGTCCGGCCCAGGGGCAGGAAAGAGCTCTGGCCGGGCGGGGTTGTTCAGCTACTACTCCGTACCCCTTGCGCCAAAAGACGCCAAGGCTGGCAGGAAAGCCGGGCGCGGTGCCATCCGCTTTCAGCCAGCCAAGGCAGAAGCTAAAATGCCGTGTGAAGCGCCACCCAATTGGAGCTGCTACAGTCCAGTATTTGGCTGGATTCGACAGAGAAGAATTGGTGAGCTCATGGAACCTGGACACTCTTTATTTGTCAGTCCCTCACTCGCAATCAGGAGAGAATGGATCATGATACAGACAGTACAAGTTTCTTGACACTGGGCACATCAGTGCCTAGATCAGCCCGTTTGACAGAGGTGTGTCCTCGGGCTACCAACGCCATCTCGTCATCCATTACCCAAATCGAGGCCCAGCAGTGCTCGTTGCAGGGCGCCGCAGTAGTACGAGGGCGTAAAGCCTCAACTCGCTGTGTCACTGGAGGCCAACCGCCTGCCTACCTTAGTAGACGGCTAAATTCTCGACTGCGTCGTCTTTCCCCTGCTGTACGGAGCATTCGCCGGAGAATTCCATGGGTATTGGTACGGTCTATTTCTGGATACACTGACTGAGTCCAACCAGAAGTGATGCGTGTACCCGAGATCTCCGGTCTCATTTCCCCCAAGTCAAGATCTCAGGTGCTCTGTCTGTGTACCTATCAAGCTGTGCCTGGCATGGCATTGGTCTCTCTTCAATGCTCGCAACAGCTCAGTCACTATTACAGGGCAGCAGCCCAAGTGTCTACTGTACTCCGTACTCCGTATCTCATGATGCGATCCCTTGCATATGGTGAATGACCGGTTATTGGTTCGCTCCCGAATCCTACGCATTGCGGCACGTACCCCGTATTTTGCACTGCTAGCAAAAAGCAAAAATGAAGCTGAAATCCTCCCTTGCACCGCATCCCTACGCAAAAGACGCCACTGATGCATCATCCTCTTAGTACGGAGAGATGCACGCCGAACGAGCCAAGGAGCGTCTTTCTCACTGAATATCCTGGCTTCGCAGTTGGGGGCGGAGAAGCCGCTGACCACCCATGGTCTTGGGAGTGGCCGGTTGCGAAACACTGCAATGCAAGGTTCAAGAGTTGTCGAGTTGTCTGACCAGGCATTTACTTGTCGGATGTGGTGGCATCCAAGCCTCATCACGTCTCCAGCGGCTACGGAGTCCCGATAACGCCAAGTGAATCCTGATTCACACTGTTACATCGCAGACAGACATGTTGACCGCTGTATTTCTGTCCACGAATGTCTCTTCGCCCCTGTACGGCTCACCATTTTCTTCAGCGTCCAGTACCTTGAAAGATCGCACGTACTCCGTATACTCTGCAGGTTTCCCAGCCACGCAAATCCGATCGTGCCCATCGCCACTCGTACTTGTACGTACGTAACGACGCATATCCCTTGCATGATACGATGTTGGCGAACAGGAGGAGCATGAACATTAATCATCTGCAGCCAGGGATATACAGCTCTCTTCTGGGAGCAACACAGGAAAAGCAGCAACACCATCAGCCAACGACTACACCGTATAAGTCCTGGTACGACTTCAAACCTTCGGGCCCATGACACAGCCAGCATTTCATGCAATCCCTTGCGCCACGCTACATTGTGCTGCTGAAATTAAAAGATCCACTCCGCTGGCGTGACTCGATATCGACAGATGACTGGCTCGTCGCGGTGCACGATACAGGTGAACCTCTTCCCACGTTGAGGCCCGTACCTCCCATGAAACCCGTTTTATTTTCGCGATCTTGCAGCAGCAAATCGGCCGGCTCAGACTTTGGTCGGTTCATCAGTGATCACTCTGGGTGCACATCTCCGTCGATAGTGAAACCTTACCATGCGCGGCCTAAAATGGGATTCGTGCCACGCTGTATTTACTCCACTTACAAGCAGCATCACGATACACACACCGTTTTCATCTTCCAGCTTTACCTGCTATAGTGGAAGACGCGAAAAGTGTGGACTGCACCACATGCTTTTTTCTTCACGACGTCAAAGTCGTGTTCTAGCCCTGAAGCGGTGTCAACATGGCACAAAACATTTAGTTGGCTCTGGCAGCGAGGCAACGCCTGCTGTTGAGAGAACCGGCTTACGAGTCAGTGAGTTAGTATACTTATCATCCATTGGTGTTTGGAGAAAGTCAACCTAAGAACTTCATGTGGTACTCGGAAAACGCAGTAATATGCATATTCGTATGAGCGAGCTCTGCCAATTGAAAGAGGGGAAGGGAAATGCTATGACGCGTTGTTGTTGATCGACCAGAGCTAATCCCATCGTTCGTCCATACATGGCGCTAGAGAAAGCTCAACCCTAAGCTATTCTGACTCGCTCGAAGTGCATCATGGTGGTACATAATTTCACCTGGCCGCTTGGCATAAACAATAAAAGAAAACAATGATTGTCTCGTGACGTGCAGAGAGTTCAAACTCAAAAGACATTGCAATTTCCGCTCCTGGAGTGATAAAGAGCTGAGGCGCTCACCTGACATATGAAGCCATCGCCGTGTGGTAGCACTACCTTTTCGTACCTCCATCTCCTCCCGAACTTTGAGCCGAAAACCTGGTTTGAATAACCCGAAAGGGGGTTTTCAGGGACACGTGCACACGTGCACTACCCGACAATGATTTGCATTGTTATTTTTTATAGTTAATAAGCTTGAGCGGTGTGATATCTGACGGTCAGTTGTCAAGGTCGCTCTGATGATTTGTGAGACACACTCGAGATCGCCGGGAGCTTCATGTTGAGCTGAGAGGCGCTTTAGGGAAATGAGAACAAGTCAACGCCACAAGCGGGGGCACTCGTAAATAATTAAGTTGGTATTAAGCAGCCAAATATGCAGGCGATGAAGTTTATCCCAGCTGGAAATTGAAGGCCGCTCATCAATCATCACCTTGCAGGGTAAGCGTTTCAGGATCAAACTCTATTGCAGTAGTGATGATTTCCAAGAGGCAATGGTACCTATCAGGTATCTCTTTTAATGATGTACATGGTAATAACAATAATATCCATCGTGATTCAAATACAGCCGTTGGCCAGTCTGCTGTACCATTTGCTTGCCAATAACGAAACATCAACAAGCCCAAAACAAAACCCCAGCAGAATAGGTAAGCAACATGAATTGAAAAGGTATCATCTCTGTTATCATCTCTTGATTATTCTCGGCGGCACTCGATCGCCGTTATATTTTACCGACACTGGCGGCTTCCCGGGTTTGCTGCTCCGCGGTGCCCGAAGGTTGGCGGATGGCTGTTTGTTCCTGTTTGCGAATGCAACTATGGGCTTCAACGGCAGGGCGAGTATCTCCAGGAACACCTTGAAAGGAAACGTCGCTGCTGTCACGATCCATTTCCATGCCCACGGTAGCAGATTCTGTCGTTGATTCGATTGCTTTGCTGCCGCAGCGGCCAATGATATTGCATCCTCCAGCCTTGCGTGCATTTGAGAGAACCTAGCCTCTGTCTGTAGCTGCAGGAGTGTTGCCTTCTTCTCATATCGCCTTACGGCTCGATTCAGAGCATCCAGCTCTGGTTGGATAGCATTTCTCACGTCTCGGCCAACCGTCGCCGTGGTCGTACCCAGGGACTCTCCGTGCCCAGCGATCACGTTGCCTTGAGACGTTGAAAGAGTTTCGAGCCTCTCCAGCCTTCTGAGCATCTCCTCAAGTAGCGTTTCGGTACCAGCCTGTTGACTAAACGGGCTATCTTGTACTATTTTCTGAAGATGCAGCGTCCGAGACTGGACCAGCGTGATTATATGTGACAGTACACGTAGCTCAGCTGCCATGAGGAAAATTGTCAGGTTAAAGTTGGAGACGAGTCCCTCGGATGGCCGGCTCAGCTGCCCTCTGATATAATGTAGGAGGTATGCGCTAAACATCGGTAATACGAAGCATGATGCGAGGGCAAGGCTTTCGTGGCGATATAGTTCCTTTAGAGCAGCCTGCTGCTGTTCCGTTACCACCTTCTCTCTCGTCTCTCTCTTTTCTGAGTTGGAATCATCTGCTTCATCTCCTTCTCGCTCTTCAGGAACGTCGCCCAAGGGTGTGCTAGTACTCGGAGCCTTGGCCTGAGAGTCGAGCTCGCTGTCCGATTCAAGCGCTATATTAATCGATTGCTCTTCAAAGGTACGGACTTTCTGCGCCGCGTGATACCATTGCCTATAGCAGGACGTGAGCCTTGTTATTATGTTTCCCACCATAAAGGGCGTGGTAAACGCGATATTAGTTGGGCTGCTACGTACCAAGGCTGCGTCACCGACCAATGAAGGAAGATGGCGGCGAGGCCCAAGAGCATAATGTCGGTGACGACGGAGGTGCCATTCTGAAATAGAACGCCGGCGATGGCAGGCAATAGTGCAAAGGCCAGCGATAGAGATGCCAACGGCGATGAATCGTGATGGGATTGCTCGCCTTGGGCGTGCGGCCGGGGGTTGAGGATGTCGCGTGCCTCGTTTAGGCTGTAATCCGAAAAGTTGGAGCTCCTGCGCGGAGGCGCCTCGGAGGAGGAATCTGAAGAAAAGTGCCGCGACATGGAGCCGGATCGCATCGAAGGCTCGTCTAGGGTTTTGACACGGCGGATGGAGTGTCCAGGAGGAGCGTTGCTGGCGATTCCGACACCGTGGCCGAGGCTGATGCCGGAGCTTGCGGCGAGTCCGGGCCGAGCTGACGATGAAGCGGTCGAGGCCTGACGGCCGTCGTCTGGCATTGCTGCCGCCGACATGGTCTAGGGATATGCACGATTGTGCAGGATGTCAGCAGAGGATCATTGGACGAGTGGCAGGGAGGAGAGGAAGATAGTGGTGGGCAGACACGCAGCGTCCAGTCCAGTCGTTACGTCAACTGGAATTCGAGGCAGCTGTTAGCGGGCGTCAGTGGATGCTCCAGCGCTCTTCCCTGCTAATGGCTAGCGCTCCCGCATGGCTGGGCCGGCTAGAATCCGGGGTACAGCGGGCTTGTGCTGATTTTGGCAGTTTTGACGTAGTGGCGGGCTGCAGCAAAATGTCACCAACTGATATTAGCAGTCTGATCTGGTACCTTGATATGTCTGGTAGCATACCTAGGAGGTCCAATGATACGGTATGGATAAGATGGCGTGATGTTTTGATATGTTGATGCATCTTGATCTTGATAGTGCTCCCAAGATTTGATAAGAGGGCCATTTAGGCATGGTCTCCCGCAGTGATATCAATCTTTGCATTCCTTGCACCAGCTACCCCGTAGTGCGGCGCAACTCGACACGACAAACGAGCTCCACTGGAACAGTTCTGGACGAAAGGCTCCGGGCGCCAAAAGCGCCATTGACATGAATGGAATGAATCACGTACATGTATATAATTAGTCCACCATCTTGAGTGGTTTATGTCCTGATTTTCTTACATATCCACCTCATAGCGTACCACTGGCTTGGTGACTTCTCTAACATAATTCCGCACTTTTCTAAGCGTCATCGTATAGTCATCTGACATCGAGGCCTGCCCCGTATCGACCACAGTTCTACCGATCAAGAGCACGACATTTACAGTATACATACGCGCAAATCGCGGTAGATGGATCGACTTAGTCCAGGCATCAAGCTTGTATGTATTCCATCGTTCGGCCCTACGCTGCCCATCTCATTTCCCCAGACAGCAGCAAACAACTGCGGGCTGACAAGTCAGTTCCCAGAAATGAAGTCCAGCCCAGATCTCGCCCCGCCTCCCAGCTCTGAACAGCTCTTGCAGATCATCGCCTACGTCATCTCACAAGTGCGCATTGAATAATTTCCCTTCGTGGTGATTTTCCGCATCACCGCAGTGTGAACAGGCAAGGGCAATCTCGAGAAGTCCGATTCTAACCTTGGTTCGGACAGTGGTAATAGGAGACTTTAATTGAGTGCTGGCCCCTGTCCCGCACCGTGGTTGACTAGCTGGTATTTCACACCGGGGAACAGCTGTGACAGCGGCCCGTGCAATATGGAAGCGCACGGTTCGTTGAGCCCCCTATTCGGAATTACTGCTCGATCGATGGCGGGCTGAAGGGGGTTCACAAGTACGATCTTTCAGTTCTTTCTCCGCATGAAGCCTGGTCGGCGAGACCCGATAGAAATTGCCCGGGATGACCCCTGGCACCATTGCGGCTGCTGTAAAGTAGCTGAGGCTGACGACACGAAGCTGTTGCTATCATTGTTCTATTCAATCTTCTAATTTGACAGCCCAGCCTAGATGTGTTGCTATTCCCCGGTAAACTCAATCCTTCGGCCTTGGCCCTTGGATGAAAAGCCCTGTACGTAACAGCGTTGCTTCCTCAGACAGAGGTGAGACTAGGGCTAGAAACGCCTCCATGCAGCAATCAGGAGATGGCAGTGAGGGCTGTCAAATCGCTCAATAGCCCTAACTCATTACTAGGTGATTCTGCAAGCCACATCCAGAAGCGAGTCTACATACTAGCTCTAGTGAAGTGGCATGATGGGAATCGGCCTGATCTCTCATGCATTATCCATGCTATTGATGTGTTATGCGTGCCTCTAGATCTTCGGGATTGCCGCGAGTGATGATGCAAATTTCTGTTCGCCATGGGTCTGATCCTTGGAATAGCAGCCCAGTCCCGTCGTGGCATTTCTGCTGTTGGGCTGTCGTCACAAGATCCACGATAATAAATGACCCTTGGCAGGGCCAAAATTAAGTCTAACGGTTCAGCTTCGCCGCCACCTGGGCAGAGTTCCGAAGCCATGCCGTATTCTCCCAGCTAGAGCTCACTCGCAGCGGCCCAGGCAAGCATGTAAGTAGTAAGCACGGCTTCTCGCACTTGAGATGCCGCATGGATCGTCAGGGCAGAGGCGTGTTAGTGGTTTGTGCAGGCGAGCAAACAAACAAGCATCAAACGCAGATAAAGGTGAGGCGGCTCCCAGGCCCAGGCCAGGGCCACAGACCATTTCTTCCTCCGGTGCAGGTCGGGTAAACATAATTTCTTTTTCTTCTTGTCCCATTCTCGCTCTCTTTTCTTTTTCTCTTTCTTTTCCTTTTTTCCTATTTCTATTTTTATTTTAGAACCCCCTTGACCTCGGCACATTTCTCGAAACCACCAGCAATGGGCATTTAAAATTCTCTTCTTCCCCTCAGCGTCTTCCACAGCCCACCGAATTTTTCGATGCTGTCTTATCGCATCTGATGCCAAATCGATAAATATGCAATCACGCAACAGCCGCGCACGAGAATTCATCACCCGCACTAACCCGTTCGAGCGCGCGCCCCTGATTAGCCGATACGAGGACGGCTTCAACGCCAAACCATTCTCAGCACTTGTCCGGCTGTGCATTTCCAACTCAGCGTTGCGCTCGACGGCCAGTGCGGAAGAGTCTCAAATTTTCACCGCAGCGACTCTATCGCATCTGCGGCAGCTCTTCTCAGAGTCAACGGCACTCTCAAACTCATCTGGGAGCAGCTTTGCGCTGGTCTCGCCGACTTCCAGGCCCGACGCGACCTCGCCATTTCCTCGCTGCGCGGTCGTCCCAGCGGCCGTGCCGTTCCCACCATTCCCACGGCTTCATACGAGCTTCAGGCAATTTCAACAGCAACCGGCCCGCCCTCCCTAGGCGCGCAGGCAAACCCTCGCTCAGGCGCCGTTCCAGCCTCACCCTCGGCCTCTCGCCAGCCTCCTCGTCCCGACGCTTCCAAGGCGACGGAACCAGCGTCGCCACAGCCCGTCTTGCATAAGCGGAACCAACACTCGATTTTTCGTAATCTCACAACTTCGGCCGCAGGTCCGACTCGACTTCAACGCCTTTCCTCCGCCCGTCTGTGGAATCCTACAAACTCAACTCCCAGAGCTCCCTCCCACAAGCGACGCCCTTCAAGTCCGATTGAGCCTCCGGTTCCACTACAGCACCCGGCCCTCGATCAATCTACCGACACTGCCGACCCGAACGTCACCGGTGCTGGCGACTATCCCCTGCTGACCCTCACCGAACACCGACAGGTGCGGCACTCTTCGTCAACACCCCTCAGCTTTCAGTTCGACCTAAACACAACGGATAATAAGCGCATAAGCTTGCCTGGATCTGTCCGGGCTTCGTATGACGAGAGACGCTCCCAAACCCTCTCCCCAACTCGGCTTGAGTTCCAGACGAGAACCAGCGGCGATTTCACGAGCGAATCGCCGCCACCTACCAACAATCCCAAAGTCGACAAGGGCAAAGGCATCATGCTACCCGAAAATGAGGAACCGCAGAGGCCCTACTCCAGAGACCTGGAGCGAGGGCCTGACGTATTGGACCACCATCGCTTCTCCAATGTATCCCTTGGGGATGGTATAGGATCTGCAATCTCGTCGTCCAACTCGTCAATCATGGGCGAGGAGATTCAGCCAGATCTAGGGGAAGCGTGGGGACCGCAACACCCTTGCTTCCCTCACTTTAACCCCCATGTACCATCAGACTCTGCAGAATACGCCAAGACGCGGATAATCCGAATCCGCCGCGACTGGCTTCTCCAGGGTGATCTCGCTCCAACATTTTCTAACCTTTACCCCGAGATCCTGGATCCCGCTGGGATTGCCGAGCCTGAATTCCGGCGCATCATAGACAAGCTCAACAAGGAGCTGGTACCGGCGTTTGATCCCTACAACCCCCGCAATGTGCTTGACGCGGTCTTGGGCCTTGTTACTGGATGGCTCTGGGACGACTTTGGTATGACTGGCATCAAATCCCGATTGAACAACTTGGAGTTGTGGATAGAGAAGTGGAATCGAGAAAAGGAAAAGACCACGCCATCTGAGGAGGGCGTTCTCCCTCCAAAACTCATTTCGCTCCGGCGCACGGGTTACATGACTGTAAGTAGACTTCTCGCCTATTTGGGATTTCCGTGGCCAATGCTAATGATTCTCGTCAGCTGGACATACAAATACCAGACCCGGAGATTGCACCGGCACCGAGTAGCACCGGCGCTGCTGAGTCAATTGCAGCTCTGCCCTTGGAGCCAGCACCGGTGCTCGTTGCATAAACAACCCTATGTCAAGTCTTGTTTTTTTTCTTTGTCTGTTTGAAGATTTGCTGCCTCATTCTTCTTCTTATATTTATTCTTCCATCTAATATTCTCACGACCAATGGAGGCGCCATGAGAAGAGCAGGCTCTTTTGTTACGATTTGATCCTTGAAAAACTTGTTTTTTTCCAGAGGAATGTTTATTTTGATACCATAGGCATCGCACGGCGTTGGGGTTAGCCTTGCTTGACGCTGCCTTTTGATGGGGTAGCGACTTTTTTCTTGGATGATTAGATGTTTGTCACTTGGTGAAAAAAGGGACGCGACGGAGGGTGCATGTTGTTCTGATGTCCCGACTGTATAAGCTTATGAAGAGTTGAGACGATAGGAGCAGCCGACGTATTTAATAGCGGTCTGGATTGAATATACTATTGTGATTATCCAAGCATTAAAGAGTCCCCATTCTCACATCTTTATGCTTCGCACGGAGTATGCCGACGGGACGCCATTGCATGCCTGTCTCAGTGCTCGTTGTTCCCCTTGCATCCGATGCTTCTTCAGACCCTCGCCCCCTTTTCCGTTATCATGACGGCTTACAAGAGATTCCAACCATCATCCCACCGTCGACCGCCTCAGTTGCCCTATTCTGGCAATCTGGCTATTCCAATATGCGATGTCGGCAGATATCTCAAGCGATCGGCCGACGAGACCCGCCCTTCATCGCCGGTAATAAGACGCATTTTGCTCCCGCTGCATTCCTGCGCGTCTCAGAACTCGAACTTGGCAGCCCTTTCGGCATCCAAACATATTTGACCGACCGACACATCGTGACCTTTTCCCTCTTTCTTTGTTCTTTCTTTGTTGCTCCCCCTTTTCCTCAATTTTTTTCTCTGAATATTTAACCATGTTGGCTTTCGTATTGATGTGCTCTCGATGATTTCATGACCTTTAGATAGTAAAGATTTCTCGCTGGTTGTGTATTCTGCTGTTTTGGATATCTACGACAAAATTGATTGAGAGCTATGGCTGCTACGACATTAACGACGACGACGACGACTGTGACGACGGACAGGAGTAATTGGAGGGAGAACAACGCCTTGGTGTGGATTTGGAAGGGAGTCGAGTTTGTGGCGGCGCAGTGGTTGCTCATTGGATTCGGCGTGGCGTGTGTGCTTGGATGCTTCTTCCCACGTAAGTTTTCTCTTCTTCATGTTCTTTCGCGATGCTGGATTTTCTCCCTCTTTTCTGAATCGGATATATTCTTGGTAAATTGGATGGGGAGTGGTGTTGTCGAATAAGAGTAAGCTAATCGTTTGGTTACGTCAATGAATACAGATGTCGCAGAACATGGGGGAGTCATTAGATCAGAGTATAGCATCCTGTATGGTGCTGTGGCAATCATCTTTCTGATAAACGGACTGCAGCTTCCTCCGGATAAGTTGAAGCAGAACCTGACAAACTGGAGGCTGCATATCATGGTTCAGGGCTGCAGCTTTGTGATTATCCCGGTGATTATGTTGGGTGAGTATAGACTGTCAATACAGCTCGTTCCTGTGATAAACTAACAAAATCATGAAATCTAGCCTTTGTACACATTTGTCTTGCGGCTGGCGCTCTCCGGCATGGTACTCCTTCCATCCCCATCATCCTCGGCATGCTCGCCACTGCTTGTCTCCCCACCACAATCGCCTCCAACGTTGTCATGACACGCTCAGCAGGAGGCGATGAAGCTGCAGCCGTCATCTCCGTCGTCATTGGCAACACACTCGGCTCGTTCCTCACGCCAATCCTGATATACGGCTTTATACCGCGCGATTCTGTCTTTGACAACTGGCGACCTGCGGACCCGAGTACGCTGGGCGACATGTATGCCAACGTGGCCAAGCAGCTTGGCTTGAGCGTCTTGTTACCCCTAGCAGTGGGACAGGCGGTGAGGTGGTGGAAAGGAGATCTTGTGTCAAAGGTGCTGAGGGTGACGATGTTGGGAAAGCTACCGGCAGTTTGCCTGATACTGCTAGTATGGTGAGTTGGGCATGTTTCAAGCTAAATACTGCTGTTCAACTAACAAAGATATGATGAAAGGACTACATTTTCAGGCGCATTCGGCACTGGTGCGCTCTACAAGCTATCTAAAGAAGACGTCATTTTCAACGTCTTCATTAATATCGGCCTCTACATGATCTTCACCCTCATCTGCTTCTACCTCGCTCGTCCACCTACCTTTCTCGCAACATACGTCAACCCTCATGTCACAGAATCTCGTCTACCCGAGGGTGTCAAACGCATAGTCTCTGTTAAGAAGATGTCCAAGGAGCAGACCATTGCCGTGTGCTTTTGCGGAGCGGCCAAAACGACGAGCTTGGGAATTCCTTTGGTAACGTCCATGTGGACCCAGGCGGATGATTTGACAAGGGCGTTTATCACGATTCCAGTTTTGCTTTATACAATTGAGCAGGTGAGTTTGAGATCCGCTATTTAGTCGGTGTTTATTTGCTTACAAGCTCTTGAATAAGGTCTTTATGGCTCAAGGCTTGGTCTACTATTTTAGATGGTATTTACGACGTGATCGAAAACCGGGTGCTGGTAATGCGGGGGTTATTGATGAGGAGCAACCTGCGTCAACAGGGGATCACGAAAGTGATATTACGGCTCATGATAATGATGATCATGAGGAAGAAAGAACACCAGTAGAGAGGGTTGAAGAGAAAGACACGGTAAAAAGCGGATAGAAGGGTGGTATATGTTTAGATATCACAACTAATGTGCACCCAGTGTGCACCTAATGCCTCATGAAGTTCAATGCTTGGTAATCGTATTGTGCGTGAAGTGTCGTTTGAACTAAACTTCAAAATCTCACGGCTCGGCTGTGGCCACATCGTGTTGGTGGCGCCGGCGGTGGTTAAGGATATCAAACACGGAGTACTTTTTGTGAGGATCTCGTTCCGGCATCGAACTCTGTTTCATCGCTTCCGGCGATTGTTTCTCGTCCATGTCCCTCGCTCTGCGTGTTTTGGCTTCGTCAAACACGCTCTCTCTTGCACGAGACTGCAAGAGCTGGATGCGACGGCTATTCCAGACAGCCCAGGCAATGACGCCTGCCATAGTGGCCAATGTCAGAGGACCCGTTACCGCCCAGTATACCCAAAAGTGGCTGTTTGCGACTTGGTGGAGAGAAGGCTCGGACCAGTTAAACAGCGGCATTGCGAAGAATGACTAGGAGGAGGGTCAGGATATCGTTCTTCAAATAGGAACCCGGTAGCCAGCCACGGGATAACTGGATGGTCTGGAACTTACTGCAATGAAGGTGCCGGGTAAGAAAAAAGTTGTGAGCAGGGCAATGATCTTCATAGCTGAACTGTCTTGCTTGCTCGACACGGCCATTTCTCTGGAATCTTGCGCGAGGCCGACGTTGATAAGACTATCTGCCTGAGCTATGAGGTTGAAAAGCTTTTTATGGTCAGTTCATTTCCTCTCAAATTGTATTTTTGGCTAAGACATAAAGGCCAGGTAATGTACTTACGACAGTTTGCTGCGCTTCCATTCGCTCTTTCAGGGCACTCCTTATATTTATGTGTTCTATATTGCTCAGAAGGAACTCGATTCGCTCATCCAACATGTGGCAGGCCGGGGCTAGTTTATGTTGACATTCCTCTGGTATAACTCTATTAAGATGCTGTATTTTCTGACGCAGAAATAGAGCCATGTATCGAGAGGAAGTGATTGTTGCCAGCGTCAAATATAGCTTACTTTGACATTGACCTAGTTCTTTCACTAGGACGCGGTAGTCGTTCTGCGAGTCTGTCGTATCCGTCGATGTGCTGAGACCATATCCCGTTATTGCTTCTATCCTGTCCAGATTTCCTAAATTGGCCGTTTGCTGACTGACTTTTTCTTCAACTGTCATCTCTACGGCAAGCAACGGCAGCAAGAGAGGGTGGCTGCAGTTGATGAATTGCTCAGGCATCTTCACAAACCCTGCGAGACTAATATTCTCGAGACGTATATAGAAAACCCCGCGAATGATGTTTGTTTTGGGATCGTATCGAAGCGCCGAACCAATCGAAGCCCAGTCAGTGGTTTTTCGCATGATAAACACTGGCTGCAGTCAGTGCCTACCCTCTCACGTATGTGCATACATATACTAGGCAAATATGTAGGCATCTGGGTATAGAGAAGTGAAATACCATAACTGTTGTCGGGCTGCAAAAACATGCCGCATGCACCGCAGTCTATAGAGCTGTAATGCTGATGAAAATATGGCAGCCCAAAAGCAGCGTGAAACTCTTGCATCTCGCCGTTTGTCAAATGTGGAAGTGGGCCGTAATCGGCACAAGGCACCACTGCCACCTTGAAGCCGGCCGATGGCTGTCGTCCATTTCGCGTTGGGGTGGGCTCTTTCAGCCACGAGTCCTTGGTTTCTGTGTGGAAGCCGCAGAGTTCGTATTTTTTGGTTGGTTCATCGTCTTCATATTTCCAACATTCAATCATCGCGACATCAAAATTGGCTTTCTCCGAGGGCGACTGCGGAACATATTGACACCAATCAAATAGCCATTCTCGATTTCCCTGGCCTCCAAAGCCGGAAGCTGAATTCTCCGACATATTCCTTTCTCGGATTTGCCAGAGCGAATCTGCAGTTGGGCCTTGGATAACCCCTTGGCTGACGAGGATCAATCAGTAGTTGGATGTAGTGTAGTGTGTAGGATCCGGATGGGCATTCAAGGATAACCGTTTGACGATATTCGCGGGATGTTAGTTGCAACTGGATAAGGCTCCTTGTTAAGCCCGGTTTATATTCCTGCGACCAGTTGGTGCCCAACCAAATGAAGAGACCAAGAAAACAAGAATTGCGATTAAGCTGAGGCTCAGCTCGATTTTCGCAGTTAGCCTCACAGGATCAATCCCCAAACACTAGCCCGCTGCAACATGCGCCAGGATCTGATCCCACCTGAGGCCAATCACATCATGCATGCAGTGGGCGCAGCTACCGAAGCGATGGACGGATGTCTGCCTAGCTGCAAGACATGGGTATCTCATGACTGATATCTGTGTATAACATCGGAGGCAACCTGCGCATCATGCTTCTCTCTTCTATAGTTTCCCGTTATTGTTTAACATTTCTAATATCTGCTGTGGTCGATGTATATTATCTGTGTCTGCCTATTGTCTTGATAGCTATTGGGCGAATTGTAGATTCGGAATATCATCCGGGGCTGCACCTTTTATTGTAGTGATAGGAGCACATAGACAGTGGAAGCAAGGCAGCGGTATTTTTAAATAGAGAATGCCCTGTAAGTACATATCATGTAATCAACAGCACCAACTGTAGCTACAGCTTTATTTCAACCTCGATGTAGACTACCGTAATAATACGATGATGCTAGTGAAGAAGAAAAGGGAAGAAGAGAGCGAAAAAGAAGAGGAGAATTATAGAATTATAGTGGAGGAAAAAAGAAGAAGAGAGCCGCCTCTAGTGACGGCGCCATCCGGATTCCGGACCGGTATGTGGCCTCGGCCCGGAGCGCGTCGCCGGCTCTAGTCCCCGGACAAAACGGGGCAAAAGGACGACGTACCTAGGCCGGGTTTTTAGCAGAGGACAAAACCACAGATGGCATCACCGAGATCAACACGGATAACGACAAAAAAAAGGTAAGAAGTCAAATAATGTACATGCGGACATAAGTGCAAAAGCAGCGCCATCGTCATCGTCTACAAGGTGCCGGGGCCAAGTCAGTTCCGTCCTCGTCCTCCGCCAATTTTCTTATAATAGCCATAGCATATCCTCTTATTGTTAGCAAGCACAAATTATAGATATTACTAGGTAACTTGAATTGTTGTTGACGGTAGGCAATATTATGCCCTCTAGATGCAAGGCGCATGTTGTAAGTGGTAGCTATAATACGGGGTGTAAGTAGCACTTGGTGCTCAAATTATTTCAACTTTCAGAGTGCTAATTAGCTAAATATGATTTTTTTCTATCTAATACTAGACTAGTAGCCTCATCTATGTGTTGCAGTTCCTTCGTTGACGCAGTAAACCCCTCCTTTCACCATCTTTGTTGTCATCATCATTTCCCATCAATAGCTACCTACTCCTGATTCCTGTTCATCAATAGCTGCACAATCTCTGTAAAGCCTCTGAGCCTAGCACTATGCAGCGCCTTATTTTTACCACCCGCGCCATTTGCAAGCAGTAGCTTTACAATAGCCATGTGGCCTTTCCGGGCAGCCTGCCTCAGCGCCTTATCTTTACCACCAGCGCCATTTGCAAGCAGTAGCTGTACAATATCCATGCGGCCTGTGGAGGTAGCTTCTACCAACGCCTCATCTTTTACACCAGCGCCATTTGCAAGCAGTAGCTCTACAATATCCATGCGGCCTGTGAAGGTAGCTTCTACCAACGCCTCATCTTTTCCACCCGCACCATTTGCAAGAAGTAGCTGGATAGCAGCCATGTGGCCTCCGTAAGTAGCCTGCCTCAGCGCCTCATCTTTACCACCCGCGCCCTTTGCGAGAAGTAGCTGGATAGTAGCCATGTGGCCTCCGTAAGCAGCCTGCCTCAGCGCCTCATCTTTACCATCAGTGCCGTCTGCAAGCAGTAGCTCTACAATAACCGTATTGCCTTTGGAAGCAGCATGTCGCAGCGCCTTATATCCACCACCCGCGCCATTTGCGAGAAGAAGCTGCACAACAGCTGTGTGGCCTCTGCGAACAGCTAGGTGGAGCGGTGTAGTCTCGAACCAGCCATTCAACGTCTCATTTACTGCTGGAGGTGTCCGGAGCAAAGTATTAGTCATAAGCAGCTCCCGAGCCAATACATATATTCCAAAATAAGAAGTCATATGTAACAAAGGCAGATGGAAGGCGTTGAGGAATATCTGCGTAGAGGTCTCTTTGTTGTAAGTCTGCCACCAGTGGTTCCGCATACTGGAAGTCTCCTGGAGAAATGGTCTTGAAAGCCTCAACGGATTCTTATCATTCGCATCTGAACAGCAACTTGCATGTTCTGGCCAGTGCATTGCAGCGTATTGTAATAGAGGCGATTTCTGTAGGACTGAGGGATTCTTTATATCCAGAGCTGTATTGCGTAAGTCGCTCTTCTCAATACAGTCAAGACATACTTCTGCTACAGTAGCATGCGCATGTTCCACTTGAATATGAAACTCCTTGAGCGTTGGGTCGCTATCAGTCTCACTTTGTAATAAGTAATCCCTCGCTGATTGGTGAACAAGGCTGACTTGCTGATCATGGATTATGAGAATATGCCCGCATAGAGTGATGTAATCGAGAACGGCCTGTTCTTTGCTAATTTTCGCTGTAGGCGGCAGATGGATAGCTTCGCTCAGTTCAGATACAGTCAGAGGCCGAACGGCCAATGTAACCCATTGTAAAATGTCAAGGACGACTGATCGTCGACTGGATTCAATCTGTGACAACATTCGGCTGTAAACTCCATGTAACCCTCGAGGAATACCCTCTAGAGTTTCCATGATCTGGGTACAGGTCCTTTTTCTCGACAGTTCTGCCATGACAAAGCCGACCCATAGGAATGTGCCTTGGGCTCGATCTAGAAGAGTGGTCTGGATACTCTCGCGAATATTATTGAAGCCTCGTATTCTTTCCAGCCTTTGAACACTGTTGCGAATGAAAGCTTGAATGTCGTCATTGACATAGTTGTCATTGTCAGGATCCAACTTCACTTGGGGGAAGGCATCCAATAGGTCAATCTTTCGGCTAACAACCGCTAATTTGAACTGTACATTGCTTGGCTCTGAACTTTCCAAGAAGTATTCGTAAAACTTGTCAACTAGTAGGCTTGATGACTCCTCGTCGCACTCGTCAAGTCCATCGAGCACGCAAAAGACTGTTCCAAGGTCGGGAGCTTCCAGGAGCTTTTCCAAAACCATCCAGAGAGCGTTCGGAGAATGTAGTGTCTCTTGAGTCTTCCCGGCACTTTCAAAATCTGAAATGATATAGCTGACCAAGTCTGGGCGCTTTCTAATCAGCTGGTATGCCAGGCCTCTAAGAATAGCCACAGCACTACTGTGTTTCTCATCTGGAGTACAAAAAAAGAATATCAGAAGTTCTATGGTTTTGCTTTCTTGGGTGCGCTTTTCAAGTTCTTCAGTTAGAAAGATTGAGAGCATTGTTTTCCCCTTGCCAGGGCCGCCAGTAATCCAGAGACATTGCACGTCGCCGTCAAGCCAGGATTGGTAGGTTTCATCATTTCTAATCCATTCGCATGTGCCTGCAGTCCTTCGACCTTTTATACGTTTGAGCGTATCACGATCAACAATTGGGTCTGCAAGAAAGAGCGCATTTCGACATGCGTCGGACTTGCTTTGGGGTGATTCTGTATCGGCGCAGGGATTAGCAAAGTGCCTCCATCCAGGTATATATATGTAAGAGCAAGATGGGCGTGACAGACCAGAAGCGTAATTGATGATATCTCCTTGATGAATTCGGACATTATTTCCGAATGTATTAGAAGAAATGCTGAAGTTGTCCATTGCTTGGGATGATCGACCAGCGTATCAATTGTCGATGCCTTGGTGCTGTAGGTGTGCTGAGGGGTTTGAATGCATGGGCATGCCTTGCTTGAGAACAAGGCTGCAATCACGGGATCGAGGGCTCGGCGAATTACAAGCTAGAATTCCTGCCGCACCTATCACCGAGAACTAGAATGGCCGGGATTGGTTGTTACGAAATGATATGGTGTGTACTTTGCAGGTATTGGACAAAATTCTTCGCTTTTTCAACCAAGGCTTCGCCCATCATATAGAACTAACATGGGACACTCAGTTCAATGTTTGGTGAGTGATCATTTGGGAATACCTATGCATAACCTTAGCGGCTGCGTGGAGTTTGAGGATTGAAACTAGATGTGAGAAACAGCTGTTTGTTTGCGACTCCAAGCATTTGATTAGGCCGTTGATACCCAATTTCCTGAGTACCTATTTCTATGGCTACTTTCTATCACTATAGCGGTATTCCCCTAGTATCTGCTATTATAGCTATAATCTCTAATATTTACTACTATATCCTATATACTTCTAGTATTTGATATCACCACTGCCATTAGATCTGCGTATAGAATGATGGAGAGCACATTCGAGCTGCCTAATAGTCATTATCTATTGTTTCTCTAAGCTTTAACTATACGCCAGAAGTGTGCATAAAGCCTTTTGTGCCTGAATTCTTGTAGATGGGGGTTGCCCGCGCCTGTAAGTGAAGCAAGCCATTTGGGGTGATGAGGATCTGTCCCTGGGCCAAGCTCTCTATAGCAAGTATACCTTATATAAAAAATGCGATTCCGCAACTTCAAAGAACACTTGGCAACTAAGTGGCATATCGCGCAAGCAGTTTTCTTGACATAAGGCCCATGAGTATTGCTCCATGTTTCCGTCAGCTGCTGAGAACGGCGTGGTGAATTGTAAGTTAAGCATGCCTGTACCTTCTCCAGGGTGTTTTCTATCCATAACTCCGGTGCAGAGATGGACAAACTTTGATGCGGACAGGCAGCGAAACGTTCGGGTGAATTTTCATAATCTATAGGTAGAGAGCAGATAATTTTTTGCTTTTGCACAAAGGTGCCTCTGTAAAAATATATCTCATTGGACCACCTATAGGTGATAGATGATACAAAGGTACATTGGTCTTTGTAAGATAGTTCTTGAATACGGGCCTTCTCGACTTCGTCTCCAATTCGACGACGGATGCAACGTAGATGATCCAGTGATAGATGATAGGATATAGCTGAATGTATAGGCGCAAGTGTGGGAGCTGATTGCATGCTAGACGATGGTGTTCCGGCATTAGAATCTCCAGCTTCCATCTGCATGAGATACATTCCATTTGCCCAACATCTAGGGAGGACTTGGGAGGTGCTTAATGGTTCCAAACGGTTGCGATTCGGCCACGGTTGTGAGCTATGCCTGCGACAGCAGCCTTGGTGAGATACACAAACACATGAGGTGCCGTAATGGAGTCCATCTGGGTCAGCAACGCTTTCGGAGGCTGCAGTTGCTTCTTGATACGGGGGTGGCATCGTCTGGATAGAATCGCCGTCATTTTCAAGAGTGTCATCGTCTCTGGAATCGCCAACCGTGGAACGGTTGAATCTGGAAATATTGTCTCCAGACTCATCGTCCCCAGATGTACCATTGACTTCATCCTCATACTGTCTCCGTCTTCATGATCTTCTCCAGCCTCATCATCTCCGAAATTATCATTTCCAGAACCTTTATCTTCGGGTATAGTTTCTTTAGGCATGTTGTCTTTAGAAGAATCTTTCTTAACCGTAGAAGCCCCCTCCCTAGAAGCGGCGGTTTCTTGATCTAACGATGGATGGCTCGGCTGAGGAGACTGGTTTGGAGAGACAGAGGTATTTCGCTCATGTCTATGTCTCTGCGAGAAGCCGAGACAGTTTGTGATACGAAGGAAATGGAACACAGCCATGGCGATGAAAAGCGCATTCGTGACAGTAGAAAGAAGGGTACGCTGCTGGAGAAAGTGGGAGAGTATAACATTCTATATATAGTACAATATAGAGTATAATTCTATTTATCGGGCCGATAATCAGAGGTCGTGCTGTTTTCAACTTTAAATGTGTTTTCGAAGGGTTTGGATTTAATGACGGCTTTCTTTTCTATGTTTTAGGGTTTGTGTTATCAGTATGGCTGGAATCTTATTTGGTTCGCTCAACAATCGCCGGTGGATTTTATCCTGGGATGTAGTGATCTGATTCATGGGCTGGATGCATGCATAATGTTGGATGATCTATAGTGGTAATCGTCATTGACTACAAATGTGCCGTAAAGATATTAGAAACACGCGAAAGCAAAGAACCCTCTCGTCGGTGAGCTGCGTGGACTCTCACGGGTGTTTGCTGGGATAGAAATATTCCCAAATGAGGTATACAACATAAGACAAGCGATCTCGTAAACTGATAAAGTCGTCATACTTTGTACTTTATGCAAAGTTCATGAATTAAACGAAGAAGAATTTATGCAGTGGGTGTCATGCCAGCGTCCTCTAGTTCAGTTTATCATTTCAGCTGCGGCTGGCTTTGCGGGAATCCCTGTCTTGCATGTATAGACGAAGCCCGATAGTTCGCCGTGCTAACAGCGCAATAGATCACTTGAATGCATTAGTTCGCATGTGCCATTGCGCAGTGTTCCCCCATTCGCCAGAAGACAGCTGTTCCTTGCGAAGTGGGTGGGCGGTTGCATGTGCTGGTAGGGGCACTTGTGGTGATATCGGCTGAGGAGCGATGCTGCATCTGAAGGGCGGTGATGGCTTTGTTTGTCTAATACACATATATACAAAGATTGGACTTATGACGGTAACTTTTCATCCTCCCACGATCGTCATTGTTCTACATGTTCAAACTGTGGTGCGTAAGATAGGGACCTGGAGATAGTGAAGCAATTAAAGCACTGAAGCACGATGTCGCTATCAGATCAAGGTATCTAAAGTCTCGCGACTGAAACAGATTGTAACAAGATACTGACTACTCTCAGATCCTAATGTGTTTCGGGCGGGCAATGACGATATGAAGCAGAAGACTATGGCATACGCAGAGAGGGCGAGGCGTATTGCAGAAAATGAGATGCTGAAAGAAGAGACAAGTCATCCGTGGAAAGAGGTGCCGCACAGCGTATCCTGCACTTATCAGATATATGAGTTCGAAGGGGATCATGTTGATTTAGAGAACGGCCCGCCTACGTTTTCTAACCCGCGAGATGAATTCATGTATTGGGAGAGCACAGCAAAAGACGGCTTAGCCGAGAAGAGAAACCGGCGCATCATCATTCTGGAAGACGTCTCCGCGCGGCTAGCAGAGATGTTGGGAATCTTGCTAGATATCCCTCCAGAGTTTTTCCTGGCGCACTGCGACGAAAGCGTGGACCTCAATATCATGGATGAGCAGTATGTTAAACAAGGCAGCTCGACGTATTGGAGGGTGCCGGTGCCACAACGACGTTGCCTTCCCAAGGGATTTCGTGTTGACGGTTTTGTAGACGTCTTTTGTGGGAGTTTTTATCGTGGAGCAGGGATTCTAGACAAGAGTAATAGCTGGTTGACTTTCCGCAGCTTGATATCTTATTGGGGCAAGTCATATGGGAACGGTTCATGGACAGGTTTGTGATTTTCCGAGTTAAGACCAGGTGTAATAGGCTAACAAGTGATGATGTAACACAGCAGTTTTTCTACTGGATCCTCAGCTTTCTCATTTGCATCTAAATGGACTTGAATCGGTTGTTCTAGAGAACTGGGACGCTGGGCGCGATGTTCTACGCGAAGTGATAGTAAATTCTTCGCGAAACAACCACACACAAATGCATAAGCGCTCAATGTTCAACACTCTTGTCAAGGCCTACGAGAACGTGCCTATGGTTTTCAACGATGACGTGTTTTCAGCCACTTATTTTGCTCGCAATTGCATTCGCGCAGTGTGGGAAGAACATGTCTGGCGACGCAAGCGCCATTTTCATAATGTTCTAGTGGAAGATGAACGATTGTACCGAGTCAGGCAAAAATGGGCCTACGAGAGTGACGAGGCCATCAAGGCGTATGACGGTCTGATGCAGGAGCGGCAGAGCATCAATTTTGATAGGATGGAGATACAAGCCATCACCTGGAAATTCCAACTCCGAGACACTGGCTATTTACCACTGGAAGATGAGAGGACTCGGCGTATCGCAACAAGGGAGGACATCGCATGGAGGCTTCTCGAGGAAAAGCTTCAAGCAATGGATGGAATCATCAGCAGCCACATGGAGATGTACACCGTTCGTGCTAATATGGAAGAGGCCCACGAAGCCAAGATTCAGTCCCGTGAATCTTACTTACAAACAGAAGCTACCAACAAAATGGCACGAAGTTCAGGCCAGCTCGCCAAGATAGCCACCGTTGTTGTGCCGTGCACTTTTGTGGCATCAGTTTTGTCTATGAATGGAGACTTTGCAGCCGGTGAAAGGCTCTTCTACGTCTACTGGACCATCTCTGTGCCGGTTACACTTATATTGCTGTTCTGGGTTATTGATAACGAAATGTCCAGGGGGGTGAGTGATTGCAAAGAATGGGTAAAGTCTATCTGGAGCTGGTCACAAGGATGGAGGAGGCCCAGCCAAACAATAGACGTGACAGCGGAGAAGCCAGAGGTTTGAGTGTGTTTGGGTATTGGAGATGTAATTTTATAAGGAGCGAGGAGAGTGACTATCACGGATAATTACTGGGGGCTGTTTAGGGTTAACTCATTATTAACACAAAGATATTGATAATAAGCAGTTGATATTCGAAGAATCAGATTAGCAGAAGTTGTTGCCTCTGGATCTCGCCATGGTTGCCAGCCCTTTGGCTACGTTGATTACATGGTAATAAACTGCGGACTATTTTACGCGAGTCATGTATGATGTATGTTTATTTTCACCTTGCATAGATTTGGGACCTGTGTCATGTAAATACATGTAGTATGGCTATTTCTTTGCGCTCCTGTGCCCAACATCCATTTCCATCGTCATTCGGAGATTCAATCGCTCACGGAGCAGAGTTCAAGAGTCTCCTATCGTCATCTCCGGGCATCATCGAGCGCTTCCGTAGCTCAGTTGGTTAGAGCTTCGTACTAATACTTCAGCTTTCAGCCCAGTCTTGGTAATGCGAAGGTCGCAGGTTCAAGCCCTGCCGGGAGCAAATCTCCAATGCGCTTAATTTTTTGCTCTTTTTTCTTCTTTTCAAATTGACGATTTAATCTTGATGAAAGCCGTCGGTGGTGCTTCAATCAAGTTCATCTGTATTCCCCCTGCGCAGAGAAAACGACGGCATACTTATGCCAACAGTGTCGTTTACCTCTGGAAAGCTTTCCATTGTCAGAAACGGCAAATCGTCTTCATCTTCGCTTCCTTCACCGATGAACAGTTCTTGAACAGACTCTGTAGAGAACGGAGCTGTAGCCAGGACTTTAACATCGCCATGAGGCAGACCTGCACCATTGCCATGCTCGGCCGTGTTGCAGAATTGAAGAAGCATTTTCACAACAGCCAGCATGTCGGATTCGAGCTCATCAGTTTCATAATCCCCGATGCCGTCAATGATGCAAATAAGAGTGCGATCTTGGCGGAGCAAGTGTCGAACCAGATAGACAAAGAGGTCACATAAATGCGAGATCTTGCAATCATCCTTGGAAATACTATCCAAGTCTATCGCCATATCCAGCGGCATAAACTCAAACGGTATTTGTTGTAGCAGCTGAGCAATAAAGCTCCTGATTATCGCTGCGCCGCCGACATTGCCGTCTTCTTCCTCAACGTGGAACCCACAGAAGAACACTAGGGTGATGTATCGCTCTCTCTCACGGAGCATACGCACCAGTAAGAGGCAGAAAAGAGATAGAGGAGAACTTCGCCATGTATCAAGACTCTGTGGCGAAAAGTGACCGTGGATTAATAGCCGTCTTGAGGTGGGAGCGACGATGAACTGGCGGAATTCTCGTGTTTGGGTCACTTGCACGGCACGGGTGTGGTATTTTCTTGGTAGTCGGTAACTATATTCCTTGACGGCCAGGAGGTCTACACCGTCCAAGTTGAGTGGGGTGTTCAGTAAGTCCAGAATAGTTGAAGAGCTAATCATCCTCGGTTGTGGCGATACAGGCCTCTGTTGAGCTGCATTAGGAAAGCTGTCGAACCAGCCTATTTGACCAGTATGTAGAGAGATTTGTGGCTGCCCCGACTGAAAATACTGTTGATAAGGCATTGGAAGAACTGTATTAAACTGGAATTGAGAATTGAAGCTCGACGTTTGTTGGGTTGGCCATGGTAGAGTCTCTGGGGGCACTGGAGTTGATCCTCTGGAAATCTCCTCCAGTCTGCTGAGTATACTTTCTTGGTTGGCTAAAATCTGTAATTGTCGCTTTTTGTTCTCCTCGGCATCATTGAGCATAATAAGTACATTGTTACATGCTTCCAATGAGACTTCATGTATATCGTTGAGCATTAGTGTGGTATCCCTGGATTGTTGTTTGGCATCATTATGAAACCTTTTAGCTTCTACAATGGTATGCGCTGTTAGATGTTTTTCGAAATGCCCAATTCATAATTGAAGCTTACCGGTTCGAATAGCTGCAAGATTAAACTGTGTGTACAGGAGGTGCGCACTTTGTGCCTGCTGAATGAGCTTTTCACTGTTTATCTTGATAGCCTCGAGGCTTCTGAGAAGAGTTTCTTGATATCCCCTTTTCCCACGATAAACAACGGAGAGAAGTCGTTTTACTTGGCACGAGATGGTAATGTGTTAGCCTTGAACAGCTTGAAAGTTCACGGTGTTTGATGTAAAGGAAAATACTTTGCTTAGACAGGAAGAATACAATGGCATCCTCGATTGCCTTCATCACTGTCACCACCAGTGAGATCGTTGCATCTTTCACCTTGCTGCTGTCTGGAAACGTGATCAAATAGACCTCGGCATCGTTGAAGAGTTCCTGGATCTCAGCCTCATCGAAGCTGGACGTGACTCTTTCTCGCACTTCGGATGCCACTTTATACGCCTTCATGTACTAAGTCAGCAATGATAGATTACGCATGCCTAGTGCTCACCAAGAAACGTAATGAAGCTTACGTTGAGAAGTAGCTGCACTGCTCCCAATACAGGAGAGACATATTCAATATTGGGAACGAGATTGACCATATTCGTTGTCGGTTCAATAGCACTATCACCCAATTTGCGCAACGCCCGCTTGCAACGACCCTGGAAATTCACTTGCGTACCATCATAAACCTCACGCGCTCTGTGGAGCTGGGCATTGATGCTTTTCCATGTCGTCTGGTTTCGGATGCGATATCCTAGCTTCTCGAGCCCATCAGGTTCTTTTGGATACTTGGTAGTAAATGCTGCAATTGCTTCGGGGAAAATGAGACCCCAAAACTTTTCGGGGTCTCCAATGTCTCCCAGTTGAGATGTCGGATTTAGTTGGTTCGGAGTTTGATCCTTGTCCTTGTTTCCGACTACGCTTTTCCCGTCTCTTCCGGATTCGTTTTGCACATATTTCTTTACAGCGTGGTCGTAATGAGAGTTTGTATTTTGAAAGACGCCATGGTGTTCTGGTAGCCGATTATCAATATAGTCAACAGATGGAGGCTGCAGATGAACTGGCGGAATTGATGAAGATTTAGTCGACATGGCTGCCGAGTTGAAGACAGAAACAATCATACAGAAGGTGGATATGACAAGCAAAAGCGTCTTATTCCTCGCAGTTGACGGAACCCCGATTCCAAAAATATATTAAAATAGTAAATAGTATCGCCACTTGCTATTAGTTATCCCTTGATATTTCCTATCTTTTGCTTATTTCCTGTCACTTTTCAACACCCTTGTGAAACAGAAAATGACTTACCCCTCTTTCTAAATATATTTTGACAGGCTACGATTCCTTTAAGCTAACCTCATACACGTTGGATACATATGCGGCTGAGTTTTTGTTCCTACCAATTGCTTTGCCGACCCTCCATGATCGCATCACTCCTTGCTCTTTGCAACCCGTCAATATTGCGCGGTATTCTAGTTGTCCCGTCGCCTCACGTTTCAGCCAATGATTCCTTCTTGGCTGCATTGCTGCCTAGCCAACAAGTCTCTTCAAGTGTTTGCATGATTATGGAGATCATCTCTATTGGACAAGCTGGCGCCTTTTGCTGCAATCCCTGTCCCATCGTTAGTTACATATAGAGAGGTACCTTGCCTAGGAGAAAAGATATACTGTAGAAATAATATTGCGTTCTATTTCGCGGCGTTTCGAAGCTTATTTCGTTATTCAATATTTATTTCATGTTGTTATATTTACGCAAAAAACATCTTTAGCGACATTTACCAGCCATGGATGTGTCCTCAGCTGATGTTCCGAAAATCACTGAACTAAATCAAGGCGCAGCAGTACCAGCAAGCGTCATCATGGCAGAAAGCCCAGGAACGCATGCCTCTGGTCAGGCTAATGGCAACCAAGGAAACATGGAACAGTTATTGGTCAAACTGCAGCTCAGGCTTGATACCGTAGAAGAAGAGGCTAAGCGCGAGAAACGCGATAGAGAGCGACTTGAGAAGCAGATGCTGGGGTTCGTCGAGGAAGTTGCCAAGGAAGAGGGCGGCGGCCTTTTATCCTCACTAACACTGATGCAAGAGAGGACAGAAGCTCTTATAAACAAAAGCTCCACTACATATGGTGCTTGGCGTAAATTGAGAAGCCTAAGGACAAAGCTTCGGGATATCGAAGAGGAAGAAAAGAACAAAGAGACAATGACCAAGAAGGAAATGGAGTGGGCAACCTATTTCGACGTACTGAAAACTCAGCTACAAGATGCGCGACCAGGAGCGCACATTCCGACATTGGAAGAGATTAATGGCATCAAAACAGAAGATTCAGATGCTGAAGACGATCCGGAGAAGGCCACGCCGAATGTAGTGCAAGTGGAAGTGAGTCCGATGAACTGGAGCAGTTTCAAATTTCAGGGTCATCATGGAGATCAGAACAGGGATCACTTCGTCATTGAAGTCCTCACTGAAGAGCCTTCAATCACCTTTGACGGCTATAACAATCCCTGGTTCATGCGCTACGCTGAAAAATCGCAAAACCCAGCAATAACCGCAGGCGGAAAAGAGCAAAAAGTTTCGTCGTGGGCTGACATCGCCAACAACGTTACCCGAGGCAAGCAGCTTGTGCCAGAGCGAATTCGAATCAGATCGCAAAGCATTATAAAGATACTCAACAATATACTGAAGAACAAAGCCAAGGATTATCGCATGAACAGCGCTCTTGTCATGATCCGACCTTTCCGAGCACTCGTCTACTACAACCAGGAAATCCGTGAGAAATTTGCACAATTGAAAGAGAAATTCGGCAGCGGTGAAGTTGTACTGGAGCAACCAAAACCCTCGGAAGACCAAGAGGAAACGAAACCCGGCACTGAAGGCAATGAAGCAAGCGAGGAGGATGAGTTCACAAATTCGTTGACAGCATACCAGCACATGAGCTGCCTCATCGACTTTATGGACAACACGATCCAAGCCAAGATCAATTATCTATCAGAGACTCAGCCTCGCACCATTTCCTTCAACCACCTATGGTATCTCTTCAAACCAGGAGATGATGTCGTAGCCCAGGGCCGACGACAAGCCTACCGAGTGATAAGCATCACCAGCACAGGACACAAAGTCACTCCTCCCTGGCGTGCCTGGAGGAAAGACGAAAGCGAGCCAGCTGCCCACATCACTCTTTTTTGTGTTTACATCGACTTTGACGGAAAGCAACTTGGTCCAGTATCGAAATCGTTCGTCATTTCAAAGTTCGATGGCGAAAAGGCGATTACATCCCTCGAAGTGTATCCCATCCGATTTGCAGACGGCCCTACTTCAACCTACCTGAGCCGCGACGACTCCGCAAAAGAAGAGGCCAAGGCCACTTTCCAACAAGAACTTATCGACCGTGGCAAGATGTTCATTGATGTGGCGAGCGTGAAACACATGCACTACAATGGATTCACCTTGGAGGCACGAGACGAAGTTGACAGTCAGGTCATGGTTGATTTCGCAGAGGCCTTTGCTGCAACGCAGTCAAGTGGGTGGCAGCCGGAGATTGAGTCTCTTATTGGAAAGGATCTGGGAGGATCAAGCTCATCCGAAGAGGAGAGCTGCTCGGCTGCCTGCTGCGCGGGTGAATATATATACAACGACAACTACGTTGATAAGACGAGGAACGAAAACTATATCGCTAGTTTGATGCCTGGCCCCGACGAGCCTAATGACGAGCCATCGGTAGCCATATATCCCCGGTCGTTGAAGGAGATTACGGCCTCCAAGAATTCTCTGACGAATGACGACTTGGTCATCATGTCCTATCGAGTTTTTGGCTTTGTCTTGCGAAGCCGCAAATGGGGTTTGTCTACTTCACTACAAAGCAAATGCTGAATTCTTCTAACAATATGCCACTAATAGCAAAACTCGATCTCAAGTATCTGAGTCCCGTCAGCGAAGGTTCCAAAGAACAGACGGCGTTTGACCAACTGGTGCTCCCTAAACAGCATAAAGACATAGTCTACTGTTTAGTTGACCAGCACTTTCGAAATAAGGAGGCGCGAGTTAGTGACAATGAAGAGGTCGATATTATTCGAGGAAAAGGTTGTCTTGCGTTTCGCCAACTATCAGCTGCTTTGACGACTGGCTAACTCTCGATATAGGAAAGGGCCTCATTCTTCTTCTACACGGTTCCCCTGGAGTGGGTAAGACGACTACTGCTGGTGAGTACCACCCCTAAACAGTGATCCAGCCAACTCTAATGGACGTATATATACTAATACAACGGCTATTATAGAGGGTGTGGCTGAGCGCTTCAACAAGCCTTTGTTCCAAATTACATGTGGTATGACTCTTTGCAAGATGAATTCGGATGAGAGACATATGCTAACCCATGCATCACCCTTGTTTAGGTGATCTTGGTGCTACTGCTAGTGAAGTAGAAGCAGCCCTAGAGAGAAACTTTAGTCTTGCCAACAGATGGGGATGCATTCTCCTGCTAGACGAAGCAGATGTGTTCCTTGCCCAGCGCTCCCCAAAGAACTTTGTCCGAAATGGACTTGTTGCAGGTAAGGCTTCCCCAGCACACGCTGAACAACAGTCACCTAACTGGCATGCAGTTTTCCTTCGAGTCTTGGAATACTACGCCGGCATCCTCTTCCTCACAACGAATCGCATCGGCGACTTTGACGAAGCGTTCACCTCCCGAATACACATCAGTCTCTACTACCCACCCCTCGACAAAACATCCACCCGCGAAATCTTCCGCCTCAACTTACGCATCATCAGGAAACGATTCGAAGACAAAGGCCGCCACATCAACATCAACGAAAAGGACATCCTCAAATACGCCACCGCCTACTGGAAGAAGCACGAAAACATGCGTTGGAACGGCCGTCAAATCCGAAACGCTTGCCAAACTGCCCTAGCCATGGCTGAATTCGACGCTCAGACTGCTTCTGGAGGTGGTGACGCACATGCTACTCAGGTGGAACTGACGCATCATCATGTTCAGATTGTTTCGGATGCTTACCTTGAGTTTATGCGCTATCTCAAGAGTATATATGGGTTCAGCGCGGACGAAGTCGCAAAGAATATGAGACTCCGGGCGAAGCATCCCAAGGCAGCTAAGAAGGATGAAGACGACGACGACGACACGACTGACACGAGCGATGACGAGGCCATCTACGGCCCTACCAAGGGAACTCAGCCAGCTATACCTCCTTCAGCAATCAGTGGCATGGTTCCACCGATGACCGGAATGCCTCCCATGATGGCCGGTGCCGTCCCGAACACGGGCCATATGCCCGTCTCGACGGGGATTGCAACTCCTTCCTCAACCGCCGAATCAGCAGCACCCCCGATGATGGCTCAGGGCTCATATGTGATGGCCAATGGCCCACAGGGCATGTATTGGATGCCCCAGCAATTTGCACAAGGCCAGGGTCATCCCCAGCAACCGTTCATGATGGGTAACCAACAGGCCATGTTTAACGCCGGACAGCAGATGCCTGGTCAGAATTGGCCCAATGGGAACGGAAATGGGGCGTGGCCCATGATGCAGAACGTGATGCCTTCTCAAGCTGTGGGGAGAGGTAACGAGGGGGCCTCTCCAGTGGCACAATCGTAGCTATTAGATGATGAATAATGGAATGTCAGAAGGACAAGATAGAAATTCTTTTGTTTGTTTGTAAAATCGTGTAGAAATTGATACCAATCCCCATACTTAGTTTATAGCATACAAGTAGGCATCGGAATAGTTGGAGTTACATAGAGCCAGATACCACCCAACCATATCACTTCAACCCCGTTTATATAGGACTATAGTTCTTTTTTTGTATTTTCTATCTTTTACTCATTATATACCAATTCCCTGAGCAATCCAGATATTTCATATTCCATATCCTTTTGGTTCATATCCCTTTCCATCATGAATTCATATTTGCATTCCAGAGCACCAAAAACGTCATAGGTATCAACGCCCGCTTACTCCTTCGCAATCAACTCGTCAAACAAGGGCTTCAAGCTCTTGGCGCTCTTCTTCGGGAATCGCTGCTGTCCATTCTCATAATCCACATACGTCACGCCAAATCTCGTCACGTAGCCATCGGCCCACTCAAAGTTGTCCATCAGCGACCAGGCAAAGTATCCCTTGACATTGACTCCGTCCAGCGTCGCGGCCGTGGCCATGGCGCGGATATACTCGTTGTAGTAATTGACGCGGAAATCATCCTCCAGAATCTTCTCCTTGGGCAGGTCGTTCTCTCCCTTGAGACTCGTGCCGTTCTCGGTGACGTAGATCTTGGGGTAGTTGTAACGCTTGCTGATCCAGACGAGGAAATCGCGGAAGCCGGCGGGACAAGGACGAAGCCACGAAGATTGCGTCTCCGGGCCGATGCACTGGCCCTCCTTGTTGTAGAACAGCACGTCGACATTGCCAACGGTGTCGTCTGCGGTGGCGGGCGAGGTGCGGTGGCGGATGTAGTTGGACGTGTAGTGGTTCATGCCGTAAAAGTCGTTGGAGCCAAGGACAAAGGCTTTCTCCTCAGGCGTAAACACCGGCAGGCGGTCGCCCAGCTGCTTGCGCATAGAGGCAGGGTAATCACCAAGGTAGATGGGATCCGCATACCACGCCGTGAAAAACTCCAACCGCCTCTCAGCGGCCTCCCTGTCGGCGGGGTCAGACGAGTCCCAGGGATACGTGAAGTCGCCATTGAGGACGATGCCAATCTGGCCGTCGTTGAGGTCCTTGAACTGGTCGCGGTACACCTTGACGGCGCGGCCGTGGGCAACAAGAAGGTTGTGGCCAACGACCCAAGGCTCGGTGGTGCTCTGGCGGCCAGGAGCAAAAGTGCCGGAGCCGTAGCCGGGGATGGCAGAGCACAGCGGCTCGTTGAAGGTGATCCAGTTCCTCACCTTGGGCAGGGCCTTGAACATGACGCGCGCGTAGTTTTCGAAATCCAACGGGAACTCGGTGCGGTTCAGCAGTCCACCATATCGCTGATGCAGCTCCTCGGGCAGATCCCAGTGGAACAGCGTGATGAAGGGCGTGATGCCCGCCTCCAGCAAATCATCAACAAACTGAGCGTAGTGGTCGATTCCCAGCTGGTTGACGGGGTCGTCGCGGCCGCCCTTGGGGATGATTCGGGACCAGGAGATGGAGAAGCGGTACGACTTTGCTCCAAGCGACTTGAGCAGCGCAATGTCCTCGGCGGTGCGGTTGTACGAGTCGCAGGCCGTGACGCCGGACGACCCATCGGCAATCTTGCCGGGGATGGCGCAAAAGGTGTCCCAGATGCTGGGGCCTCGGCCGTCCTTGTCGATGGCGCCTTCAATCTGGTAGCTGTTTGGGAGGTTTGTGTGTGTAAGTTGGATGTTGCAGGGATGAAGTGAGACGAGACAGAGACAGGGACAGAGACAGAGACAGAGACAGAGACTTACGCAGCCGTCGCAAACCCCCACTGAAAGTCCTTGGGCAACATTCTCGCAACTTGCAAAACAACCAGTATCCAATACTATATAGTAATCAAAAATACACAAGACAAGACACACTTCACTTCACTTCACTCTCAACACCACTTGCAAGTTCATGCAAAGCTAGATGTCGGCGAGAAAATAGCGTTGGTTCCCGGATATAGTATATATGTATATATATATATACATTGGATGCACACACTAACGAATCCCCCCCCCTCCCACCTTGACGTCGGAAAATAAACATGGAGAAATACAAAGGCCGCATCATGCGAGACGCTGCATTTTCCCGGATAGTTCTGGATGGTGCGCTGCGGGTTGCGTTCTGGGTACCTGCGCATTTAGCCAACGATATGCTGGCCGTGGGCATTTGCATTTTATCCAACGAGGCGAGAAATTCAAGGGCAAGGGTCTAATGCCTATTTATCTAGGTACATTGGTTTGCTGTGGGCATTCCCCGTATAAACCCCAGCCCGTATTACCTCTAGCAATCTACCTTATGGAGCTCAACATGGTATACCCCGTAAGTCTAAATCCCAGTGTAAGCTACAGTAAGACAACAGAGAGGCCAACCAAAAAGACAATTGGCGGGGATACCGAAAAAAAAACCCAGTCACCTCACCTCGCAACGTAGCCTTTGCAAACAGCAGCTAGCCCATCTTGACCGACGAACAACAAGTCACAAGGCAGGGCTAGTCGGCCTCAATGGGGAAGCTGGCGCCGCGGAGGATGGCGATCCGGCGGGCTCCAAGCAGCTTAGGCCGGTTGGGTGGATTGTCCGAAGTGGTGGCAGCGGGCCGACAAGAAATGGGAGTTTGAAGCGTAGTGGTGATACTGTACAAGTACTATATGTGGGAAGGATTCGAATGGGGCGGGAACGGACAGAGATGCCCATCGGGGAACTCGGGAATAGTTACAGGTAGGTACATGTACAGTAGTCAGGTCACTTGATGGATCATCTGGCCTGGTCTGGCTATTTGCCATGGATGGGATTGCTCAGACCTCAGAAGCACCCGAGACGGATAGATTCAGCCGACAGCCCACGTGGGAATGTTGCATGTTGAAGCCACAAGGTGTACTCGTAAGCAGCCTGCATCTCGGCTGCAGTGGCATAATTCGTTTCGTCCTGCAAACCATTGACCCGACTGGTCTTCCCTATATCATATGCATAAAAGGCGCCATCTTGCCGCGCTGGATATGCCTACATAGGTAGGTCGATAGAGCATGGTTAAAAGGCCACGGCTGCTCACTACTACCTATACCTGGCACATAATACAAAGACTTTGCCTCATCCCATTCGTGTCTATATAGCCTCTGTCTGTCGCCGACATGAGATACGCCTAAAGGTAAAACACCCCGGCCACTGTCCGAGCCAAAAACAAAAAAAGAACAATAAACGCCTTACCGAGAGAAGAGAGAAAAAAAAGAAAGGGAGCAAGCCGTAAGCGACAGCTCATACCTATACACACACAACAGGCCAGGCCAGGCTATGCCATGTCCTACCAAACCATGTCCATGGCTTTTTCCCCTTATCAACTGCCTATACACAGACTTGTACCGAGCCGAGCATAAATCACAATCCCATACTAATGATCTCTGAGCTTCCTTTTGCCCAGCTGCGTCGACGCCGCCCCGGCAGGCTCATCCTCTTCCATTTCCCCGCCGCCATTCTCCGAATACTCGACAATGTCCCATTCGATGCTCGTCTGCCCGTCGCGCGACGTCTTAGTGCCGTAGCTCCTGCGCATGCTTCCCAGCCGCGAGCCCTCAATCAGCCCGTCGAACCACGGCACGCCAAACGACTGCTGGATGGCGGTTCTTCTCGTCGGCACCGCTGGGGCTGCTGCCTCGCTCCTGGGCGGCGACTCTTCGTCTTCGGGAATCAGGCCCATGTCCTCCAAGTCTCGAATGTCTTCCCGAAGCAGGCTCCCCAGGGTGAGGTTGATGAACTCGGCCTCGCTGCGAGGCTGCTCGGACCAATACGACAAGGGCGTCCCGCAGAAGCCGCAAAAGTGCCGTTTGGAGTAGTCCTGGCTCGGGTGCGAGTAGACCTTGCGGATCATGGTGTGCGTTTCATCTGGGAAGAAGGCGTAGGTAGAGCTGTGGTACCATGAGAGCGGCACGCGAATGTACGCTGCTAGAGGTGTTGCGAGAGGAATCTCTGCGCGGTTGCAACCAGGATTGTCAGCTTCGGGGGTTGAAAACAAAGTAAACAAACAAACAAACAACAAACCACCCGGACCATCAATCAATCAATCAATCAACCCCATGCAGCTGCCAATTCATAGCAATTGAAACCCCGTAAAAGCGAATCTTTGAACGAAGCAACCAATTGGACCGGGCCAAATACTTACGATGCTGTGGCTCAGTGTTAAACAGGACCTGAGCGTCCTTGATGCCGTTCTCTGGGATGACGATGATGTAACGATTCCGGCCGCATTGGCACCCGCCCCGCAGTGGCCGCGACCCGCTCATGATGAAGGCTTGCAAACAGAGAGAACAAGTTGCGAATATAGACAGTAAATGAAGCTGAGTAATGAAAAGATGATTGAAGGGTAATTGACCGCCGCTGTTGAGAAGGCGGAGTGAATGCAGTAGCGACCAGGGAAATAAATAATCGCGGGCGAGATGAAAGCAAAAAAACAACAGCAGTCGATGGGATGACGGATGGATGAATGAACTTGAATCGATGGATGCTGTGATTGGGGGGTTTGTTTCAGGCGTCTGTGCGCTAAAAAGCTTGGGTGCAGAAGCTCTGGATGGTGCTGGATCGTTCCACTGCCGGGCCGTTGGGATTTCTAGAACCAGAGAGAGACCAGTTCCAGAGAGGCAATGATTGTCCAGGGCGGTTGAATCCAACGGTTTTTTTTTCTCTTTTACATCAATGGATGGATGCTATACACAACGCACGATACTGAGAGATGGATGGATTCAAGCAGGCAATTGAAGGTTGATGGAGAGATGAAATGATGTCAACTGATCAACGCAGCTCGCAGGAATGTTTCATGCGCACGGTTTGGGAACAGCTGATGGCGGCAACCCGTGGCTCAAAGCTAAAGATCCATTGCAGAAAGCCTCCACCCTACATGTAGCTACTGAAGCCTGATATCAGCCATCTATACTTCAACTAAACACTGGTTGCCACCTGAGAGAAAACAAGCAAATTGCTCACTCATTGTCTGCTCATCTCTTCACAGCTCCAACATGAACTTGCCAGCAACAACATCATCCTCTTCTTGGCTCATCTTCAAACTCAACAACCAAAAAAATAAATATCCGCTCCAGCAAAAAAGCGTAGTCGAGCCGGGAGTCGAACCCGGGTCTGTCGCGCGCTCCGCATCCTCGATTCGAACATGTGAAGCGACTGTACTAACCGTTATACGACTCGACCTTTTCGCGTCGAAGGGCTTTCAGTGTCCAGACTATAAAGCTAGGCGTTGGATAGTCGCAGTTTTGACGATTCACAACAACGTTCCAGGTATATTCAATACTTGAACACACCGGGTGTCGTACAATAACAAGGACCAAGACAAGTTTATGAAAAGGATAAAATGCAGCTCATATTCTTGTCAAAAACTCTAGAAGATCAGTATCCAAACAGCTGAGTTTAGGTAATCTAATCTGCATATACATGTATACAGTGTTTTCCACTCCGGCCGTCAACCAAGACTTCTATCCTCTTAATCCACCGAGATAATAAATCAGACGCTCTACAATCCAAATGAGTCCAAAACCCCTCGCTATTTGCCCATTGCCTCCTCTTTTACTCCTTACGCCCAGTCTTGGCCCATTGCCGCAAGTCATTCTTCTTAATCTTGCCCGTGCTCGTCTTGGGCAGCTCCTTGACCACCTCGACTTCTCTGGGCACCATGAACTTGCTAATGTTGCTCTGGTGCTTGGCCCAGTTGATCACATCTTCGCCGACCAGGCTCTTGCCCTCCTTGACCGTGACGTATGCCTTGGGTCGCTCACCCCAGTGAGAGTCTGGAACCGATACCACGCCGGCCTCGAGAATGTCGGCATGTTCGACCAGCATGCTCTCCAGTGCCACCGAGGAGATGTTTTCACCACCAGAGATGATGATATCCTTGGCACGGTCTAGGATTTGGGCACTTCCATCCGGATGCCATACTGCCAGGTCGCCCGAGTGTAGACCGCCTCCCTCGAAGAGCTTTCGTGTGGCTTCGGGATCTTTGTAGTACTCCTTGGCACAAATGTTTCCGAAAAAGACAATTTCGCCAATCTCTTTGCCGTTCTTGGCCACGTCTACTAGGACTCCGCCGGGCTGATCTTGCTTGACGATCCGGATGGGAAGGCTGGTGATGAAGCCGTGACCCTGGCGAGCCATCTTGGCGTACTTCTCCTGCGGTGGGAGATCATCCCATTCTGGCATGACGTAGCATTTCGTGAGAGGCCCATAGGTCTCTGTCATTCATGTGAGCAAACAGAAGCACCACCGGGTCTGGGGTGTAGAGCCTTACCTGTCATTCCATAAACATGGACGGGAATGAGATTAAGGTTGGTCTACAAACTTCATGTTAGCCACTATTCAATGACTTGCGGATATCTTGGGTATACTTGCCATTTGCTCAAAGAGATGGCCACTTGGCGGGCTGGCTGCAACCGTTACTTTGACTTCGTGGGTGAGTCTTTCGGCCTCCTTTGCCGCTACCAAGAGAGTGTTGACTGTGGGAGCCGCATTGAAGTGAGTAATGCCTTGCTCTTTCAGGAGCTTCCAGATCAGTGGGTAGTCAATCTTTCGCAGGCAGACGTTCAAGCCGCGCACCGCCACCACAGCCCATGGGAAAGTCCATCCAATGGCGTGGAACCTGATGAAGAAATCATCGTCAGCAATCCAGATTCCACGGCGGCAGCATCTACAGCGAGTAGGATTGCTCACATCGGTAGCGTCCACAGGTACTTGCAGCGGCCCTGATTAAGCCCAGACTCAATGATGTTGCCCATGGCGGCAAGATATGAACCTCGGTTGGTGAAGACGACTCCCTTGGGCCGGGATGTGGTGCCAGAGGTAAAGGGAATGGCAATCATGTCATCCTCATTGGTGGCATGCGCATGGAGCCCAGCCCATCCTGCGTTGCCCGTGGCGCGATCATGGTTGAGTCCCTCTAGCACGGCCTCATCAAAAGGCCCGCAGAGCTGGCCTTCTGTGGCGTCGGTATCCTGAACCCGGGATTTTGTCAGTCAGCCTTCAAACGAGATCCCAGGGGAGTAAGCGTACCGAATCAATGATTAAAGGAACCTTTGGATGCTTCTCCTTGAACGAATCCAACAGATGAACAAACTCGTGATCGACAATGATGCTGTCGACCTCTGCAAACTCAAAGATGTAGGCAATGTCGTCCGGCTTCAGCCTGTAGTTGGCGGGCGCAATCACAGCCCCAGCCGCCGGGATGCCGTAGATGGCCTCGAGAAAGGCGGGCGTGTTGGGCGCAAGAATGCCAACGCGCTTGAAGCCGTGCTTTTTCAGATAGTAGGCCAAGCCTCTGGCGCGATCGGCGAATTCCTGGTAGGTGCGGTGCAAGATGGCGCCGTTGGAGGTGATGTGATAGATGGCCTCGGCATTCGGCTCAATGGATGCGGCGCGCTCGAGGAAGAAGGTCGGCGACAGATGATGGATGTGAGGAGGCGGCGTTTGATGGGGGATGAGATGGCCGAGAATGGAGCGGATGCGAGACGGTGGCCCGGACATGATGGCGATGGTGAAGAGAGAGGGAGAGGGAGAGAAACGAGGAGGACAAGCAGGAAGTGCAAAGGAAGAAGAAACCGGTGTACAGCCGTGGCAATTGGGTGGTTTCTTCTTGAAAAAGAAGAGAAGAAATGAAGAGGCAAAAGGGATCCAAGCTCGAGCTTCTTTTAAGACAGTCGCGGCTTGCCCTCGGTTTAAAGCGCGGCTCAGTTTGTGTTGCGATGCGACTCGCGGGACGGCACGGCTAATACATCCATTCAATTGACTAATATCGACGGGCTGGGCTTTGTTCGTGGAGGCGTGGGGGGGAATCTGGGGGCTCCTCCGCATTTTCTCGGCATCTTTGGGCTGGGCTGGTCTACGGAGTACGGAGTGGCGGAACGGAGTACAAGTAGGTGATGGTTAGTGTTGCTGGGGTATTGCGATTCACACACAGGCAAGCCATTGACTGGGGATCTTCTTTCTCCGTACACTTCATTATACATCTACGTTTACTAATATCGTGGAGAATGTACTATGATGGTCGTACCGAGATCATAGAGCACAGGTCAGTACTACGGTAGTACAGTGTCAGTGCACGAGGCATCGGGTTTATAAGACGAGAGAGAATGACGGTGCTAATTGATTATTTGCGTACAGTGGCTTTTTGGGGGTTTTAGCGGCCAATCCTGTGCTGATCTTTTACTGCTTGGATGCAAACGAGCATCCATTACGGATACGCTCCAAGGTATTAATCAATCTTGCTTCCTTTCTTCCTCCCTTGTCCTGAGACATTGTCTCCTGACCAGCAGATTCGAGGATGGAAGATGGCAGAATGAAAGATGGACTGAGCATAAGCTTAGCATCAGCATTACCACAGCAGTAACAGCGCCGCCTGTGCGTAGGTATCGATAAGCCCGATAACAACAAGTGGGGCGCCCTCCCGCTATTGTAAAGTACCGCTTTTGGTGGCGCGCCGGATCTGAGCTTCAAGATTCCCAACTCCAAAATCATCTCAAAGCTTCGTCATCCCGCTCATCTCAGCCACCACTTTGTCTGTCTTGCATTGCATCTCGTCGCGGCATTTGTTGTTCTTCTTCTTCTTTCTAGTTACCTAATCCCGGCATCTTCCCTCTTCGTCTTCCTTCACCGCAGACCCGATGCTTCTGCAGCCCCTCGTTCAACCCTGTCAATCCGCCTTTCAGCCATCGTAACCTTATCTACCAATCCACCGCCCAACTGCTCCGTCTCGACAGCTTCTCCTTACTCGGCCTCGACCTCGACATTTCCCCATTGCATCCCTTTTGCGAGGGCATCTACATTCCGCCAATCTCTACTTGTATACAGCTGGTGCTACTCCGGACATATCGAGTATGTATAGTCCATCTGTGGTACACTTGTGAAACCCCATCGACCCCCTGGGTACCTCAGCCGCTGCTTCATCCCATATAGTAGCTCTCTCCTCCACTCTCCACAATAGCCATCAGTTGATAACCTTATTTTTATACATCTGTTTTTGCTTTGTTTGAATGCGCCCTTCCAAGCCGCCGAAAGCTTACGCCATTGTGCTATTAGGACTCCATTCGTCGTATAGAGGCTCATGGCTTCTCAGCAACCCACCGACACTCCCCCCGCAGCTCGACCAAGCCCAGACAGACTCTCCTCCTACTCACATCAACCGAGTACGACTTCTACAGCCAGTCGTGAAACCCCCAAGAGAGCACATACTTTCCACTCATCGTCTCCTTCCGAGAAACATGGAGATGCCGGAGCCAAGGCCGGGGCTCCCGACACATTTGACACTGCCGAGAATTCCGACAACGATGAGCCTCCTGAGATCACGCGAGCATCCATTGAGCTAGACGATCTTCCGATAGAGTTAATTACTTTGACTGATAGGTGAGGGGATGGATGCTGCGCTCGAGTCAACCCTAGTACCTGTCTGACCGACTTCTGTAGCTTCGTGGAATCACTCTCTGCCAAAGTCCACTCCACTCCGCCAAATATCGCCAAGCTATCCCAGCTTTTTCAAGAATTCTATACTACAGCATCTTCCCATATCGGCACCCATATTAGCGCCCTCGCCTCGCGCCAGAGTCGTGAGATCTTCCAACCTCCGCCACCATCCTCCTCCGTCGCCAGCCGCTTTCGATCAAAAGCAGCCTCGTTGGGCTCAAAAGACAAATCAAAGGCGGAGAATGAACAGCAGATGATTACGCCCGAAGAGCTAGCAAACCGAAAGAAAGCAAGGAAAGCTCTAGAGGCGAAACGAAGTTTGCTCGAGGAGGCTGTTGAGAGGAGGCTATGCGAGGGTATATACGACCGAATTTATCGCCACAGGAGTACGCAGGACGAGGCCCAGGATGCAAAGCTTAGATCCAAGACTGCCGCCTTGTCCCTTGTCGGCATTGGCCCTTCAGATCTTGGGATAGACTTGGGCGAAGTAGAACCGCAAACCGAAAAATCAACGGCCGAGAGGACAGAGGTCATCCGTGGTCAGCTTGAGTCTGCAAGAAAAGACCTGGTTCGAATGGGCGAGTCAAGGTACCCTCTTGGGAAACTAAATCGTCTCAAAGCCGCGCATAAGAGCATCGTCGACACACTTGCTCAGTTTCATCCTTCAGCCTCTGCGGATGAAATCATGCCAATGCTCATTTACACACTCATCACGCTCCCCCCTGAGCATCTCAACGTCATCAGCGACCTCAATTTCATCCAAAGCTTTCGATGGGAGCAAAAGCTGACCGGTGAAGAGGCCTACTGCCTTACAAACCTCGAGGCTGCCATCAGTTTCCTGCAAACGGTTGATCTCGCCACCTTGAGAGCAGACGAGCGCCCATCGGGGCCGGTAAAGACCCCCGGGCAACCTGCAACTCCTCGAGTAGAAACATTCCCGCCAGCATACTCTCATGGACTCACAACGTCACCGCAGAGTACATCTGCAGTCAATACTGAAAATGCTACAGCTCCAAAGCCCGAATCATCACCCAGCCTCAAGCCAGCTTCGACTGTCAAGAACAGGAGACTGAGCGACTTGATCAACACCCCCACCCAGGCATTTGGTGCCGCCAGCGATGCCGTTTTTACCACAGCCGACCAAGGACTCAAAACCATCTCAAACAGCCTGGGAGAGAGTTACAGTTTTCTCCTCGGCAAGCTCAAGGAGCGTCAAGAGGACCCCAAGGAGCCCATTGCCGTTCCAAAGACTCTTGACGATGCTCGCAAGCTCGTGAGCACTCCTCCTCTCGAAGATGAGGACGCTGCCATCTCCCTGGCCGCGACAGACCCGGAGCAAGCCAAACCCCAGAATGGGCGGGATGACCGTGTATTAAGCATAATTGGCGGCCGTCGCGATCATAGCACAGACAGCGCCCGCAGTGGCCGCAGTGGTCGCAGCGCGAGCTCCTCTAAAAAGGTGCTCTTTGCTGCAGAAGACGCAAAGGCCGGCGCCGCCTCTCCCGCACCGGCCCAGCCAGCCATGCTGGACCAAATGCGAAACCTGGGCAACACATTCAACCCCATGGCCCGACTCTCCGGCATCAGCCTAGTCCGAGGCTTCGGTCGAAGTGTATCTACCCCCGTGGTCGCTCCTCCCAAGGACACAAAGGATGCCGCCAAGGATAGCAAAGACTCGAAGGACACAAAGGACGGCGTGAAGCCAACTGATGGAGGAGACTTGGCAACTGTAAGCTTTTCAGCGACCAATTTACCCCCTTGTTTTTTCCACTTGTAATTGCGATGACCACTAACACGAAGTTCAAAAAGGCATTCCCCGACATTGCGGGCATCCTGCCACCAAAAGAAGTTCCCAAAATCAGCCCACCCAATAAACGGTTCATGGAGCTTCAGAATCCGGGCGACTTGAGGCTCAGTGAGGTATTAGATCTGCTAAAAGACTATCGTCGCCTTGCTGGCGCCCTGAAGAGTATGGGCGCCTTTGAGGATAAATAAAAAGGGCATCGTAGAGACGGAATCTTCGTAATCTCATCTTCACCGATTTCCTAAACATTTTTTCGACATCCAGGATAGAGTTTCTTGTCATCTCTTTCTTTGCCTTTAGCTTAATAGTTGCAAGTAGATGCAAAGGTGGCGGAGCATGCGGCTTCATTCATTACACGGCAACACGGATAGAGATCATCAGGTCTTACAAGCGTCAATAACGAAATAATAGACTGACCTTGGCAAAGTCCCATATATTTCTTCTTTGCAATCATAAATACATTATGTCATCCACCGCTGTGACATGAAAGCATTGGGAACCAAATGGCGCTCCAACCGACAAAAGCGACTCCGTGTACAACCCAAGCATGAACAGGTGCAGTAAGCCAACCAATTCCACGAGGGCTTCTGTTGGCGCCACCCATGGCCAGCTCGGGGATTCCATTTGCTCTGCGCAAGCCCTCTGCGGAATCTTCTTCATGTGGAAAATGAAAAAAACAAGCGTAATAAATATATACAGCAGTAACAGAACCGCTCCCGGGCGGTTAAGAAACGAGTTTGATCGAATCCGCCTTATTCCCATGGATTCTTCTAAAAAGCAGAGGATTCTATCCGTCTTGGCTTGTGTGGAAAGTCATTGCTCGACAATTGGTGCAATTCGTCATCTTCCTCTATCGAGGGGTATAAGTGAGCGTCTGCGGGTTCTGGCAGAGCGCCAGTCACATCCACAGACCTGCTCCTCTGGTATGCTTCCACTGATCTTCCCCTTGGTCGCAAGAATGGATCTTGCGGAACGACTGGCCCCGGGTGCAGCAATTGTGTTATTAGGTTGCCGTTGGCTCGGTCACGACTCCTACTACGGCTTCTTCCTGTGGTCGCCTGTCGCTGCAGACCCGAGGTAGCGCCAGTAGATACTGCAGTGTTTGTCCGGGCGAGGGCGGCTTCGGACTCCTCCTGCTCCTTTTTCAAGCGAGCTTCGCTCGGAAGAATGACAGCACGATCGAGACCGTATGGCAGACCACGGTGGCGACCACGGATTTGCATGGCAACGATAATCAGCTTGCCAACAACGGAAAACTGTGAAC